AGAGTATTCAGTTTCATCATTCACAATAAGTGATGGTGCGTTTGGTACTTGTTTTTATTTCGCGACAGGTTTTCATGGGTTCCATGTTATAATTGGTACATTATTTTTGGGAGTAGGGCTATGAAGAATTTACGCTTATCACTTAACTGACAACCATCATTTGGGTTTTGAAGGTGGAATTCTTTATTGACATTTCGTTGATGTAGTCTGACTTTTTTTATATGTATCAATATATTACTGGGGTTCCTAACGTATACAATTATAACGAAGATAATGATAAAAATGGCGAATATGATAAAAATATCGAATATGACAAAATGCTTCGTGTGTAGACTAGAAAAAATTATTAATTACCTTAATAGTATACCTACTATTTTCAAACTTAATTTATATGCTTTTAAATTAAGATTATCGAATCTTCTTTTTTCAATCAAAAAAAAATTGGATGCAATTAAAAAAAAACTGGATGGAATTAAAAAAAAATTGGATGGAATAAAAAAAAAATGAAATGGAATAAAAAAAAAATGAGATAGAATTAAAAAGAATATAATTCATAATTTTAAATCATTACTCTCAGAGTCTGGTCATACTAATTATGTTTTAATTTTCTTTTGACTGTTAGGGAGATTTTGCTGTATCTTTCTTTTAAGAAGTTATACTAATATAAAGATTTTTTGAAAAGATTTATTTGTTGATATTTTATCATTATTAACACTTAATCCTGATCTTCATCTTTACCGTTTTAGAGGCGGCAAGGTTTGATTTATGCGACTTTGCTGAAAATTGTATATAGCAGTATCACAATGCAATATATTATTTTTTATTTATATTACTATAATAGAAACTAGTTTGGCTCAATATCTAATATTTTATTCTGATAAACTTCTATTATGTTTTATACTCTTTTTTATATATATGATGTTGCAAGACCAGTTTATTAAAGCTCAAAAAAAGGAGAATGTTTCGAAGTGTTTTTTTCTAGTTTACCATATTGTTACGCTTTTCTTCTTAGGTTTTCTTTTTTTACAATTGCCAAAAATTTCCGGATTGTTCCCGGGAGAATATCTCTGACTTAAATTTAGTTTTTATGCTGTTATTTTTTTTCTTTATATTATTAGACGAATAATAAAATATAATAAAGGTAAAATAAACCTAAAAAGTTTCATTTTATTATGAGCTTCTTCAAAAGTATTGCGTCTTTTTTTAATTTTATTTATCCCGATTATTTTCCCCGGAGGAGAAAACGTTGTTAGTGTATTAAATATTTCAATATTTCAAATAGTATTTTTCGATATTTTTGATGTTGAAATAATTAATCATTCTAATTTAGAAATCAAATTAAAAGGTAACATAAAGAAAATTTTTTCTTTTTCTTTAGATGATTTATATTCTTTATTTGTGAAATTCCATTGTTATTATATGCCCGTGCTTTCACTGAATGAGGGTAGTCAGGATGATATTCTCTTATCTAGAAGCGGAGAGGATACTCTTCTTTCACAATGGGTAAATTATTTTGGGCCCCCCAAACCTGCAAATCGTAGATCAACACTTAAGGATGAAAATATGTTGGATGTGGCGAAAGCTTTAACTGCTAACCAGATTCACCAGTCTCTAATTTACGAAAATATAAAATTTAATAGAGAAGAACTTACACTTATTTGACATCTACATGATTTAAAGTTTTTTGGTGAGTCTGATAAGTTTTTTGTTTTTATAAGTCCTTGCCCTAATCAGATGTATCCTATTCCCTATAAAAACTTTTACTTTAATCTTGATGGGTTTAATTCCCAGCAGGATTTTGCTATCTTTCCTTTTGCCAAAAATCATATGATACCTATTTATACTAAATACGATCAAAATATTACATATCCCCCTAATACTGAAATTGTTGTACTAAATCAGAAATATTTAGAAAATGGAGAGCTTAAAATGATATCGCATGCTTATGTGTATTATACTCAGATAGTACCAAATTACGTTAGAAATTGAACACTAAATTCGATAATAAAAATACAACAAGTATCGCCTACTGGTAGAGTTCGTCAGGTAAAATATGATCTTAGTAATGGATGAGTTGCACCAGGATATTTAGGTAACGAATTTCAACTGAAAGGACCAGCTAATAAACATATACCTGTATCAGTCTCTCTACCATTAGCACGTAAACCATCTGACATAACTTATAATAACTCTCCTGATGTAGTAGAGTATGTAGAGAAAACTGTAGAATCACTAAATATACGTAAAGTCCAAAACGATAAACTTTTAGATCCAGCTAATTATAAAAGATCTTATACAATAATACATTCTAGAACATTAAGCCAAATAGATTGAAGTAGTGTAAATTGAAAAGAAAGTTAATATTTATAGCTAACATACTATAGATTCTAAATATACTGGAATTATTAGTAAAGTATATTATATAGAATATAGTATAAAAAAAAAACGGTTATCATTTAATGGTAGGATTGCTGTCTTCCAAACAGAGTGTGTTGGTTCGATTCCAACTAACCGTAAATATTTGAACTAATAGCTTAATTGGTAAAGACTTTTCCTGTCACGAAAAGGGATGTCGGTTCGATGCCGACTTAGTTCGATTGTTTTAAAGTATACTAGTAATACAAGAGAAGAGTCTTTATAGGAAAGATCGGGATGGAGAGGGTAAGATATTTGCTAAATATTCTGTGATTGGCTTACTAGACATACATTTTAGAGGATATTGCCTCTTTTTAACTAGAATCGTTAATTTATATGAAGAAAAATCGCTTAAAAATATACCCAGTAAAAACTTACAAGTTTTTACTTGAGGATCAAAGTCGTATTATAAAAGAGAACAAAAATAAAACGGGTGTTTATAGATGAATAAATAAAATAACCAATAAAAGTTATGTAGGAAGCTCTTACAACTTAAGTAGTAGACTTAGCCATTATTATTCCAAAAAATTTATGCAAAATAAATTATTGGTAAGTAATAGTTTAATATACTCTGCAATTTTAAATTCCGAATTTTCAGATTTTTATCTAGAAATCTTAGAATATTGTGATAAAAAAGATATTGTTAACAAAGAACAATATTATATGGATTTGCTTAAGCCTGAGTATAATATACTAAAATATGCCAGATCTAGCTTAGGTTTTAAGCATAGCGCTGCGACTAAAAACCGAATGAGAAAAGCTAAACTAGGTAGAACTTAAGGTTATTCTTTAAAAATTGAGAATAAATATACAAGAGATATAATTATCTGTTCTTCTATAAAACAAGCCGCGGGATTTTGGGGTTATCATCCTAATACCATAGGCTATGCTTTAACAATACGCCAGTTTTTTGAAACTACAAAATATTTAATAACAAGAAATTAAATATAACAATCCGAAGATAGGAGGTACGGTTAAATGGATATTTAACAACGTTCAAATCGTTTTTCGGATATAGGAATAAATATGCTCCTTTTTATACTTAGATATACATTACAATATGAAAAGATTTTATTACCATGATTTTATTTTGTTTAACGATTGCTGTGTTTATATAAATTTAGATGATTAGGAATCTCCGGAAGAATTTGCATCATCTTGCATGTTCGATATTTATTTTGCGATTTTTCTAAGACGGGATTATGCACAAGATTGTCAAGTTTTGTCTTTGTAGCAAATGGTTTTTGGCGGGGCCAAAATACATTTACCTTTTTTATACCCATATACCAATATAAATTAAAATATTTATTTAGGACAAATATATGAAACATATTTTAATACGCTAGAAATCCTGCAAATAATTTAATATATCCCTTACAAATTAATGTAGTACCTAAATTAATTCGTTATGATACAGCTAGGATAAATTCCATATAGTTAATGTTGAGTATATACTAAATGAAAATCGAACTTTGTAAATATTGACATGACATTCGAACTTTGGAAATTTATACATGGAATTATTAGTGATCTATGTCAAAAGGGTGTACTAGGTAACACATAATATTATCTGCACCCTAGGCTATGCCCTAGGGTTGTCTATAGATATTCTTCTCTGGGGATATTAATCTTAGAGAATAACCTTTAAAGGAAAGGTCGCCATAGGTAGGGCAAGCTGTTTGCTAAACAGTATCTCATATAGATTTAGTGGTTCAAATCCGCTTCTTTCCGAAGAGTTTAAGGACTCTTTTTATTGACTTATTTAATAAATGAAAAATATAAACTGTGGATTGCACCCTTACTGGCTAACAGGGTGAGTTGAAGGATGTTTTTTTGTATAGATATTTTAAAATACTCTAGGGGCTTAGCTTCGGGACTGACTATAGCATCCGTGTCCATTAGCATCAACCTAGAGATGCACGCCTCATGTTTAGACACGTCAGTGCAATCATTCATTTCAATGCGTTGCACACCAACGACCTGACCGAGTCCCTCCTTTTTGATCGTATGACAAGTTTGACGTAGCCCCGTCTCACTCTCGCTCATCTGAATGCCAACCGGCCCCCCCTTTCCTTACCGAAGAATGAAGAAGCCGCAGGGCCGGTATCGGGGCACTTAACAATGCCGGCCTGAGGAGAAGAAACTAGATGCTCGGCAGCGGGGAGCGCGAACCGGCTTCAGGCTCGGCTACAAGAGACAATGCTACCGAGGTGGTGTCCAAAGGACAAAGGCGGCCGTTGAGAATGCCACTACATGCCAGAAAGTGAGATGGGTTGATTGGAATAGAATAGAAAGATGTTGGTACAGTACGCAGCTATGTCGAACAACTGTAAAGAGGCATACAAGAAAGGCTTTCAAGATGTACGCAGAACCCCAAAAGACCCTGCCTTCGCGCACAGCTCGGCCCTCGTTTCCCTTTCCTTTCCCAATCCCTTAAGCAACAACAGAAACTCCATTTTCACTTTTCAAGGCCCATGAGCTGTTACCCGTCAAACCACCGACCGTCCCCGACGCCATGTTCCAACTCCTGCATCAAGACTCCATCTCTTTATGTTACATCGGCGGTCTACATCGTGCACTAATATTTAGGCCCCAACGCTACTCTCTCGTTGGTGCTTCGTGATATAGTACGTGATGAGGTTCTTCGGATCGTCCTTGGCGCCCTTGATGAGCTCCCAGAATGGCACATCCCCAATCCGCGAGTGCAGAGCGACGCAGAGTTGCACAGCGCCCATGCGAACACCAGAGTCCGTTGACTCGAGACAGCGGCCTGCGAGACCTGCAAGCTGTGCGAGCTCGTTGTCCGAGGGCGTGAAGCCAGTGCGCTTATCGAGAAGCTCCTTGAGTACGTGAAGACCTGTGGCGAGACAGCGGCTGCCCTCGATCGTCGTGTCCTGTTTGCTTTGCAGAAGCTTGGTCATCACTACAACGATCTCGGGTGGGTCTCCGAGGGCTACAAGCTCTTCGGCAAGGAGCTCGAGACCACTGACGATACGGGTGCGTGAGTCATAGGCGCTGCGCGTTGCTACGAGAGACTCGAGACCTCGTGAGACATGTGGCTGGAAGTTCTCCCGTTCCTTCTTGAGTAAAAGCTTGATTGTCGCGAGGATCTGTGCCTTGACGTCCTGGACCCTCTCCGGTGCAAGGGTCTCCAGAGGTGACTCCAGGTATTCGAAGAGTCCCCGGAGCAGAGCTTCAAACTTTTCATCTGTGAACACAGCCTTATTGTCTCTGATGATTGACTGTAGCTTCCTAAAGCCGTGGACGTCCAAAGACTTTGCCTTTACCCTTGTGACACCACTATCGAGCAGTCTCGACGTCTGACGGGCTTTCTCGGGAGTCTCGGGTGTGCCGTTGACCACAAAATGGCCGTTATTGGGCGCTGGTGCAGCAACCTCGTTCACAGGCTTGTCCTCCAGCACGGGAGTAGTGATGCCCGGGTTGGCAGTCGTACCGTCGTCGACAAAGGGGTCCTCGAACACCTTGAGGCCATTGGTGGGCGCGGGCTCCCGTTCTGCCTGGGGCATCTCTTCTAGAATTGGAGCAGGAGCTAGTCCTCCCGCCGGAGTATCAGCAGGAGCTTCCACGATCTCCTCGGCCGGTGCCTCGTCAGTCTCAGCCGCAGCCGCAGAGGCTTCGGGTGATGCCTCAGCTGGGACCTCAACAGGAGCCTCATCTTCAAGTTCTGCCGTAGGTAGCTCGGCAGGCTCTGGAGTGGGCTTAGGAACTGGCTCTGAAGCAGCTTGTGTCATTTCGTCCTTGGGCGAAGCAATCTCCGCCGGTCCGTCCGCGGGAGCGTCTTCCTCAAAGGCTGGTACTGTCGGTTCTTCTGTCGCGGCTCTTTGCCGTCGATCCAAAGTTGGAGGCGATTTCAAGCTCCCGAGGCTTGGCACCACTAACGTAAGATCTTCGTGGTCCCTAGATGGACTACTCGTCGGGATTGTAGTCTGCGTCCTCTTGGGCTTCGCAGGACTTGTTCGCGGCGACTCGCGAGGGGAAGAAACGGATTTCGCAAGGGTGGACTTGGCGCCGGGGGACGCATGAGACGTTGCAGCACGAGGCCTACTTTGGGCTCTCCGCGGGGAGGCCTCGGTTTTCGGCTTGGCTGTGGCACTCTTGGACTTCAGACTTTCGGGACTGGATGCCTCGGCGGAAGGTCCATCATGGGTGCGTATTGAGTAGGGTCCAGCGGTCGCGGGGCGTGCAGCCATTTCCGGCCTCCTCTTGGTTGGTCTCATGGGCCGAACAGACATGCCTCCTGAGGCTGTCGGTTTAACCGATGGCCCCGTGCCGGTCGACGAGCTCGAGGCCGGTTGTTGTGGCCGAGCGGGAGACAAAGTAGCCATTGCAGAGCCCGGGCGGGGTGGCAGCTTTTGTGATGCTGCCATTGTCGCCTTCTTCTGTGCCATCATGGTTTCACGCAGGGTCGGCTTTCCAGTGCTCATCGTGCTTTTGGACAAGCCCAGGCCTGGTCTGGCGCGCGTAGTCTCAGTCTCCCTCTTAGGGGCGTTGGGGTTGTTAGGGTCCTTGTCCAGGAGCTTTTGCGCAGTCGGTTCTAGTGTGTCCTTGAGCCTTTATTTTTTTCTGTCAGCGAAACGCAACATACGTGGGGACACTCTCAACATACATATCTGCCCTAGGTGGCCAGATATTGGCGAATACCCAAAAGGTGGCACGCATGCGCTCTCTGACGCCAGGGTTCGGGTCGTTGAGGCCCTTCTTGATGCATTTCTCGACGAGCTCCAGTCCGCCGCCGTGCTCGATGTGACTCTTGTGATGGGCCTCCTTGGTCAGTATCGTCTTCAGCCAACCAGTTGCGTAGGTCCTGGGTTGGACGTTCTTGTCCTGGCATGCACCCCAGATGTGCTGCATGATCCGCGAACTGTAGGTGACTTTGCCAATGATGATGTCTACTGTAGTGTTTGCCTGCTGGGAAGCAATCTTCTTCGTTGCCGCGGCGAGTTTGATGAAGGTCTGCATAAGAAGCTCCACCAAAGGATCCATGCCGGGGCCAAAGGTTATGGCAATATCCTGTACCAGGTTACAGCCCTCCTTTGAAAGACTGGTCCGCAGGGAAGTGATGGCCTTTATCATTCCATCGAGAAGTCCCTTCAGACCCAGTAAGAAGGCGTCGGGGAAGTCTTGGGGAACATTGCCGGCAATCAGCCTTCGCAATTTTGTCATGCTCTCTTCGCGCTTCAGCCAGTTTTGCTCCGACTCCCTGCCCTCAAAATACGTCATCATTTCCCTGAAGATGTCGTCTAATTCGCGCTGGGTGTTGGCGTATGACGGCTCGACCTCGCTTCGCGCTTCGGGGGCCGGAGTGACGGGGCGTTCGCTCGCAACGGATGATACACTCGCAGCCAGCTTCGGTCGGGGAGCGGGTGCGGGGGCATCCAGGCCTGGAGTCTTTGGTCGATCGGCCGCGGTGGGTGCAAGCTCTTTGACGATGGCTTGTTCAATGGCGGGGCGAACATTGAAGTTCTTTAGCTGTCTCTTGAGGTCGGATTTAGCCGCGTTGGGGGCATTTCTGCATAACAACAGTCAGCGCGAATCATGCTATAGAATCGGCGACACGAAATATACCGGAACAACTCAATGACGGTGCTCTTAGCGACGTCGCGCACCATGCCATCGGCATCCTCGAGCAACTCCATGAGAGTTGGGACATATGCGCGAAACTGTACGCCGTGTTCCTGGTGCATGTACAACAGCCAGTGCATGCCGGCCTCCTTTGCCCTCGGGTTCTTACCAACCATGGCAACATTCTTCACCGAGCGCTCAACGTCCATGGGCGCGGCTGTGTAGATGGTGGTCAGTGCCTGCGATGCGAGGCTCCTGAACTTATCCTTGGGATCGCCGAGCTTGTCAATGACCAGCGGGAGTGTGTGTTTCGCATCCTTGGCGATATACTTTGGCTCCTGTCTTGAAAGTCTTGTCAGGAGATGGTTGAGGGCCGTGAAGCCGGCGTTGACGAGAACGGCGTGCGGCGAGGTGGAGGCGGTTCGAAGACCATCGAAGATTTGTGGTACGAGGGCATCGGGAACATTGTGTTGCTTGATGCCGGACTTGATGCCGGTAACGTGCTGAACCTTGTGATCAACGCTGGCCTCGCTGCGGAGGATCTTTAGCAGGTCGTCAACCTGTTCCTCGGTGATTTTTTCCGCCATTCCCCGCAAAACGAGGGTTGGGCTCGGGTTGGGATTGGCCTGGTGCGAACAGAACGTAGTGTCAGCAGTTTTCTATATTGTCGATGTTCTAATTGTCGTCGACGTCGTCACGGAGGAAGCTTGAGCGAATGGGGCCGTTTGCGCGCGGGCACGCAGCCAGTCAGGATAGATGAGCGACGGGGAGGTCGACCATGAGCGAGGGCATGAGTCGTTTAGCGTACCGGGGTGGAGGGGTGCGTGGTATCGTTTGAAACTGGTAGGGCAGAGGAAAAACGTACAACTTGTGCAGATGTGCTTCGGAAGCGAGTAGCACGGAGGAATATCCCAGTGCGAAGAATGTGGCAGATTGGGGCCGGATTGCGCAGGTGGCAGCAGTGGCAGATGGGTTGTTGTTTATGGATGCGGTTGACGTTCTCGAAACCAAACAACAAAGGGGCATCGCAGGTTGTCCCGTGCACCAGCAGCCCAGGCCTGCGGCTATTGGTTGGAGATTCCGCTCCTGCGGTGCTGCGGGACACTAAGAGAAGCCGCGCTAGGCCCTTATCCGGTTATCGTGAGAGGGGGGCCCGGACCCTTACCCCTGCAGCCGCGGGGGAGGCACGTTCCCACCCAGGTCCCTGACCGGGAGCTCCAGCCTAGGTACTATGGTAAGGTACCTCACCTTACCTTACAGCAGCTGCGTGTCTGGAACAGGGTCCTCCTTTGAGATGGACTCATCCTCTCCCCGTCTTCCTCAGCTCGTCTCGACCTAGAGCGAGAATCATTTCCTATCTCTGTACGGATACAGCCTCCAGAATTGCCCGTGAGAGGAAATGCGCCTGGGAAACTGGGCTGAGTTGTCCCACAACCGCGTCCGCTTCCGCATGCAAATCGCCTACGCATTGAAACCCGAACAAAGTACCTGCATCACATTACATCAACCTACCTTGCCTACCACCACTACCTCACGCTAGGTACTCACGAAACCCAGGTAGCTCCAACTATCTTACCTAACTTTCTGTCCGGATTCGTCGGGCAAATCTCGAGCTGCTACTACTTCCCCTCAAAACCCCAGCGGGACCTTTCTCACAAATGGTCCTTCCACCCAACACCACGCCCAATCCCGACCCTATCGCCATCTTCCTCCCCGCCATGTCTTCGGCCGCTGCTGAATCAACCTCATCTGAGGTACCGGGCCCGGGTCCGGCGCCCCCGGCCGCGACCCCTCTCCCCGTTCACCTAAAGTCACCGGATCAGCATGCACCAGTCCCCGCCGCCGATCACCCTCGTCCCGTCCCGGACTTCGACCTTCCCAAGCTCCGTCTCGAGATCCGCGACCTGAACGACTCGGCTGCAATCCACTTCCTTTCCGCCGTGAACGCCAGCATCGCCCTGTCAACCGCCGTCCGATCTGTTCTCACCCTTCTCTACGAGTCACCTTCCTGCCACAACACCCACGTCCCGCCCACCCGCTCCGTCACACTGATCCTCCGTCACATGGGCGGCGTCGCCTATACCACAGGTTCCGACCTCGATGACGATCATAAGGAAATCCACTTCTCCTTGTCCTATATTGCGGGGATCCCCGCCGAGCGCCGCACCGACGAGATCATGGGCGTGCTCACCCACGAGATGGTACACTGTTTCCAGTACAATGCCCACGGCACCTGTCCCGGCGGGTTGATTGAGGGTATTGCCGACTGGGTCCGTCTCAATGCGCACCTGAGCCCACCCCACTGGAAACGTGACGCAAGCGGAAACTGGGACGGCGGCTACCAGCACACGGGCTACTTCCTCGACTACCTCGAGGGGCGCTTCGGCAAGGGCACCGTGAGAAGGATCAACGAGAAGCTCCGCACCCAGCGCTACACGGAGAAGGAATTTTGGACGGAGATGTTGGGCAGGCCAGTCGAGCAATTATGGAAAGATTACGGGGACAAGATGAAGGAGGAGGAGACTGTGATAGTCAACAAGGACGACATTTCTGACGATGACGTAAGATTGGGGAGGATCAGAGCTGCCGATGAGGTTTTACAGTGAGGAGATGATCTAACACCATACGTAGATACCTTGCAAGTCATATTTGGAGGGAGGAGTGTTGTTATTTCGGTTGCCACGGACACGACGCGGTGTGAAGGTTACTCTGAACGTAGTCTATCAGCAAGACCTTGATCACGGGGAAATGCATCTAGAAACGGAAGTTTCAAGTTCAAACCATTTGCCAAACCGCCCAATATCTATGAGTACCCCGGTTCCCAGTCCTGTTGAACCTTTTGCGCCTTTCCTTTGTCATTTCCGTCGCCTTCCTTGCTTGAGCGAGTCGCCTAAGTCGATCACAGTATACCAAAACATATTTAAGAAAGAACCGCTCATGCGTGGACACGGGCCTGCGCAGTTTGGCTACGAGTCTCGCTCTCACTGACAACGCTTCCAACCTCGGACCAGCTTGCAGGGGTCATCATACCCTCGCTCTCGCTCAGGACATCGTAGTAACGGCTGTTATCACCAGCTCTAGATGAAGCGGCATCGTTGGCGACGTCCTCGCCGGAGCCAGCGAGGGATGCAGAATCGGTAGGGGTGAGCTCGCCTTCGCTAACGAGCTCAGGCTCGGACATGGGTACGGGAGGCGACATGGGAAGCGGTGAGTAAAAGTTGGAGGGGCTGGACCCTTGTGCCCAGGCTTGGATGGAGGCATAGGCTTCTTCGCGATTTTCTTGGCCAGCAGTCATGTACTCGTCGGCGCCGAGCTCGCGGTCGAGCGTCGTGGATTTTTCGGACTGAGATAAAGTCTCGGAGACGTCGACCAGAGGGGGCATTTGGGCATTGGTGGCGGCGATGTCTCGGGGGCGCTCGTCGGCGTCGCGGGTGGTGGCGCTGTAAATGTCTGACACGGCCTCTTCGTGGCCGGGGGACATGTGGGCGGGCTCCTCCATCACTGACAAATCTTCCTGGACGATCTGGTGCTCGTCGGTGAATGGGTTTGCGTAGAGCGAGGCGTTGAGGCCGCGGACACCCTTGGGACGGCGTCGGACAAGTCCCTCGTCATGGTAGGTATTTGCGCCCGTATTGAAAACGAAAGATCCCTTCTCGCCACTCTTATCCTCGTGCAAGAAGTCGTCGAAGGACCTGCCCCGCGTTGGGCCGGGTGGCGGTAGCTCCCGCGAGTCGGATTCTTCGGCTTCAATTCTCTCCTTTTCCTTCTTGGCCAAGGCCACTGCATTCCAGTACAAGATCTCCTCGCGTTGCCGGCGGCGGGTCTCATCATCGGCGTCGACCCCTCCTCGGGACTCTAGAAAACCCTGGGCGTCCTCGGGTCGGTTGAACACGGGCGGACGGTCGCCCGGCTCGAAGCCCTCGCCCAACGAGTGCAAGGCCATGGCGATGCGTCTCCGAACATCGTTGGCATACCTCTGAAGTTCGGGCGATTCGTAAATGGCGATGGCAGCTGCAACAGCAACAGAAACAGCTATAATGCCGGCTGAAGCCAGGGCACCGTTGTTAACACCAGGCATCGTGAAGCGTCGAGGCAGATTAGGTTATAGGTGACGGACGAGAAGGCGAGAACGGTTAGGCAAGAGGGACACAGATTGCTTGCGACTTGCGAGGAGAGGAAACGAAAACCAAATAACAACCCGGGGAGCAAAACTGTCAAGCTCTAAATTGGCCACGCGCCCGAACAAGTCAGGATTGCGTGGTCGTGGAGGCCATTTGCCACAGGCCTGACCACCTCAGGCAAACAACGTGATTCGCAAGAGCGCTGACGCGGGGTAGCGTAGGAAGGCCAGAAAGAAGAGCGAAAGAGCAGAACAGCAGATCGTCGGGCAGTGTTTGGGGGGAATTGGGGACGTGGGTGGTACATGGAAGCGATAGGCGGCGACAGGGGGATGGTTGTACAAATGAATGTCACTCACCTTTGGCGGCAATTGGCACAGGCATTTCGAGCAACCTCTGATCAACGGGCCAAACACGCTTCAAAAAAGGAGGAAGAATCAGAGGTTGTAGATGGGAAAGGTGAATGCGAGGCGAGCGTGGCGAGATAGTTGAGGGAAGTGCAAGGTACGGAGTAAGGTAAAGTAAGTTTGTGAAGGGAAGGGAAGGGGAAGATGGTGTAAGTGGAAGGGTACGGTGTAGGTATTGCGGCAGGCTGTCGGCTTAGATACTCTCCTACTTTATCCGTACCTTACGGTACTTTGTACGGACGTACCTGGCCTTGGGTATTCACCGGCGGTACGAATACTCTTGGTGATTGCGTATCCCTCACTCGATACCTTAGTAGGCATGCTGCAGAGGTCACCTTACCTTGGGTTGGGTGGACGGGAGGCCTTGAAGTATTAGGTAGGTACCTCGACGAATGCTCTCGGTGCCCCCGTACCGCAACTCGAGCAGCCCGGATACCTCTGCTACCCCCGCGAAGGGGGATCCAGGACTGCCGCGAAGGGGAAGCCAGGAACGTCCAGCCAATAGTGCGCTGTTGCTGGACCAGACTTGGCGGGGGATCCCTGGACATGACTGCGTAGGGGGCGTCCGAATGGCTTAGCACCGATAAGATGATGACTTGGGTTGACTTTGTAGGCCTCGTGGTCCGCCTCGCCGCGAGATAGGCATGGACACTATAGTCCGAGTCCGCGGTGCGGTCAAACGTTCAACGAGTCACCCACGACTGCCAGAGGGGGAGGACGCTTGCGCGTGTTTGATGGGCCTTAGTTTAGTTCAGTTCAGGGGGTGGGCGGGGTGGTACGCCGCATGGCAATGCAGGCACCCACTCCCGTCGCTTGAGGGACCTTGTGCGTTGCTTGCCACCGTACGGCTCATCACCTTTGCGCGAGCCCCCAGCTGTGCCCAGCTGGAGGAAGCATGGCGTCCATCTCCTAGCCAAGCTGGAGAAGAAGACCCCAGGTTGCGGCTTCCTTCCGTCGGCGATGCGAGACTGCCATCCGCGGCGCGAGCATCCAACTAGTACTTGACGAGCGACGAGCAGGATTATCAAGCCTAGTCGAGGGTTCTCTATGGTCAAGAACGAGACGCAAAGTCCGCCCGCGTGACTCGCTAACGCATGGTCAGTGTGCAAGCAACGTCGTCACGATAGCATGCTCCGATACGCCATACAATGCTTTTCTGTGCAGAACGTTGAGTAGAAACCATCGATGGATTTTATTGAAGAGTAATTCTCCTTCCGTCAGGCCGCAATTGGCGTTCCGGAGCTATAGGGACATCCTCCGCCGAGTAAGACGGAAAGATGGATTCTGATTCAGTATCTAGGTGCCTAGGTAATCAGGTACTCTGCAGTGTGCTTGCTCCCGCAATGTTGGTTCACGCAGCCGCCCACCGGCCCATGTCACCACAGCCGGACAAAGAGGACCCATATTACCGGACTGCTTCGGCTCCGGTAATTATTCAGCCCCGCTCCGGCCCTGCTCCGGCCTTTCCGATTTCAGTTCATCCTCGTCCGCGGAGCATGTACAGCGTTGAATCAAGGGCATAAGACTTGGCAAGTCCACATCCGCATTCTCTGAATCAACTATGTACGGAGGTACGACCTAGTCGCCCAGCCTGTCATTCATCAGCGCCAATCTGCTTCCTTAGCTGTGATCTACTACTTGGGGAAACATGGGAGACGTTGCATGCTTCGGATGACGGGTTTGGCGGCTGATTATTATGGCGGAAGACACGCAGGGTTTTTCCCACGAGGGTTTCGATGTACACTGCTCGTTGGCTTTACTTTGTTTTCTCGTTTCTCTAAACGGCAAGCCTTCGATCGTCAGGGTATGGTTGGTAGCAAGACGAACCTCTGGGTGATTCCTTCACTCAGGCTTAAAACCGCCTTATGGAATTTTCTACTCAAACCATTGCGATTCCCTCATTAATCCAGTCGAGAGGTGTCCATTTTTTTTGGCCTCCGGATGTGTGAGTACTATTGTAATAAGGCGACGCGTCAGAGATCACAGACTTTAACTCTCATTCAGCTTGCGTAGGGTGTGCTGTCGAAGACTACATCTCAGCTACACAAGACGAATTTTTCAAGTCTCCATAATCGATAACGTTGAGTATTTACACTAGAGTAACCAAGCAAGTAAGCCAGCAAATCTCACTGGCTGCAAGGCTCTTGGCTACTGAGTCCACGCCCGAGACTAAGAAATGCGCGGCGGCAAATAGGTACTTGAACCTCTCACAGAGCCTGGGTAGCATTCCACCTGCAAGTTTTTAATATGTTAGATTCCAAGACGACACGCAATCGCCACTACATAAGAAAGATAGGAAGTCGATGCTGTCCCATAGGTTTATGGTGACCTCTGGGACTATCTAAGAAGCTCTCTCTGGGCGGTTCTGCTCCCCTGTAAAACAAATACATAATGGCGACTTGATTGTGTAATGTTAAAAACTTAATATTTAATCATGATATTCTGGTCTGCGAGAAGGCGAGGAGAAACAAAAAGTAGTGGACATTCCTGTCCACGACCTCTTGCAACATCGGGATGACTTCCTCTATCGGACTGGAAGTCACTTTCATGGCGTTTTTTAGCATTGACTGCTGAAACGAACAGTTAAAGTCGCGACAGCTTCGGATAAAAATATTAAACGAGGCGTCGTAGGGCAATTTATCACTCGGAGTGGCGAGCGGCACTGATGTCTGCGACGGATCAGGGTCAAACCTCGGGGTGCCTAGTATACCTCAGCTATATACTCAGCCAAGCTCTGCCCCAGGCTATTTTGAGATGGAAAGAACTACTCTAGAATGTTGTGCATTGGAATGAGACCAACATGAGCTGAGAGGTAACGTGACATGCGGCAGTGTAATACAGAAGTACAAAATCAAGATGATGCGAATATATGAAAGCTTTTCGAGTGTTTGCAAGCAGTCAGGATGCATTGCGAGCAGCCCTTATTCTCGTTGGCATGTGTGAGACGAAATATTCGCCATGGCTAGAATACAGGTTGTCGTATCGAACTATTGCTTTGCTGCACTCATCAACATAAGGGCTAACCTACATCCCAACTTAGACCAAACACTTCTCGTCGTCTTGAGTTAATGGTTGCGCTGTTATTGGAAGGTCTGCTGTATTAAGTTAAGCTTGCCTGGATATTGTTTACCTTCCCTCTTGTGCATGAACAGTTGGAACAAATTGCATCAAAATCCGACCGCGAGAGTTGAGAGATTTCTAACGATTCAAACCTAATCGAATACGTCATCTTGGGTTTGCAATCGAAAGCTTCCATCATCTAAGCTAGTGATCCTCGCCAGCCTCAGTGGGATACGCCACTGAAGCGATCTGTCACACATTGTACCTCCCTCCGGAGTCGATGTGCTGCGGAATCTTCTCGCGTGGGTACAAGGATGTAGAATCGGATCGGCTGTGCGTCTCTGAGGCTAAGCAACTCGTTCACATGGCACTGTGCACTTGGCATCCAACGACTGACATCCCTTGGCATCCGACCTGATGGGTAGAGTCGAACACTGCTGGGAGTGAAAGCCAAGGAGCCATAAAAGCGTCATCTTGGCTAGTCCTTCGCACCACGGGCCTTTCAAGCGGCCGGGTAAATAACTTCGGTGGAAGGAGAGGAACGTGTGAAGGCCGTTCACAGTCGACGCCCTGCTTGGGACAAACCCAAATGTCGGCGATCAAGCAAGACCGACCCCGACACCGGAATTGGATGGCCGCCATTTTGCCGCTCAAAGGTATCCACTAGCCTTCGGAACCGACTCGGTGCTCTTCGAAGATGTAAAGTACTAGAGGGCGAGCAGTGGATTCTCTCAAAATCGCGAGCTCGCCGTACAGACGATGAGCTAATGTAGGACACATGTACAGCATGGTTGCCCGGACTTGAACGGCTCTGGCAGGCTCGAGACCAGCAGCACCCGTCATGGAAAGCTTATAGCACTATCAACCAGCGTCGTGAGGTAGCTATTGTGGTGGTATTTTCTGATATACTGCCAATCACAATAGACAGCCACTCACTGCGATGGGTCTAGCAGGCGAGTGTCAGAGTACACTCTGGACGAGGAAGCCGCCAGACCACCATTGTCTGCATCAAAGTCCGCCAGACAAATTCCACAGATGCGACGTGGTTTTACCCTCTCAACAGGGTCATGCGTTGTATGTAGTGATGAAGCGCCGTTGTTCCGTGGTCGGGTCGGGATTCGCCCTCGCTCACCTTTGTCTACGGATGTGCCGGATGTTAGGCCACCCGCGGGTAAGGAAGGGGTCCTTTTGATGGGCTCGACGGATATGGTCAGCAAATGATGTACGCAATATACGATTGAGAGAGAAAAAGTCTTTGTCCAGCTAATTCCTGAACAAATAAATAGGCCCAGATAAAATGTCAGCGATCCTCTAGCAGACGCCAATTCTCGAAACTCCGAGCAGACCCTGCTTCGCCCTTCGACCCAATGGAGACCGGGGCCTTTCAGACCTATGCTTTGAGCACCCAAGACACACGGATTCCGCGGGTTAATGGGCAGCTGCTCCCGAGTATGGTGCTGTGGAGTTCAATGCTTGCCGTCAGCTCCGACTCGGGACCGATGCTGGTCCTGTTGGTGTTCTGCTTCCTCCGTTTGTCGCGCTCTTGTAACGACATGATTGCGCCGTTTAAACAGACAATTGGCTTTATCATCCTCTCCTGACGCTGGATGTGGCCCCGCCCTGTTCGAATTTTTGCCCCTGCTGACCAACTCCTCAACTGAGGAAGCTTGTGAGCCTTCTAGTGGGAACTGCTGATCGTGGAAGCAGACGACGAGCTGGTCTGTGACTCCGTAGAGTTGGTTCTGGTCGCCTTCGTGCGCTCGCTGGGGAATCGTTTCAGTGCAAATGTCAGGCTTCACAGACGGGGAGGGTCACTCACTAAGTAGAACGGTCCTGGAGGTGGCACTCATACTTGGCACTGCCGGTCTTGAACTGGAAACGGATGCCCTTGTTCTCTAGTACTGACTGGAGGTGACCCTTCTGGGCATCGGCGGAAGGCATTGTGAGCTGGGGGGAGAGGTTGCTCAGGGGTTGTGATTTGAATGCGGTTTTTGCTAGAGAGCTATGAAGGCTTCAGACGATTGACTGAAGGCGGCAGAGGTGGACAGAGCAAATGGTTTGAACAGGAACATCGGATGCAGAATGAAGGGAATGCCAGCGTCAATATATAGAGCAAAGGGTCCGCAACGCTTACCTAGACGGCTGCCGACTTATCCAGCGTTATTGGCCACACGCTTAGACTCGCGACAGACATGCGCGGAAGAAAAGGCCCCAGCACCGACGAACCTTGGATTCGGGGATGAGGACTTTACACACAGGAACGGTGCCGGTGCTCACTCCACAGCGGTCCACTGCGTAGGCACGGAGGGTAAGGAGAGCCGATGAGCGATATTCTATCGACTATGAGTTGGGACTGGTATTGGCCGCAGACAAAAAGCCGGACAGCGAGATGGTATTCATGCGTCCATTTTACCTACATGTGAACTTGCTACCCCACATTGCCTAGTCTACGGATTACTCGGTCACAGCGTTTTCCCATGCTCATCTCCATAGGTACTAGGAACCAACAACATAGGGTCTCCGTCATGAAAGCAGCCAGTCCGGAATGGCTTCCCTAGCCCCCGTGCCGCGCGACACTCGGTACGTATGTTTGGGTTGCAGGAGTCATTTGAGACTGATACTTTAACAAACAAAATCCTGCGTTTCTCAAGGCTAGCTTCCGTAACGTACCAATACGTACCGAATGATAGATACTCTTTCTGACGGAAGATATACCCCGTCGAAGCATACTTCTTGGAGCGACCAGCAATTACCTGCCCCTCGAATTCCGTGATAGCCCTACCATCGCTTAGCTTCAGCCTTTCTCTCTGTATCGAAAAATGGTAGTGCATGCTTTCCTTCCCGAATTCTGCAATATCTTGGCATGAAGCATCGGTAGGCTTGAGCTGGCATCCCTTACTTAACCCTCGTAGCTTCTCTCGACTACAATACCCGAAGTCCTTAGCTTAAGGTCGCCTCTAACCCAAGTACAATAGTCGATTACAAAGCATCACCCTCCAGGTGTACGTTTCCCTTCCTTCTAAGCGCCACAAAGTACGCCTCTTTTGAGTCCTGCAACTGCGTCAGCATCATCCAGCCTACGATGCGGCTCTCTATCCATACACTGCGAGATGACTCTGGCTTCTCTCGAAAGACCTTGGCAAACAACGTTTTCAACTTCTTTTCAAACTCTTTATCCTCAGAACCCTGGTAAAATTTGCAGACAAAATGCCCACCGTTCCTGAGCGTGTCGTTGGCGAACTGTAGTGCCGCTCCGCAGAGATCCTTGCGCCGCGCCTTAGTAACTTCATCGGTGGTAGGGAAGGGTAGAATACGTACCATGCTTCCGGCGTGGTCTCGGAAGGCCATGCCGCTCGTATTCATCATCCTGTGATAGGGATTACTAAGACTGTTCACGCCGAATCCACTGGTCTGGTCCCAAGGTGCTGACATATCACTCAACACAATCTAGTCTTTGGATCAGTCTGACATGTCCAACACATCACGACGCAGGTGATGAGTGGAGGATGATGGGAAAGACTTACATCCACCAACCGACCCTTCTTGGCCTCCACTCCATCATTGGCGACACTTGTAGTCTCGGACGCTGCCCTCTCCATGTCGATGTAGCTCGGTTTTTCCTCAATAACTATAGCCTCACCATCTTTAGACGAGCTTTCTGCTTCGTTCTCTTGCTCATCCTCTTCCTCTGCCTGCGGCGAGGTCTTCTTGCGGTGCCTGGCTCGTGAGAGGTAATCTTTCACCATACCCTGGACATCGGGCGAAAGGAAGTTGCCTTGGATCGTCGAGACACCCTTGGGCGGCTGCGCGGGTATGATGTCAATTCCCAGGATCTGGCCATTGGGCTTTGTGCGTTCGACGGCGACCTATTTGGTCTTGTTATACGTCCTGTTTTTCCTCCGCGTTTTCCGCTCCTTGCCGATTACTTTGTCAAAATTGACGTACCTGTGACCAACTTCCTGGAGCATACCCCTTTGTCGCTTTCTCAGCCTCATTGCATCCATGCCTCTCGACTGAGACGCCAGTCACTCTTCCAAAAACTCACCAGATCTACTACCGTCTGTCCTTTGCGAAATATTTTGTACTTGGCGTCCATCTTCCATCCCGTGTTATCCTTCTATGCCCTAATAAAAATTCCGTCCAAGATTTGGTGGTCACATACCTCTAGAAGCTTGAACGCAGCCCGGCTTTTGAGTCCCTGCACCTTGGCCTCGCGGGCAAACATGTCTTTGCCCTGCCTCATCTTCCACCGCGAGTTGGAAGAAGACGCCCGCATCTGGAGAGCCTCATGAAAGCTTCTTTGACATTGCGTGCATGTCGGAAATTTGCGGAAAGAGGGTTGGTGTCTTGTCACGTTCCACAGAGAACGAAGTGCTGCTTCTGACATTGTAGGGGTGGGATGTGACGATGGGGATTGGGATGGAGTTGAGCGCCTTTGCAATCAGTACTTGGCTGGCGTTTCAAGACTTCGATTCAAGCCAATCATAGATGGCTGCCGTTTGAGGAATTAAAGTCGTTGTGTTGCTCGATACTCATGAAATGGAAGCTGAGAGGTAAAAGGGAAGCTTCTGCAAATAAAGATGAGCTGAGGAACTTGATTGGCCCAAGCTTCTCGGATGTGTGACCAGGGGCAAGGAGCTTTAAGGTGACCCAAGTAAGGTAAGCCGCAGCTTCGCCTCTGCTCAACTGCCCAACATCTCGTCGTGCACAACTCGAAGCAATCGAACCGCTTCATTTCACGGGCATTTGAAGATAGTGTTGACAGGCGCTCACAAAGTTGGCAGAAAGGCAGCCCTTTAGGGCCTTTTCATTGGATATATGCAACCGTATCTGTACACAGACCTAACCTAACCCTCCCTGAACGCAGAAACAACCCCAAAACGCCGCCGATGCATTGCCACTTTTGACGCCTCCCATTGAGCTGGAAACACAAGCTGCAGCATTATACGCTCGAAATGACAATAGTTCAGGGCCAAATCACGCAAGGAAGCTAGCACCAACCCCTCTTCTGTCCTTCTTGAGCGGCGAGAATGACTTCTTGCCAAAAGCACCAGCGTTGCGCACCATACTAAGGTGCGTCTTGCCGAGAGCTCGGCCAGCACCCATGCCAGCCTTACCAGGCCGCTTGGCAGCAGCGGGAGGCACCTCGCCGTCGTCATCATCAAAGAGAGTTGCCGTTTCACCGCCCAGCTTGCGCTTCTTCTTCTTGACTTCCTGTTCGCCGCCCATGACAGCGGTCACCGCAGGGGCGGTGGCCTTCTTGCTGGCAGCGGTAGTCTTTGCAGGAGCCGCATTCTCTGGATCGTCCGTGTTAGACTCCTCTGGCACCTGTTCAAGAGAAGCAATTGACGCAACGTGAGGTTTGTTGACCGCAACTGAGGCCACTTGCACGGGCATGTTGGGTGATGTTTCCGTCAGAGCCTTCTTGGGCCGACCCCGGGACTTCTTCGTCTCCCCATCGCTCTTGGGTTTCGACTTTGCTTTTGCAATCTTGGTGAGAGCCGATTTAGCCGCAGATTCTTCAAGCTCTTCAACCTCCTCTAGTTGTTCCGGCGCATTCTCATCCTCGATCTCGGCCTCGGTGCCAGCTTCGATGTGGACTTCCTGAGAATGAGACTGGTGGGACAGAGGAATATAGCTGACTTCAGCTTCGTTCTGCTCCTCATCTTCTTCGGCGACTGCATCCTCAACATTGAGTGTCTTGGATTTGGCCAAGAAAGGAGTAATGGAGAACAACGACTTCTCGCCTAAAATCGTCTGCTCAAGGCCCTTCTTCTTAGCAGGGCGCCGGCCGCGAGTGATATCATCTGGTGTGCCGATGCTCATGTCGTTTATGGTGATCTCCTCAACTCTTCGCTTCTTGCCGGGTTGCGCCTTTCCGCCTCCTGCGCGCGCAGTAAGCTGTGCACTCGGTATAGCTGCCGGTCGAGCGACCAATTCCGCACGGACGGCCTTCAACTCTTCCTGAGCGTTGCGCAACTTGGACTTGACCGTGTCTAGGCGCTGTTCGAGCATCTCGTTCAGTGCTTGGGCCTCGGACAGAGCAATCTCATGCTCCTTCCGTACCTTTTCTCGCTCCCGCTTCTCAGCCGAAAACATCTTCTCCGTCTCTTGCATCTTCTGGGTCAGCTCCCGCTCCGCCTTTTTGTTCTCTTGTCCAACCTTTGCAGCCGAAACAGCAGCCTCCAGCTCTTCCCGTAGCTGGCCCTTTTCACGCTTTTCAGCTGTCAGCTTCTTCTCGGCTTCCTTGAGTCTACGCCGTAACTCGTCCTCGGCCGATCTGTCGCCCTCCGCTTGTGCCGTCTGATGTTCCCGTGCTCGTTTCTCGGCTGCCAGCTCTATTTCAGCCATATTCAGCTGACGCTCTAATTGCAATTTTTCCGCGATGACGTTTTGCTGATGGGCGACTTGTGATCGTAGGTGTTCCAATTCAGGTTTCATGGCGTTCACCTCCCGAGATAGAGCAAGCTTCTCTGCAAGCACTTTCGTAGAATCTTGAGACAGGCTATTGAGGGATTCGAGTTCGGCCTGACACGTTCGAAGTTAGGATAATTCGTCGGGCGCGGCCGGATCGGCGTTCACACCAACCTTGATGTGACCAAACTCCCTCTTCTGAGCCTTTAGCTGATTCTCTTGATCGCGATTTGTCGCCTTGAGAGATTCCAGGTCACTGCGTGTCTGGTCGAGCGTTTCGGACAGCTGGCTGACTTGCGTTTCCTTTTCCGCAAGCTGCTCGCGTAAAGTCACATTCTCGTCAAGGAGGACTTGTTTGGTGACCTTTTGTCTTCGCGTGTCTTCCTCTTTGACAATGAGCTGTGCTTTGTGGATGTGCTGCTGGTGTTTCATCTCGAGCTCGTGAGCCGCGGCGGCTCGCTGTATAGATAATTAGATAGGGATCATGATAGTCTGGTCGACTGCTGAACTTGCCTCCTCCGAGTCCATGTTCCTAGTTTTGCAAGGCATAGTGGCAGTCTTGTGCAGTTGCTTCTGCGCTGGAAGCGCGTCGACGCGTTGGGTTGAGAGGCCCCTAAAGAGGTGTGATTCTTCCCAAAGCCAAGGAATTATAGTTCCCAAGTCGTTCTTGGCCAGAAAGCGCGACAATATGGATGCCCGCACGTATGTCGATCGTGGTTCGCGATGTCGATGCTGAAATGGTGGTGTGTTTGGGCTGACTTTGAAATGGAGTACCAATTGGCGAGGTAAACATGGTTCCCAAACCGGTTAGCCAATCGACGCCGTGGCCCCCGCTCCAGGCAGACTGTCTCCACAGCTCTCGACTTCTGGTCTCCCTTCTGACGCAGTGACGGCAAACGGCTCAGGGGTGACGCAGGGAGAAGCAGCCCGACGTTCTCCCGTCCAGGACAAAACAATATCCGACACCGGCTGCTGCTAGGTGCCCGCCTTCCATGTTAGACCGGTAGACCCCAGCCTACCTGACTAACCTAGGTACCTTAACTTACCAGGTATACGTACCTTCTTCAGCCAAGGTCGGAAAGCTACGTACACAAGCGTGCGACTCGACCCACCTCACTGTGGATTGTTTGCCGCTGTTGAGAGCTGTCCAGTTCGAGCTGCTGAATTTCCGTGTGAGGCATCTCGACAACACTACATTACTTGCGGCGCACACCAATTCATTACGCACGCCCGACTTCAGTACCACCCGAAACGGCCAATTGGCCACAAAACCAAATCTTCAAACGCCTCCAAAGCTCTTGTCGCGTCTGAATCATTGACGCATCTCTCACAATGCATTTCCTTCGCTCCCTCGTGGCGGCAACCTTCCTCGCCACCGGGGCCTTTGCAGCCAAGAAGACCCCCGAAGAACGTTTCAACGATTTCCACGCAAAGGCCCTCACCTCGTCCCCGATCAAGCTTGCCGACACCAGTTACAAGTCGTTGACTTCGGCTCCCCGCGATTATACCGTTGCGGTCCTTCTGACTGCTCTCGAGAATCGGTTCGGCTGTCAGTTGTGCCGAGAATTCCAGCCAGAATGGGATCTCCTGGGTAAGACCTGGACCAAGGGCGACAAGAAGGGCGAGTCGCGCCTTCTCCTCGGTACCCTCGATTTTTCCGATGGCCGTGAGGCTTTCATGTCGGTACGTCCACTCAGGATCGAAGCTGTTGTCAATTGAATTGGCCAAGAACTTACACGACGACTGCCAGCTCGGCCTCCAAACCGCCCCCGTGCTGCTCCTGTTCCAGCCCACAATCGGCCCTCACGCTGTTGCTGCCGCTGATCCCCTACAATATGACTTTACCAGTGGGTGAGTAGCCAATTTCAAGAACGACGAGCCTCGCCGGTAAAACTAACAAGTTACAGACCTCAGTCTGCTGAGCAGGTCCATGCCTGGCTCTCGAGACACCTTACCGACCGACCCCATCCTCCGTTGAAGCGCCCGATCAACTGGATGCGCTGGATCTCCACCATCACCATCGTCCTCGGTGTCGGAACAGTCCTTGTTACTGCCTCGCCTTACATCCTCCCTGTCATTCAGAATCGCAACTTGTGGGCCGCCATCAGTCTTATTGCGATTCTGCTATTCACCAGTGGCCACATGTTCAACCACATCCGCAAAGTTCCCTACGTGGCTGGAGATGGCCGCGGTGGTGTCAGCTATTTTGCCGGCGGCTTCCAGAACCAGTTCGGTTTGGAGACCCAGATCATTGCCGCTATCTGTTTGTGTACCCCTCCCCGCGTGAAGTCCCAAGACTAATCAAAGACAGACGGCGTCTTGGCTTTCTGTGCCATCTCTCTCACCGTCAAGGTGCCCCGCATCAGTGACAATAAGAGGCAGCAAGTTGCTGTCCTAGCCTGGGGCGGTGTATTGTTCATCATGTACAGCTTCCTTCTCAGCGTTTTCCGTATCAAGAACGGCGGCTATCCCTTCTCCCTGCCTCCTTTCATGTAAGGATGTATCTTGACAAGCAGGCACTATCAGAAGCAACCACCCGCGCTAGCAACTTCTCGTCTTACCTCGAGTTGTTCTTCATAGCTGTTCTCTAGGATAGCCATACCTCGCCAATGGCTAAGAGGCCTGGTGTCACCTTCGACACAAATGTAACATATCAATAAGGGATCGTCGGAAGCTTGTAGAGAGGGCCATCGGACGTGGCAAAATGATATTCCACGAATTGAACTACATCAGCATTGCAGTACATTTCGTCAATCATCTTGGTGTTTGCCCGCTGTATTTTCGATAACCGAAATATATGGGGCATGTCAGAGAGCCTGCATGCGTGTCTCCCTTGTGATCTTTAGGTGCTTTCAGATCAAACCGAGGGTTTTCTCTCATTTAAATCAGATCGTACATCGGCTTCGTCTTTGTATTCAGTACTGAAGGAAATGTCAATTTATTTGTATGCCGCTTCCAAGTCTCGTCCTCGCAGTATGTTTATGGACCTAATGTCATATTATCTCCCTCTGTCGGATATTCCCTCTAGGCCAAGTTGTCTGTTGCCTCAGCTTGGCACGGGGGACCAAGACGGGACCACCTGCTCCACCTGAGCGCCAATATGAACGGCAGATCACATCGCCTAGACCGAGATATTCCATCGTTGCTTCTTCGAATTGATGAACACCTCAACGACGTGTTGTTTCGATGTCCAAAAACCCCAAAGCGTCTGAGAAGATCGCTAGACGAGCTTGATGAGGTTGAAAGCTATAGTTCTTCCTCGTCCAGGAGATTGTCCTATCGGACAGATCAATGAGTATCCAGACCGTTGGTGCGCGTCATGCTGACGGCTGTCTCCTTCCTAATGAGGTTGACCCCGAGGCCGTATGGCAACTTTTTAATCTCAACCAAGTGTCGCACCATCATGACTTTGCAGGCGGATGAAGGAGGTTTCGTCCGGCGGCAACTGACCAATTTACAGTTGGCGCAGCCAAGCCATGAAGTCAGCATCGGACTTTTTAGCCGGCCGAGGAGAGTTCAAGCACTTAGCACCAGGATCGCCCCCCGCTGACCTGGTGTTATTGCCGGCTAAGGTGACAACTACGACTTTAGGCTGTTACTCTTTATTCCGTCCTCGAGGACCCGAGAGGGACAAGTCACTTGAATTAAAGTGATCAGTAGTTAATATGTCTGCTTCTACTATGATGCCATTTTGTTCTGAAGGCCCTTGGGTGCATTTGGTCTTAAACTTCTCGTTTTGCATTGTCATGCAAAAGGGCATAGCAATCGTCTTGAACAGCAGTTATATTCTGTTTATTTCACTTCCCCTACTATCTACGGATGAGCCTAAAGATCCGTACTCTACAGAAACAGAAGAAGAGTTGGTGAAGACAGCCAGGAGAAGAGAGTGAAGTGCGAAGAACTGCAGAATATGGAGCTTCTCCATTAAGCGCTCGCCATTGCAGTATTTGCGCTGGACCTGTTGGGATTGGAACGTTCTCCGGTTGGGACGGCCTGTCCTTGAAGTACTCTTTCAAGTTACCTAATGTAAATGCTCACCCATAGTTGGAATGATGTCAAGAATAAGATATCTTCCCTCAAAAAGTTGAAGCGGAGGTTGGTCTTACGAGGTATTATTTTCTGATATTACACATACCACCATATCCATTAAAGCTATAACCCCTTTGCACCTCATTCCTGGATTTGCGAGCCAACCATTGCTTGAACGTTACATGAAGTGACCAATCTGGCGGTGGACTTCGCATCGAGAGCCCTTGAATGTAAGGTGCTAAGTTGTCACCGCGTAGTATCGGCTTGCTCTAACAGCGCTTATGAGATTTTCCATCATCTTAGCCACTCGGAGCCGCTTGGGTAATCATTCTTGGCTCGGAGGCTTGAGACCGAAATAATCACCGCCACCGTGACCTGGTGCCTGATTGACTTTACGCGGAGGTTCTGGGTCAAACACAACCCAAGGCTTTGGATGTTGCCCATCTTCGTCGGCACCATCATGGTAAATAAATAGTGCTGCGTCTCCCAGTCTGGCCATGGCTCTCATCATCAAGACTTCAACATTATTACGGCAAACTTCACTACTTCGAAATAGTAGGGCCTCAAGATGAACTTAACCGCCGCTACATTGGTGGCTCTGGCCTCGATGACCATTGCTGCCCCCTCCCAGACCATCAAGGAGCAACCTCCACAGGCCGCTTTTGCCTGCTCCGCTAACGTCTCCCTGGATGCGAAGACCAATATCTTCTCCAAGTATACCCTACATGCCAACAGCTTTTACCGTGCTGAGATTCAAGCCGCCGCCGCCGCTATCTCGGATGGTTCCCTGAAGGCTAAGGCCCTGAAGGTCGCTGATGTCGGCTCCTTCCTCTGGCTGTATGTTGACCCCAGCATCTGGAAACCTTCCTTGAGCAGTGAGATACTGATGCTGCAGAATCTAGTGACACCATTGCTAACATCCAGCGTCTTACACCCGCCATTGCCGACGTTCCCTGCGACCACATCCTCGGCCTAGTCATCTACAATCTTCCCGGCCGTGACTGTGCTGCCAACGCCTCCAACGGCGAGCTGAAAGTTGGAGAGCTAAACCGTTACAAGACGGAGTACATTGACCCCATTGTCAAGATCCTGAAGACGAACCCCAAGACTGCCTTCGCTCTCGTCATCGAGCCCGACTCCTTGCCCAACTTGGTCACCAATGCCAACCTTCAGACGTGCCAGAACTCGGCATCGGGTTACCGCGATGGCGTTGCATACGCCATCAAGACCCTCAACCTCCCCAACGTGGTCATGTACCTCGATGCTGGCCACGGAGGTTGGCTTGGGGTACGATCTTATTTCCCTCATCCAAGTGATGTATCCTTGTTCTGTCTTGCTTACTCTGCCTGGAATATGTTGCTAATTGACTGATGCATAGTGAAATGACAACCTTAAGCCTGGTTCCGAAGAGCTCGCCAAGGCATACAAGGCTGGTGGCAGCCCTTCGCAGCTTCGAGGTATCGCCACCAACATTGCCGGGTGGAATTCTTGGTGAGTCTCACCCAGGTGCTCAAACTTTAAGAAGCAGGAATGAACGTGAAGAGACCTTTCACTGACAAAAAGTACTTACTTCAGGGACGCTGAGCCCGGTGAATTCGCCAACCCCCCGGGCCCCGGATGGCCAGTACAACAAGGCCCAGAACGAGAAGAAGTACGTGACTCTCCTCGGTGTCGCCCTCCAGGCAGCCGGCATGCCCAACCACGCCATTGTCGACACGGGGCGCAACGGGGTACAGGGCCTCCGTCTGGAGTGGGGCGACTGGTGCAACGTCAACGGCGCCGGCTTTGGCCTCCGCCCGAGCGGCAGCACCGGCCTCGAGCTTGCGGATGCCTTTGTGTGGGTGAAGCCTGGTGGTGAGTCTGACGGGACCAGCGACTCGAGCGCTACACGGTACGATTCGTTCTGCGGCAAGTCTGATGCCTACAAGCCGTCTCCCGAGGCTGGTTCTTGGAACCAGGCCTACTTTGAGATGCTGCTCAAGAATGCCAAGCCTTCTTTCTAGACGGAGAAGGAAAGCTTCACTACGTTGACACATTGGCGACATTGGGGACCTTCAAATACGTGAGAAAGGGGCTACCTCTCCGCAAGATTCTCTTCCACACGTGACCAAGCTTCATTATCCCAGCATATATGTATCACCTTGGGTCTATACATCTTTATGAGATCATTATTTTATGCAACCATGCGACAACATGTGATTTTGACGACGCAGTGATTAAGGTGGTCAGCATTTGAGAACGAGACTTAGCAGTCACGTCTCATTCTACGAAGCCGACCTGTATCTAACAAAAGTGATGTTGACACACATATCACGGGAAAAGAACATATATCATCTCTGGACTCAGAAGACCTTGTCTGCATACGGTATTTCACAGTCATCACTCGAGGCAGGGTAGGGTCGACGTGGTTGTGTGCTGACCAAGTCAACATCACGATTTAAACGAGAAACAGGATTTTTTTGAGTTTGCCAGGATCTTTTGATTTGGGCGTTACGTGGGTTCATGTCCAGAGTCCTTTCGTGGGCTGCCTATAAGCCAGCAATGCAGTCTCATCCCCAATTTTTCACAAATCGTTTTGACCCTGCGCATCCCGAAAGACATAACGAGGAAGCCAGCCTAGGACGCCCGCCATGATCTACCATCTCAGAGCCCTTTCCCCACCACACTTCGTCACCATCATCGCATAACCCAGAGAGAGAGAGAACAGAAGAGAGCTTCACGCCCGTTTATGCTCTCGACATGACACCCCAGGCACGGATGATGTTGTCGGTGTAACCGGCGAACAGGGTCTGGCCATCGGCGGACCAGGCCAAGCTCACGCACTCGGGCTCGCGGCTCTTCTTGCCGACAGCGGTGAACTCAGGCTTGAGCTCATCAACCTTGCTCTTCTTCTCAAGGTCGAAGATGATGATGCTGCTGGCGGTAGCAGCGCAGAGCCAGTAGCGGTTAGGGGAGAAGACAAGGGCGTGGATCTCGTCGTTGGCGTTCAGGGAGTAGAGGTGCTTGGACTCGTTGAGGTCCCACAGCATGGTGGTGCCGTCCTTGCCACCGGAGGCGCAGAGCGAGCCGTCGGGAGAGATGGTGACGGTGTTAATGTAGCCGGTGTGGCCGATGTGGTCAGTCTGCAGCTTGCAGGTGCTGAGCTCCCAGACCTAGAAGTGTGTCATTGTTAGCCATACTGATCCAGCACGGAGTTTTCTACAGACAACGACAAAATTTGGGGGTGCGAGATCAGTGCATTGGTGAATAGTGGTCTCATGGCCTGCACGGCAGGCTCTGAAGTAGCAAATACTTTTGGTTGCAAAGCATCATGTCGAATCGAGTTGTTGGGGCGGTGTTTCCAGGAAAGCAAATACTGGGGTACTTGAAACTCACCTTGACGAGCTTGTCCCAGCCGGAGGAGACAATGACGGGGTTCTGGGGGTTGGGGCTGAAGCGGACGCAGGAAACCCACTCGGAGTGACCCTTCTCGGAAATGGTGTACTTGCAGTCACCGAGGGTGTTCCAGAGCTTGATAGTGCGGTCGCGGGAGCCGGAAACGATTTGTCTGTTGTCGGCGGAGAAGGAGACGGACAGAACGTCGTTGGTGTGGCCGACGAAGCGGCGGGTGGTGGTGCCGGTGGCAAGCTCCCAAAGACGGAGAGTCTTGTCCCAAGAGGCAGACAGGGCGTAGGCGCCGTCCGAGGAGATAACCTATTTTCCTTCCCATCAGCGCCAGAATTCCCAGTGATCCTAGCCCAGCAAAAGAGGAAGCAAAAATTTCGTTGGCTTCGGAGGAGTGTTCGAGAGACGTACGCAGTCGGAGACGATGTGGGAGTGGCCCTTGAGAGAGCGCTTGGGGTAACCGTACTGGGACTCGTCACGGGTGAGGTTCCAGATGATCAGAGTCTTGTCACGGGAAGCGGACAAGAGCATGTTGGGGCTGGCGAAGTGTTAGCGACCACTGTTCTTCGAGGTTCTTGGCCTCCCCCCGGCCGGCGCTGCTATGCGTGGCTCGCGTCTCGTTGCCCATTTCGAAGACTCCCGTCCTTCTCCTGAAAGAAACGTCGGTGGCAGCGGTATTCGTGCAAGAGGAATCGGAGGGGAAGAGGAATGTAAGGTTGATCGTACTTCTCCATGGAGGTAGCCAGGCTGGTGACCCAGCCATTCTGCAAAAAGCATCCCCGTCAGCCATTTCGACTCTTCCTCAAGCACATAGTAGAATGACCGGCGCAACGCAGCGGCGTGCGGGCAAGTGAGACGGCAGCAACTTACGTGGCCCTCGAGGGTACCCTTGAGAATCAACTGCTCAGCCATTGGGAAATGAGGCAATCAGGTCGATTGAGTGGTGAGGGAAAGGTAGAAAGATTGGAGTTGATTCTGAGCGTCACACCTTTGACCCTTGGGGAGCTTGATCTGAGATTCCGGATTTTGGGTGTGGGTGAAAAAAATTAGCAAACTTCGCTTAGGGCCTGGCAGGTGGAAAGAGCGCCAGCCTTGCTCCTGCTGTGGTGAGTGCGGGCCAAAGAGGTGGGGCATAGGCCAATGGGAGGTGCCCGTGGCTGCGCTTCCTCTGTATTGCTCGCACAAGGCTGATGGGCCCCATAGCAGAATAGCAAAGTACATTGGTACCTAACAGGAAGTCCAGGCCCAATGTGCCAGGCCAGGTCCATCACAGGAAGTTCAGTTCTGCATGTCACTCGAGGCAGGGGCTCGCAGAAACGGGACTTGGGTCGTATCGAGACCAAGATTTACAGCCTCCGTCCACCTGCGTCTCTCATCAGAATGCAGTTTTCACCATCTCGAAGCTCATTCTTGCCAGTTTCAATCTGTTATCCACACCTAGCTCCCAGACCTCTCATGGCTGCCGTTGTCTTGGTAATCTTTCAATTTCATTCACACCCTAGGGTAGGTAGACTGAACCGCGGGAACCCATCACGTTGGAGGCATTGCTATTGTCGTGAAAACTGAGCATAATCTTGATGAAGCGCTTGCTGCCTATGCAGATTGCAGAATTTATCACGCCCCGCTCCTATCCATGTAGTCGCTAAAAAGTGCTCAAACTTGGCAATGATAAGGAATGGTCCTTCCGTCTCAGTGGCCTCCTTCTCGACCTTCAAGTGAGGTGGTTTTGTGTTGCAGCCCGTCTATACGATGCCTAAACGCCTTGCTGAATGCATGCCCGTTTCCGAAATCAATCAATCTTTGTGGCTGCCTTGACTGGCATCCGACACACCCATATCTGCTACCCATGCCTGCTAGTCCCATTCATTGCTTTTCCTTTTCACTCTAGGATCATCCGGCAAAGCACCGAACTTTTGTTTTCGGCCTTTAACGAGATCGGATGACTAGCCTTGCCCAGCGGCTCGCTTACTCTGCCTCTGGACTTCTCTGCGCAAATGCCGGGCGTCCGAGTTTACAATCATGCTGTGGTCGGCAATCTCGAGTTGTTGACCGGTTGCGCCGCCTTCCTTCTTGACGAATCCTTCCATAGCGGCTGCCCATAGCGAATAGCGCTCCTTGGTCATTGGGTCGCGCTCCGATAAGGATCTGATTTCCTTCTGCTTTCGAACCTTTGCCGCCCTCACCAGGCCTCGGAGGGCCTCCTCTCCTTGCTTTGAAGCCTTGGCCGCCTCCTCTCTCGTCCTCTGAGGGTCGCGACCATTGTCATCCTCCTTGGGCGTGTATTTGTAGGTATGTTTGCTAGGAAAGTCCGGGAAAGACTTTGGTATATACGACTTGGCTTCCTTCTCGGGCTTTCCGCTCAGCTCCTCGCCGAGGAGGGGTAAGGTTGTGTACGCATCTGGATCCTCGACCAACGGGTTGAAATATTCCACATCTAGCTTCGCCTTTGACACGGGATGGCGGACGTGGGGTCGAAGCGACGTCGTCTTCAAAGTGAAGCGTCGCATCATAGACTCAAAGTCGGCTGGGCTGGGTTGCTCACGCCGTGCAGCAAGGGCGATACGCTTGACATCGTCGATCAAAGAGGCCATGTCTGAACGCAGTGTTAGCGCCTACGAGCATGCGATGTCCACAACTCTTCTGGCAAAGCTCACAGGTCTCTACGGCCCCCAAAAAGCCCTCCATTGCTTCCGAGGTGGCGGAATCAAAGCCGACTTGCTGCAGTGCCAATCCTATGCTTCTTTCGAGGCCGCTTTTTGCTTGGTAGTCGAGAGAAGGAATGGTGACCTTGTTCGCGCCAGAAAGGAGGTTTGGCTCTTCATCGTCGGCGGCGGTCGGGCTCATAGGCGCGTCGCTATCTGTCTTCTGCCTTTTAATGCTTACTTTCTCATCTTCACTGGACGAGCTCCGCTTGAGCGGTGTCGTTGCCGCGGAAGGCGAAGACATGGCCGACGTTGAAAAAAGCTCGAGGGGGAAGGAGTTGTGGTTAAGTCGAGGTTGGAAGATGCACGCGCGGCTGTTTAGGACAGCGGAAGTCCCGAATTCTGCTAGAGTATCACCTTGGCAAAGAAATGCGCGATGACAGCGGAGATGGCGCGCGCGCTTGTGTTGTGGAATCTAAGCGTTGAGAAGAGGACGCGTTGGAAGGCTGAACGTCGGTGGAAGGGATATTGTTCGAAGTCCGGCATTCGAGGTTCCCAAGTAGATCGTCTGTGCTAAGGTAGGTACGGATACCTTACCTTGATCCTTGGGTGCCATTACAGCTGAAGCCGGTCAGCTCACGCGTTGGTGGGTACGTACCTACGATTCCTCGAGAAAATTGGATACCTGTATGAGGCTCTTCTGTGAGTTCTGTCTTGCTGGGGTTCCTCCCAACCCCTCGGCAGTTGCTTTCCGGCTCATCCTCCACTGAACTCAGACCTGGGCCCACCCTTCAGCGCCTGAAAAAACCCTGAACCAATCATGTATAGATGACGAGCCCTGAACCACAACCGTGGACCCGGCCCATCTAAAACTTCCAGGTTTGGAAGGTATGGTAAGGTAGGTGTACGGAGTAAGGTAGCCAATGGTCGAATCCCCGTAGGATACGGTGCCTACGTAGAAGCAATCGTATATCCCTTGTTGCTTCTCCCGTAAGCCCAACAGTGGTACTATGCCGTGTCTACTCATAAATGGCTTGGCCTCGCAAGGAGCGGGATCATTATGTTCAATAATGACCTGGCTGCGGCCTCATATGTATCTGCAGTGTTCTGGCTCTGCCGTCTGTCTCCGGGGAAAGAGGAATACTCAAAGTCCTTGAGCCAAACGTGGCCTTTCCATTCCCAACATTACGGCGACACATAGGTAAGGACTCGCACAGGAAGCGGCACTGTCTCTGTCTTCAGACAATCAGATGCATGTGTAAGGCAAGGTGCGAATGTTTGAAGAGGACTAAGTGCCTTAGTTTGATCAGTTCAGGGAGACCCATCTCGACCGGGCTGTATTACTCATTATCTTATCTGAGTCAAGCGCCTCGATGCACCCCAATGCCAATAGACTTCTAGGTCCAGAGACAGTATTACGTAGTGTCCAGTCCCCTTTCCTAACTTGTGTCACTCACTCTTTTCTGTCGCTGTCGGCGTCTTTGCTTCCCCACGTCTCTCTGACCTGTTTACCTACCTTATTGTGTAGGGTCAAGCGGGCACCTGGACATTTTAGTAACACAAACCCGACCTTGCTCACGCGCTCAGCGTTGATTACAACGATGCATGACTTGGAAATCCTCCGGTCCGGAAGCTATCGCCGTCAAGGTCTGCAGAAGCTCAAAATCACCGGAACTTTGGATCAATTCCCCCCTGAAATTCTGGACCTGGCCGAAACCCTCGAATATCTAGATCTCTCCGGGACTGGCATTTCCGTCCTCCCGGATGACTTCAGCCGACTGCGCAAGCTCAAGGTCGCCTTCTTTTCAGACTGTCAGTTTGCCGTGTTTCCCAAGCAGCTGTCAACGTGTCCCGAACTTGACATGGTGGCATTCCGCTCCAACGGCATGACGGCCATCCCGGAAGATTCCTTACCGTCCAAGCTGCGTTGGCTCATCCTCACAAACAACCGCATCGAGGCACTGCCCAGAAGCATCGGTCGCTGTTCTCGACTCCAGAAGTGCATGCTTGCTGGCAACAATCTCACAAGTCTACCGGATGACATGGCAGCCTGCAACAAACTTGGCCTGCTTCGTCTGTCCGCGAATGACTTCTCCGACTTGCCGAAGTGGCTGTTTGAACTCCCCGAACTCGCCTTTCTATCAGTGGCCGGTAACCCCTGTTGCTCCATCAGTCTCGAGGAGGAGCTCGCTCTGCTGCGCAAGGTGGACTGGGAAGATGTTGAAATGAGGGAGTTGCTGGGTCACGGAGCCTCTGGCGACATCTTCAAGGCGAGGTGGATGCTCGCCGACTCCGTGGTAGAAGAGGTGGCCGTGAAGCTGTTCAAGGGAGAGGTGACGAGCGACGGGACACCTCTAGATGAAATGGGCGCCTGCTTGGCAGCAGGTTCGCACGATAACCTCATCAGCACTTTGGCTAGCATTCAGGGCCACCCAGAGAAGCATGGGCTCATCATGCAGCTCATACCACCTCAGTATAGGACTCTAGGCCTGCCGCCTTCCTTGCAGACTTGCACCCGAGACCGGTACGATCCAAGCAAGAAGCTGTCAGTCAAGGTTGTTGTTGGGCTCTTGAGTGGCATTGCTGCGGCTGCTCGTCACCTTCACAGCAGAAAGGTTTCTCACTGTGATCTCTATGCACATAACATTCTCTCCAACGATGAGGGGCATGCTCTGCTGGGCGACTTTGGGGCAGCAACGATCTACGAGCACCTCGATGGATTCAACTTTGAGAAGCTAGAGGTCCTCGCTTTTGCTCACCTCATTGATGATATGCTTGGAGTGGTTCAAGCTGAGGAGAGCGATCATTTTCGGCAGACTCTGCAAAGCTTGCGGGAATTGTACACCCGCTGCTCGAGCTCAACTGTCTCCGAGAGACCTACCTTTGCCGACGCAGTCTATTTTCTCCGAACTTTGGTATGAAACTCGGCAGACCAGGTTGGTAATTTCTACTTATCCTGTGGGCCTCTAGGATATTTCATGACGAGCCAGGTCAATGACATGTTTCTAGCCAAAGAGACAACAGGTGAGCAGATTCGAACTCCACGAGGAATCGAACAGGAGGAGGCCGAATGAGGATTAAATGCAGGGAAGCACCAGGAAATTAGGCGCGGATCTATAGAATTAGACACAGCCTAGACTTAGACGTACCTACACTTCATCCAAAACAAAACAACTATTTAAAGGCTTGGCATCATTGACCCTTCCTCGAGGGACATCGGTATAGAGCGATGTGTGTCGACTGGAAGCCGCCATTCGGACCATTTTCGAAGCTCTCGTAGTGTGTGTGCAGGCTGTCTTTGCTGCACGTAAGGGTTGTCGACACTGGTAGCCAGGTCGAATAGTCTCGACTGGTGGGAAGAGTAACGGGAGAGCTTGTCCTCCAACGTCTTGTAAGACAGCCGCCCAGTGTCCAAGAAGAATGCATATTTGTGTATAGCTGGCTCTGAATTATTACTGCTCCCACCCTCCTGACCCAACTCTCAGGATAATCCATCTTCTCATATTCTACCCCGTCTTTCAATGTTGATATGGCCAAGGGTCTCCACCTGTTCTAGCCCTACCTGGTGCCCCCGCCTACGGCACCCTCCGTTAGGTTCCCGGCCCACCCCACCAGACCCACTTCCATATCGGACGAGAGCCGATTCGAATACCTGCCTAAGGTAAGGCACGGTAGGCACGGATTGCACTTCATAATTAGTTGATTGCAGTTGAGGCCTTCCCCCAACCTAATCCTAAAAGGCTCATCCCTCACTTGTCCTGGCCCAGGGCTCATCCACCTCCGAATGCTATACACATTCACACACCAACAACGAAGCTACGTAAGCTTACGACAACTTACAAAGCTCTCATACACCACCAAATCAGCAAATTAGTGAAGATCACAGCACTGCGGTTACTGGCAGCGGCGACATCTTTATTGCATCGCAGCTCTCAGATTCCCAACGTTGCTTTTGCTGCTGAGATAACATGTCACACTTCAACCAAACGTCAATAAACCAGACTTGAAAGAAGGATAGGAAAGAGGCCCTCTCCGCAACGTCACCTTCAACATCACTCTATCTCCGCCACCAGTCCTGCTTTGCCTTGTTCCGCCAGGATGTTTCCTTTCGACGTGAGCGCCATGCCCACGCTACCAACCCGCAAGGGTCTGCTGGTGGTCGACTTCCAAAACGATTTCCTGTCTGCTGGTGGCGCCCTGCCAGTCACAGACAGCAACGAACTGGTCACACGTACCCTCGAGCTGGTGAAGTCCTTTCGCAGAGTCGGCGATGTCATCTGGGTGTCCACCGAATTCGAAAAATACCGCCTTGCTTCGGCCGAGCAGATTTGGGCTACCGACGCAATCCCCAAGCCCAAGATTCTGCAGTCTCGTGCTAGAAGGAGACACCAAGGCGCATCAAATAACCAGACCGAAGAGACTTTCGACGCAGACCCCGAGGCTTTTCTCAGCCAGCCTGGTCCCGAAGTCGTCCGGACTGCCACTACCGGGGCCGAGTTCCCCGTTGCCGTCAACGAAGCCGTCGGCAAGAGGGACATTAAATTGATCAAGTCTCATTACTCAGCCTTTACCTCAGGCCAGCTGCTGCAAACATTGCGAGTCAATTTCATTCATGAGCTTTACCTTTGCGGATCCCTTGCCAACATTGGCGTGTACGCCACGGCTATGGATGCCGCCAAGTTCGGCTACTCCATTACTTTGGTCGAGGACTGTTGTGGCTTCCGGTCCGACCTGCGTCAGTCCAGCGCCCTACGAAGTCTCATTGATGTGACGGGTTGCGAGGTCCAAGATAGCGAGGCTGTCACCGAGAAGCTGCAGCCCAACCCCGTTCCAAAGTCGAACTCGACATTACCTGTCGTACCCAAGAGAGTTGCTGAAGCCAGTGGTGGTAAAACGCCGCCCTCGGCTGCTGCGTTCAAGGTAAAACTCGAGGAACAGTTGGCAAATCTTTCACTCAACAGTTCAAGTTCCTCAAGAAACAGGCCGTCGAGCTTGCGTACACGCCGAACCATAGAGAGCTCAGATTGTGCGACCCTCTCTGATGATTTGGAGGTTGACAATAACTCATTGCTACCACAAACGGATCATGCCGGTGGCTCACCCGACAAAGAGGTTCATAAACGACTAAAGAGGCCGATATCAAGCAAGGGGGTTTCTGAAATGGACGCAGCTTCGGTAACGCAGAAAACAGCCATTAAAGGCTCTCAAATCCTCCAGACGACCACCGACGAAAAAGCGACCTTCACCTCCGACATCGAACTCGAGCCAGACTCGAGCCCGGAGTTGAAGCCAGAAGCAGCAGAAAAGCTCGCTGCCATGCATGAAAAAATTCACGTCGAGGAAGCCTCGCGGCGAGCTACCGAGCCTATTTGTGAGGGCGACACTATCGTAGTTCATAATATACTACCTCCCACCTTGGCCGAGGGCATTTTTGAGAAGGTAAGAGACGAGGTCTCATGGCAGAGAATGTCCCATCAGGGCGGCGAGGTCCCTCGACTGGTCGCCGTCCAAGGTGAAGTAGCCGATGACGGTAGCATGCCAGTGTATCGACATCCATCGGACGAGTCGCCTCCTCTACTTCCCTTCTCCCCTACGTTACAGAAGATCAAGGCAGAGGTCGAAAAGCAGCTTGGGCACCCGCTGAATCACGCCTTGATTCAGTTCTATCGCAACGGCACCGACTACATCTCTGAGCATAGCGACAAGACCCTAGATATCGTCAAGGGATCCTACATTGCCAACGTCAGCTTAGGTGCAGAACGGACGATGGTGTTCAGGACTAAGAGGCGGGACAAGGACCCGTCTAGCACCGCAACACCATCGGGGGAGGATTCTCAGCAGCGACAGATTGCTCGCGCCAAGCTGCCGCATAACTCACTGTGCCGCCTGGGCCTGGTGACGAATGGTCGATGGCTGCACGCAATTCGTCAGGACAAGAGAGCGGACCGAGACAAGACGCGTCCCGAATTAGCTTTCCTTGGTGGTCGTATCTCTCTCACCTTCAGACAGATTGGCACCTTCTTGAACCGGGATAGCACCCTGATCTGGGGTCAAGGGGCCACCAGCAAGACCAGAGAGACGGCTCATTCAGTAATTAACGGTCAGAGCCCAGAGGCCGTGGGCATGCTCCATGCCTTTGGCACGGAGAATCACTTGACAGAGTTTGACTGGGACAAGTACTACGGCAAGGGCTTCGATGTTCTCCACATGAGTACCTCGCCGCGTCTCTTCGACTCGGCCGATCCCATCGTCAACATGCGCATCGCACTGATGCTGACCGAGTACGGCATGACTTATGCCAAAGGAAGCATGTCGCCTCCCTTCAACTGGAAAGATGGTAATGCCGGCGCCAAAGACACGCATACCGATCTCACGTCCCTGCCGATCCGATTCGTTGACAACGACGCAGCCAAATCAACGGTTCAGGGCGAGTTAGCCGTTATGCTCTATCTGGACTCAGTGCATGGATCGGGAAACATGGGAGCGGCAGGCAGAGCGCATGCCGATATTGCGAACATCTTCACCCGCTTTCAAGAGGGTCTTGCACTTCTAGACAATTGGCGACGGCTCGAGAGGGATGGCGAGTCTGGGAGGCGTGACCTTGGGCCCCTGAAACGTGAACTTGCCATTTGGGAGGGCTATGCAAGCGAGGCAGACTATATTGCGGGTTCGAGTATCTCGTTGGCCGACTTTGCCGTGTGGCCGGTGTTGCACGTCATTCTCGAGGATGCCAATATCGATATCCTGAAAGCAAGCAAGCTGAGGGCGTATTATGAGAGGATCAAGTCTACCAAATCTGCCACGAAAGTCCTTGATGCAGCCCAACCTGATAAGATTGAGGTTGCATTAGCGGACCCAAAGACTCATTATGTGGCCGAGGCATCGCAACTGGGTGAAAATCCTTGAGGCAACCAGTCGCGGAAAGACTGGGTGAGAAAAGAGCGGTAGAGAGAAGTAGACGAATGGGGGTATGGGACATTCAATCAGCGGACAATGCGAACAAGGTGACTCCGAATAGTTCAATCTAGACCTTTCAGCCGGGCGTAGCACTTCTTTCCTCCTCAAAGCCCTGATTTTGTTCGTCCTCCGTCTCCACAGAACGATATTGCTACCTTGGAGTTGCTACATCACTACGCGCCATAGCCAAGCCTGGACAAGGCACAAACTTGGAGACGATTTTGCCTGCAGCTACATTTTCTATTCCGCCATTTCGATGTTCCAGTTTTGTGAGGGGAGAGTTGACAGTAGAATGGGCTGTAAATCCCCCCCAATTGACGCATATGCATGCTGGGGGGGCCTCGTGGAGGGAGAACCCGGTATTCAATATGAAAATTCAATCGGAAACTGAAATAATGACACCAAACTTGTTCTCGCAAAACCAGCCTCAGCAAAAATGACCCCTTTGAACGCCGTAAAGGAAGAACAGACCCCATGCCTGGTGTTCTTTAAAAGACGGGTTTCCGTGCCAATCAGATCGTCGAAACTCTTCTAAACCCATCGCTCAAGGGGAATGAACATCCCACGGCAGCGGGTAAGTGCCTACCCAGTCGGCCACCTCGGACCTCAACTGAACGATCTCGGGATCATTCTCCCCGTCACCGAGATGCCCCATGTAGTGTCTTAAGAGACCGGGCTTCTTCTCTCCCTTCTCCTCGGCCGTCTTCTTCGCGCTCTTGTTTACGCGGATAGCAATGGTGACGGCGCGGTCAATGATGTCGGCCACGCGGCTAAAGTCCTCCTCGGTAAAACCTCTGGTCGTCATGGCGGGTGTACCAATGCGCAATCCACCAGGCACAAGTGCCGACTTATCACCTGGCACGGTGTTCTTGTTGGCAGCAACACCAACCAGCTCCAGCACGCGTTCGACACGGCTGCCGTCGATGCCCTGGGGCTTCAGATCCGCAAGGATCAGATGATTGTCGGTGCCGCCGGACACGATACTATAGCCCAAACCTCCCTTCTCCTTGGGGGCACCAAGTCTTTGGGACAGCGCCTTCGCATTGGCCAATACTTGGGTCTGGTAGGCGCGGAATTCAGGGGCTTGAGCCTGCTTCAAAGCAACGGCCAAGGCGGTGATGGTGTGGTTGTGAGGGCCTCCCTGGTGGCCGGGGAACACGGAGGCATTGATGGGACCCTCGAGGTTGTACAATTCGTCCTCCTTCTTGGCATTCTGCCGACGCACTCCTTTACGGAAGAAAATCATGGCGCCACGAGGTCCTCTCAGACTCTTGTGACTTGTAGTGGTGACGATATCGGCGTAGGCGAATGGGCTGGGCATGACCTTGGCCGCGACCAGACCGGAGATGTGGGCCATGTCAGCCACGAGGTAAGCATTGGATTTGTCACAGATCTCACGGAAGCGCTTGTAGTCGATCAACCGGCTGTACGCGCTGGCTCCTGCGACGATGATCTTGGGTCGGTAGAGCATAGCCAGCTCCTCCAACTTGTTGTAGTCGATCTGACCAGTAGACTCGTCTAACCTATAAGGGACTGTCTCGAAGTACTTAGAAATGGCAGAGATCTTCTTCGTCGGTGTCTGGTAGCCGTGTGACAAGTGGCCACCGTGCGGGAGGTCCAGACCCATGAGGCGATCGTGAGTGTCCATCAACGCCGAGTAGACGTACAAATTGGCCGGCGCACCGGACAGAGCTAATCGACGGTGTAAGCGAATAAACTCGGAGCAGGATTATATGCTGTAAGCCGAGCGCACCTTGAACATTGACGCCCCATTGCTTCGAGTCGAGACCGAACGTGTCAAGAGCACGCTGCTGGCAGAGACGCTCTGACTGGTCGATGAATTCGTTTCCGCCATAGTACCTTGCGCCAGGGTAACCTTCAGAGTACTTGTCTTGGAAATGACCTTAGCTTCCATCGGGTTTCGAGCTAGCAGTGGACCTACTCTGCATTACACTACCCAAGGCGTCGAGGACAGCCTGGGAAGTAAAGTTCTCCGAGGGGATCAGATTGATAAAATGCTTCTGTCTGGTTTTCTCCTATGTATGTCCAACCGTGTCAGCTAGCATGTCGTGCCGAAAGCATTGTCGTCGCATAAGCCTGTGTATTGAGCTATCGACGGTTTGGGCCGGCTTGTACCTTTTCGATGATGTCGTAAACGGCGGGGTCGGCCTGTTGAAGCTTGGCTGACAACAGCTGTTGCATCTAGAGTCAGTCGAGGGAAAACCCCGCGTGTGTCGAGACGCAATTGGAGTAGCGATGCGCACCTGTTGCTGGCCCTCCAAGCTCTTTGTCGAGATGAATCTCCTCACGCCACATGCGCAGGGGACTGACGCCCCCCTCGGCAGGCAACGGAAAGCACGAGCTGTGCCTCGAAATGCTGGAAGAGACATGACACCGGCGTGACAATGGAACTATGAATTGAGAGGTTAATTGCTAGTTCCGTTGGTCGTTGGAAAGCTAGAAAAAGAGGATGTGAAGGAGGATAAGTTCGGAGGTGAGACAGGAGCAGGTGGCGGCTAAGAAGGGAGGCGGACGACACACCAGAGTATAAGGTAGGGACGGAGCTCACAACGACAAACCAACGTGCCTGAATTAGCCCAGCTACAACAATGCCATGATGTAGTGGCGGCGGGTGTGCACAGGTAGTGGGGGACCGCGGTACAAAAGGACCTGGGGATTGGGGTTTCGGAGGTCGACTGCCGCAGCTTCAGGCGGAATATGACCCGAGAAGAAGAGACGAGGCAGAGCAAAGCGCCCGGTGTAGTGGCCGAGCTGTTCAATGTTGCCTTCATGGCTGGCGGTTGGAGCCGGGGTTCGGCTCAACTTCCGACCTCGCACACTGCGTTCCTGCGCTCCGCGCTGCGCGCTTATCGGTGCTTATCGCATCGGCCTATCGTTGTGGGAAAAGAAAAGATCACCTACCTACCTTACCTTAAGATACCAAAGGGGTTCATGATTGGAGGGTTGACCTTTAGATTTGTGTACCTCGAGGTAAGCTGGAACGTCGAGCACAACCTGCACGGTCCCCTCGGTAGCGACCTGCCGCGCCCCACAGTCTCTACCCTTTTTCAAGGCTGCGTTGTGAGTTTGTTTTTCTCCTTTTCCTTCTTCTCTTCTTTACAACTAAATTGGAGATGACGAGCACGCTTTCTTCGCACATCAGCTCTTCCGCTTCGGCGGGTGCATGATGATATGTTCTGGCACCCTCACCACCTTTTCAGGGACAATATGAAACAATCTGATCCAATCCATGGTTGTACTTTTTTCAATCCTTTTGCCGTCCTAATCAGGACGACCGACGCGACGGACATGGTTTTAAAACTTCTCTTTTCATCCCTTTTGTTGGTTTTTATTTTATTTTTAGTTTATTAGAAGATACGTTTATTGAACAAGTACGTGACTCAGGCGCAATCGGGAACGGTAACCTGGCAAGTGCCACGGACGCTCCTCGCAAACAAGAGTCAAGCACACAAGGCTCGCAATGCTTCTGGAAGATATTTAACTCGCGCGGCGGATATTGCAGGAGTAACGGGTGACTCGGTGCTCCTGTGTTTCGCTGAAATGTCACCCCCCATCTGACTGTTCAAGGCTTCGGTGGCTGCAATTGGACTGATGTTCTCTCCGAGGGCGCCGGTAGGGAGTAAATGGTTGTCGGAACTTGATTAAACTCGACTTAATTCGAATGACCCTGTTGCCGATATCAGATTCTTTGCTCCCTCCTCTGTTTCCTGCCGGGCACGCACCCGAGCCACATGCTTTCCGGCCCAGACAGCCCGTCTGGTGTTCAGTGCTTGTTGGATGGTGATAAATACGTGTTGTATGTATGACGCTTAGACTTCACCTTTGAAGAGTCCAGCGAGTTATCCAGCATTCGGGTTGGAACAGATTCTTGGCAGGGTTGAAAAGGGGTATATCTATCGTCAAGCATGACCAGAAACTGTCACGAGGACAACCATGAATGTAGAACCGTAAAAGAATTGCTGCTACTCATTTTCGTTCCCGTAATTTGCCATGTCATCGATTTCCATTTTTCAATGCTACATGCCAAAGCCCTGCTGCGACAATAGGGACAGTAGGACGCAAAAAAAGAAGACCCAACCCGATGACTCCGAATGCAGCCGCCTAAGGACCGAGATCGATGGTGATCATCTATTTGGCCTCCTCCTCGCCCTCGCCCAACAGAGCGTTCTTCTTCGCCACCTGTCTCTCCTGCTTGCGCTCGCGGGCGGCCTTGGTCTTCGCACGCTTGGCGTCCATCTCGTCCTTGAGCGCCTTCTCGCGGGCCTTCTCGGCCTTGGCACGGTGAATCTATAGGGTATCTGGCGTCAGCCCACCTCTCATCCCTACCTTTGCAGCCAAAGGACATGTCTAGACTGAGACTTACGTGCTCAACGAGAGCACGCTTGTGCTTGAAAGCGTTACCCTTGCTGGAGTGGTAGAGCTCGTGGTACAGATGCTTGTCAATCTTGCCAGAGGCACGGTACTTCACCAGGAGACGGCGAAGGACACGGAGGCGGCGCATCCAAAGAACTTGGCTTTATCGGGAGTCAGCATGAATCTCCATGGGGATATCAGGTCGGCCGGTGAATCGGAAACTTGTGGGAACCGCCGCCGGACGTCTGGGAAGCTATCCAAACAACGTCCCAAAAGTGACCATATACAACGGGCTAATCGATGGATTTGGTGTCGACGAACCTGGGCATACGGGCCTCAGCGGTACCCTTGCGCTTACCGAAGCCACGGTGGCGACCAATGCGGCGGGCCAGGTTCAGCTCGCGAGCACGGGACCGCGAGTGCATGGTGACGGGCTTGCGGATGATGAGGCCATCGGCGACGAGCTTGCGGATGGTCTGGCGAGAGTTGGCGTTGGAAATCTCGTTGACCTCGTTGGGGTCGAGCCAGATCTTGCGCTCACCGCAGCCGATGACCGACGCGGCGAGGCGCTTCTGAGTTCGCAGATTGACCCTGTAAAAAGAATCGACATCAGCAATTTGTCCCTCGTGATTGTAGGTTAAAAAATATTGTCGCCCCGCCGTCGAATGCTGGATGCCGTCGTCGATTCGTTGCCCCCCGCGTGTCCCGGGTTTCGATTGACCCTTAAAAAAGGCTTGCCCGGTGCGGAAGGCGACGCAGATAGCTCTGGGGTCGGTGGAAGAATGGTGTAGTGCTCGTATCGTGATAACTTACATCTTGATTGCTGTCCTAGTCGATGGTCGTACCTACCGGGGGAGTCGAGGGTGTTGAAATTTCGAGAGGGGTGACAAGAGGCCAATTTTTCTGAAAGGCGAAGTGTGAGAGCAGAGTCGGGGCTGACTCTGTGTGGGCGAAGTGGGGCGATGGGTAAGCGAGCCCGGAAAAATCGAGGCCACACTTTCGCAGCTAGGTCACGTGTCGTCGACGACATAGGCCCTTCGGCGTGTCTTAGGGGGAGGAAATGAGTACGAAGGTACTATCCGTGTCATGTATGTAAGTGCCTTAGGTAACTTACCTGGGGTACCTTGAGGAGGCTAATGTCATCTCTCGAATCTCTCATCCGTGCGCGCTTTCGTAGCTTGTGGGCTGTTCACGGTTAAATCGTCCCCAGCGGATTCTATCACACTGGGTGCTTACCTACCTCCCTCTCTTTCAGCAGCCATTCAAGGATACAGGAGGTAGGGTATCTGGAGTAAGGTGACAATGGCTGTACGAGGTATGATGCATCATATTTAGTCCCGCTTATCGCCGTTGATCTAACATATTCAACACCGCACTCGGCACCTTGGCTTTGATGAGCCTCTCTCGTGTCCATGACTTAGTTGCCTTCTTCGTCCTTCAAAACCGCTAACTACCCCGGCGACTGAAAGCATTTCACTCATCAATAGAGCCCAGTGATCATCTAAACAAACTTTTGGATTTTAGCGTCGGCCTCTCTCCTTACAAAAACCATCGTACCTAACTAAGTATCTACTTGCCAAACACATCCTCACCGACATCGACTTTGCCTACGCTCCAGATCTCTCTCTCGTCCTCAACCTCGTCATTGGACAAACCTAGGCCTCCCTGGCCACCCTCGGCCTCCCTGCGCTCACGTGCTTGTGCACCCAACCGCATCGTGACGCGCTTGAAGTAATCCTGCATGCTCCTCTTGGTGTTTGGTGGCAGAGCGGCGCCGTCGATGTACTTATCAAAGACCCGCGCCTCATCGTCCACAACGTTGAACAGAGCTACAAACGCAGCTTCCGCAGCTAGCTTGACTGGGATAACGGGGTCTCTGACGCTGGCAAAGATGGGTCCTGCGAGCACAGCAACATGCGGCCTGACCATATCCATGTCGACGCGGCTCATCGTTCGGACGATTACCAGAGCCAGTCGGCGAGAGTCGACAGGGCCACCCGGTTGAATCGTGTTGGCGAGCGCCTCGAAAATCTTCTTGTTCGAGTCAAAAGTCTTGGTCGAATCAGAAAGAAGGTATTTGCCTGTCGCGAGGATAACGTTATCGGCAATGTAAGGCTGTGACACGTGTTAGTTATGCATTGTTTGTAGCCCACTGCCCTGATCTACTTGCGTTCTTGTGAGACATGCCCTGGCCGAGGAGGTCGGGCAAGTCGTCCGCCAGAGGACTTTCAAGGAGACTCTGCGGAGACTCGACGAGCACTGCGTTCAGCGCGAGTGCGGAAGAATGGCTCCAGTGGCTGGTCACTACTCGGTTCTTGAGCAACCCATTAGCGGCCTCCTCGGGAACGTTCTTAATCAGTGCTCCAAGTAGCTTGGCGTTCGTGATTGTCATAGCGTCGTCTCGTTCGTCAGTGTCCAAGTCAATGAGACCCAAAACGGCGGCCCGCGATGTCTCGCCCATGTTGGCACCGGCTTTGCTGATGACTTCGTAGAGCGCGCTGAGCATAGCCGTCTTGACACCGGGGTCTGATGTCTTAGAGCCGGTAACGAGCTCGGCAATCAACGGATCAATACGCGGCGTGTACTTGATAAGAGTACCCAACGCCTTGGCTGCGCGGGCTCTGAGGACCTCGCTCGACGTGTCTGCGAGAGACTTGGCGAATGTGCGTTGTAGCTGGGGCAAGAATGGCTTCAAAGCCGCAGGCATCTTTTCCAGGAGATTGTTGAGAGTCAACAAGATGGCAGACTTGACTTCTGTAGACCTTTCAGAAACGACACGAATGAGAGGACCAGTGATCTGTGTGACAAACGGCTTCAGGGAAGCCTCACTTGTCCGGTCGACTATATCAGAGATGGCCAGAGCTGCCTGTGTTCTCTGATCCGGCGTGCCATTCATAAGACCTTGCAGGAAGATAGGCAGGATGGCGTTGATACCCTTGGGTAGCTCGAAACCAGGCAAGTTCGCGCCGGCCACGCCAACTTGCTGAAGCGTCTGTCTAGTCGAAATAACCAGGCCCTCCATCTCTTCCTTCTTAAGCTTTTTGGTGAACTCGCTGAGTGCAGCCCATGCCCCCTTGACGACATCCGGGTCTCTGTCATCGAAGGAGACGAGGAGTGACCGTACAATATCTTGGTTATAGCGCGAGTAATCCACTTCGCCAGCAGCAAAGAATTTTCCAAGGTGATGGGTAGTGGCTGCGCGTCTGCGGTGATCGTCGTGCTTTGTGAGTTGAAGTAGAACATTCATAACTGTATTGAGCCCGTCGTACTCGTCGATAGATAGGACAACAGTATCGAAAGATATCTCAAGATCCTCTCGCAAAGATTCGTCTTCGCAGTTGATGATGTTCTCCATCAGTGAGTTGATGATGTTGGGCAAACGGCGGTTCATAGCAGCACCGGCCACCCTCGACAAGGACGCAAGCGCCTTGGCGTTGAACGCAGAGATGGGAGGGGCGATAAGCGTGGGAATGAGATTGGGAAGAATAATATTGGAGCGAGTCGTCTCGGTGAGGAGGGTAAGCAAGGCTGACAACGCGTTGTCGGCATTCTCATCAGAGCGAAGAAGGTTGAGCAGGTATGGGAGTACCTGGTCCACGGCCCTCTTGCCCAGGATCTGCTGGAGAGAGTCGAAGGCTTCTGCAGCAGCCTCTCTGACATCAGCATCCGAGTCGGTAAGGGCTGTTCTAACGACAGAGATAAGCGTCTTCTCATGGTCCTCCAGTGCGTCCTCTGAGGCTGAGGCAATAAGTTCTTTGAGGGCAAGGCAGATACCCTGCTTTGCGTCTGTGTCGGTGGAGGTTTGCAAGCCCTCTTCGAGAGTAGGCAGTAGTGTGGAGAGCACACCATCTCCAGCTTTGCGAATCAATTCGCCGAGAGCATTGCTGGCAATGACCTTGTGCTCCATGTTGGAGCTTCCCAAACGCCGAATGATAAGTTGAGTAAGCGTTGGTACCAACTCCTTGAGAATACGAGGGCTGGAAACCAAAGCCTTCCACACAGCAACAGCGGCAGAGCGGACGGCATTGGCGGTATCGCAGCGGCAGACATAGAGAGCAGAGAGAATCTTGTTTCTCTTCTCTTCGCCAAGGACCTCACGGAGTGAAGCTCCTGCCTCTCTGGCGCTCTCCTCATCTTGCTCCTCGTCCTCAGCCTTACCACTGATGCCTGTAAGGTTGAAGAGAAGGTCACCGACAAGCTCGACTGAGCTGAGACGAATACGGTAGCTATCATCGGCCAAGCCACGCTCAAGCTCTGGGAGTAAAAGATCAACAGCGCGGACGGCAAAGTTCTTGACAAGGAGGCGACCAGCACGAAGAGCGGTCTCGCGGATAGACTCGACATCATCAGCAAGGCCAGATAAAATGGGCGGAATAATTCTGCCCAAGTAGTTTGCAAAGCTGTTGCCGAAGCACACAGGGAGGAAGATGAAGAGAGACATGAAGCCTTCGCGAACAGCCGGCTTGGTCGACTCGACATTTTGCAAAATAGTCGGTAGAGTTTCTTCGAGTCTGGTGGTACCCAAACCTGCGAGAACCTCGCTGAGGGCTTGGGCGGAGCCGAGACGGTCTCCAGCACCGTTGTCTGCTTTGAGGGTTTGCATGAGTCCAGGGATGAGATCCGGCAGGGCATCTTCTCCCAGCTTCTCCACCAATGACCCCAGAGCTCTAGAAGCCGTGGCACGAGTTGTGGGGACCGGATCGACAATGGCGAGCTTCAGTCCCGCAACAAGGATTGGCAAATGTGAGATCAAGTCTTTTCGTTCCGTGAGATGCGCAAGACTGCCAATGACCTGTGCCGCCTTGCGCTTGGTATTGGAACGGTCACCCAAACCACGCTGCAAGATTCTTGTGACCAGTGCCAGGGACGGAGCATCCAGGTAGTGCACGAATTGGACCTTGATCAAAGAATCCAAGGCATCGTCCGTGTATCTGGTGGGGTCGCTGAGCGCCTTGAGGAGAATGTCAACAAGACCCTTGATTTCAGGGTTACTGATAACTTCGCCGAATCTTTTTAAGCTCTTGTTAGCCCCCGAGCGGACCTCCTTGTGACTATCGTTGAGAACACCAGTGAGAGGTGGGATTATATCCGGCAAACTCTGTGCCAGCTGGTTTGGATCAAGGTAGGCCATGGCTCCCAGCAGGTCACAGGCTCCCTTTTTACTGCGCCATTGGTCATCATCCAAACCGTTGAGCAGGGTGGGAAGAATCTTCTTGACACCGTAGGAGCTCAGTTTGCCGAAACAAGCCTTTGCCGCTGCCAGACAGGAGTCTCGGACGTTGGCGTTGCTGTCACCGAAACCGGTGAGGAGCTGAGGGACGATTTGAATGACATAGGGTTCGAAAAGACGACCAAGTATGGTGGAGAGAAGCTCATATGCCAGTAGGGCCGCTTCTCTCTGGTTCGCCTCTTTTTTGTTTTCCATGGCACCCCTGAGTGTCATCATAATGCGCTGGTCTTTCAGTGATGAAATGCCACGGCCTTGAACGAGACCGGCAAGGCCATAGGCAGCACCCCGCTGCTCGGCATACTTTTTGGAAGTCAACAGAGTCTCGAGGACCTGAGAGAAATACTTTGAAGACTTGTCTCCGTAAGCTTGAATCAAAGGTGGCAAGCAATCAGCGATGGCATACTGCACGGTCTCGGACGGTGTGCTCAAGGTTGCCAGCAGTCTGTCGATGACAACGGGGAGTTTTGAATCGCCCGGCTTCAAGTGACGCGCGAGTGCACCATACATGATGATGACAGCTTCGTTGACACGGTCCGATGCCTCATTGTTCTTATCTGGCCCTTCGAGCGTACGCTCGAATACCCTCATCAACTTCTCAACCATACCCTTGCCATGCAGATCAATCGCGTGGATGGCTGCATCGAGCATCTCACTACGGACATTGGCATTCTGGTCGCCCAAAGGCCCGTTCTCAATGAGAAATTCGAAGAAAGGATCAAGCTGCTGCTTGGCCATGTGAGGGGCCAGTTCCTTGAACGCAGATCCAATGCCATGCCGCGATTCCCAGGGATCTGCCATATTTGTTTTCTTCGGCATGCCATACTCGTCTAACTGAGGGACGCGCGGTTTGGCGAGTTCGGTGTAGGAGGACTTCAGAGACTCCAAGATTGGCTCCAGCGTCGAGTTATGTGCATTGCAGGCCTCCGCCAAAGAACGGGCTGCGGCTCTACGGAGCTGAGCATCAATACTGTCAAAGTAGACAAGCATCTTGGCTGGCACTTCTTTAGACAGTGTGAAGCCGCTTTCCTCCCAGATATCACGGCCAAGCTCCACATTCTCCTCGACATCGTCGTGACATGCGAGCCAAATTTCATTGGAGAAGTCGGATTCGCTCATGTCAACTTCAGAGCTAATGGCTTGCAGCACAGCTGTTCTCACGCTGACTTGAGGGACGATGGATCCTTTGGCCAGGGCGGCGATTTCCTCGGCGGTCATGTTGGGGGCAACACATCGACACATGTCAGCAAAACAATCCTTGATGATCTTGTAGTGCTGAGTGTACTGCTGCATGGCCATAATCAGCGAGGATATCACCTCCAACCGAGGCGTTGCCGGGTCTTCGCAGATATTTGTGTGGAAGGAGAGGAACTCGATGGCGAGAACCAGTTGAGCGTCTCGGTCGTCAGGAGATGAACCGAAGCCTCCACTTTCGAGGACAGTAAAGACTAGGGGAAGAGCGTAGATGAGGGACACTGTGTCGAAAGGACGTTGCTCTCCAGCAAATCGCAATCGATAGAGCACTCTAGTTACAAGTACGTCGACAGGCTCTTCCTTGTAGTAATCGGGCAGAGCACTAACGTCACGAGCACGTAAGGTGGCCACTCCAACAAAAGGTCTCATAGGACCCAGGCGGCTCGTCGTACGATCTGAGCACGCCAGGTAAGCTAGGGGGGCAGCATCGCCTATTAGAAGGCTAGCACCAGCGTTGATGACGTCCAGAAGAGCCTTGACGGCGGGTCCCATCCAAAGAGCAGATTCGGTCGGAGGTCCAGTTGCGAGACTTTGGATAATCCCGATGCCACGCAGGAGTCTCGTCTCAATACGACGGACCGTGGCCCGGATTCCAGCTTCCTTCTTAAGCTGAGCAGTGACCTTTGCTGTCTCCTCCGCAGTGAGTTTCTTTTGTTGCCCCTTTTTCTGGGCCAGTTGCGACCTCAACTCGGCCTCCCATTTTAGAATGTCATAGTCCTTATTATTCTTGTCAGGCACAGTTGTCTGTGCCTTCTTTGCGAGGACATCCACGAAAGCAGTTCCCTCGGGGGTTCGGAAGATGGCAGCCTCGACCGGACCAATGGTGCGCAATTCGTCCGGTTTCAGATCCCGGCGTATAATCTCGACAATCTTGCTAGTCATAGTATCGGGAGACACAAATGCCAGCTCCGCAGCGGCGTCACAGGCCGCTTGTTTGACTGTATCTGACTTCTGCTCGATGGAAGTCCTGTCTGAGATTTCTCGCAGCAGGTCACCCTCTATCTCACGTGCCAATTCTCCGGGATCCCTTTCCACGCGCAAACAGAGTTCGATCCAGCTTGTGCGGGGAATAAGCTCTTTCCGAGCGAGCACAAGCAGTGAGCAAAGCTGTTCATCCACGGCCTCTCGCACAGCGCTCTGCGAATGTTCTGGTAAACCCTTTGGGTTGACGCATATGGCGCGAAGAACAAGATGAAGGTTCGTTTTGTCGGTTTTGGACAGAACTGCCGCGCTATCCTTGTCACCGCTTTCTAGAGTCTCGAGCCAGTGCCAAATGCCGCTCACAATGGCCTGCGAAACAAGCGTAGGTCTTGCAGCATAAACCAAGGTAAGAGTGTTTGTTGCGATTTGTCGGGTTTTAGGGGTGGCTACTGAAGCCCCAACGGCGTAGATGAAGGCCTCGGCCCATGCCACAGCAACCGACTGGGGTGTCTTCTCAGACAAGTGCTCTGCAGCGGCCGACAAAGCCCGAGCGAACCAAGTGAGCTCATCCTCAGCAGTGATCTTCCCGTAGACACGAGGGTTCAGCAAGAAAGAAGGCTTCGGCTCGAGGGTGAGACACTGTCCAGTGAGGGAGACTTTGGCTAGTGTTGACCTGAGGGTCGATGTCACATTGGATTGTTGGGACCACGACGTAAGCGTGGTAGCAATGAAGGCACCGACTGTCATGTTGTTTTGAGCTGCAACCAGGGGGTTGGCGACAACCTCGTTGTAAGTATCGAGAAGCTTGGGTACAGTAGCTTCAGCAAACTTGACGGCATTTGTCGAGAGATCCCCAGAGGCCGAAGACAGGTTGAAAATCTCTCCAACGCGCAGAAGCCAGATACGCCGAGTTGGGAACTTCTTGTCAGAAATACCTTTCAGGCATGCGTCAACAACCGGTTTGGCCACTTCAACGTCGTTTTGGAGTAAAAATCCAGCCGATCTTGCGAGGGCTGATGTCTCAACCGCGAGGGCAGCTTCATTTCCTTCCTTTGCCGAGATGGCGGCCAGAGCCGTTGCAATCTTATCGGCAGTGGTCTTGGATAGTGTGATTGCCTCTAACATTTCGCAGTGGAGGATTCTATGGTCTGCCGATGCCAACTTTCCACCCTTGACAGGCCCTACAATCTCCTCTGAGATCTTTTCGAGGGCCTTTTCCTCGTGACTTTGAGCAGCGAGAGCGTTGAAGGCCTTGACAGCACCGGTGCGAGTGACAACGTTGCTAGACTTGACATTCGAAAGGATAGGTTTGAGCAAGTTGCCCACCAGAATCTGGGAAAGGTCGTAGTCCTTGGGAAGGCAGCGAATGAGAGGAATAAGCACATCGCTCAGGACAATCTCGGGGGCCCTGAGCAGGCCTTTTTCCAGGGGGGGAATAATCTCCTTGGTGAGTTCATCAAGGGTGACGAAATCGAGGAAGAAGTCCTCTAGGCCAGATGCTACATGGGCCGGTAACGCTGTCCGAGAACCGATTATTTCTCTGGTGTAAAAGGTGAAATACTGGGATTTCTGAGCCTCGAGGGCAGGCTTCACGGCAGGTATCCTCGAACTAACGCCGGCGATAATTCCGAGAAGAGGAGTCTTCGTTGCGGAGGGTTGCGCGGCCTTGGCCGTCAGCAGCTGTACGGCGTCCTTTAGAGCCTTCTCGGGGCTTTGGTGCAAGGAGAAGAGTTTGCGCAGTCCTCTCCGAGTAACAACGATGGCGGAATGGGCCATGCCACCCTTGGCGGCGGATTGAAGACACTTGTCCAGAGCATCCGCATCACTCAGGAGAATCTGGGAAGCAAATTTATCCCACTCGGTAGTTTTTGCGAGGTGCTGCATGAGCAGACTGCACCATTCGACTAGAACAAAGGCATTGCTCGCGGCGATGCCGGGTTTCTGCGACTCTGCGCGCAGAGCGGCAACGAAGGCGGCGAGGATGTCGGGCTCAATGCCCTTGTCTAGGATGGCGGACAGACATTCCTGGACGGCGAGTCGTGAGGGTCGGTCGGTGTAGAACGCATGTGTCCAGAAGAGTAGCTGAACAAGCTTGCGGGTGGATGCCGAGTCGGTGTCTGTAACAACAAGGAGAAGAGTGGTTCAGCATCCGGTCCACGAGAGTATGATAGATGCGCGGCGGCAGTAACAGGCACGGCACAGAGGGCAATCGCAAACAAAGATTCGTACCAGCGTTGGATATCCTGTCCACCAGGGTGCGCAGATGAGCTATCCTTTTTGAGGTCGAGGAGGACGTGAGGGCGGATCTCGTGGCAGCGAAATCGAGAGGGACAGAGCCGGTGCCTGAGCTAGAGCCATTGGCGACGACTTCAGTCATTTTGGCGGGATTGAGGGCGGACAGAAGGCAGCATTGGGGGCAAGTCAGCCAGCTGTGCGTTCGACAAGCAGGAGGAGAGTCGCAGTCAGCTTTCGTATGCGGATAGAGGTGAGGGCGGCGTCGGAGTGAGCAAAGGGCTTGTGGTGGTGAAGTGAACTGAGGAGTAGAAACAATACGGTCGCCGTTGGCACAAATTGTCAGGTAGCGGAGAGGGTGGTACCTCGAAGTAGACACTGCTGCAGTTGGTACCGGCGCAGGGGGACGGGATCAGATCAGGTCACTTTGCAGGTACTTCGGCACCGGGCTGGGATTATTTACGACGGTGCAGTCCATGGACGTCGGGTGGGAATACTTTTTTTTTCTGCCGCACGCAGCTGAACGGAGGAGGAGCACAGGGACTGGCTGGGGTGGGGACACACCGGCGCGGCGAGGTGCACATCGTACCTAGGTGTGAAAAGCGACCGATGTACCTCAAGACAGCGGGATATACCTAACTACCTTAGGTAGGTAGGGTTGTGTGGCCCGGCGCCGAGACTGAATGGGGTGGAGGGGTTGATGATCCGGATGAGGCAGGCGGTGCCAAATCGGTCAGCTACCCACCTTAAGGTAGGCAGGTCTCTTCGTGCTCCAACATAGCCATCAAATAGGTATACGTCAGGTTGTAGGGTTTCGGCTCATCCCACCTATGTGCCTGAGGAACCTGCCCTACAAAATCCAGATCATGGCGGGGTACGAAAGAAGATAAGGCACCTCACATGCTTAGGTACCTACGGGTACGATCACTCATGATGGCTCATCCAAACTCACCATGCCCTCCTTTGCTTTACCAGACTAAGTTTAGGTAAGGCAAGGGAGGGAATGCATACAGCTTCAATTGAAGATGAAGTTGTATCTTACCCAAGGCACCAAATTGTTACCTCCTTGTCGTATTTAGGCTCTGTTGGTGATTTTCCCTCCAACCACGGGCACGATTCATAATACTGGAGCTATTTCAGAACCTTGAACGATGACGCAGCGGCAGCTCTCCTGCAATTCGAAGCCCTAATAGCTCAAGGTACCTCAGGCGGCCACGGTACCATGTACCTCAGGGAGTTGTTGCCGGTCTGACTCAAACGAGGAAAAAATCATTGAATTTCCCCGTCTTTCGCAGACTCTAGCCACAAGAGGGAGTGAGGGAGTAGGTATTCTCCACGGAAAACTGCCCAGACTCGGCCAGGGACCTCTGTTGCCATAGCCTTATCAACCTTTTACTTGGTCCCCCACCATCTAGCACCCGATGGGAAGCATCCCCCATCGGTTTCGTCACTTGTTTAGTTTAGCCTCACCTTGGACGCATGTCTTCTCCCTGCCTGTGAAGCGTACTAGATTGGAAGCGTATTATACATATGGGGAAGTAAAGAGGGCCGGGTCAGCTATCAAGCCCAGAGCCACCGGAAATACCGTACCTACTTGAGGGTATTCGTACGAATACACCACCATCATCCGTCCTCTACCAATTTGGACCCTGCCAGACAAGGTCGCGTAAGGCAGCCCACGTTTTTATCCACATCCACCTGGGCGTTCATTCCCAATACCACTGACGGCCTGTGTCCTGAATTTGGTGCCCAGCTAGACAGACAGCCGACACCTGACTCTGCGTCGGAGACACTCTCACTCGCTCACTGCCTTGCACCACCTCGCCTCGCCCTGTCTCTCGCAACACAATTCCAGCAGGGCCAGTCGTCAACCCTGACAAAGCTGGGAGCCCAGCCGCACCGTTGACATCACTCTACCTTACTCTATGCCTTACCTGTCTAGGTAATACAGCACTAAAGTCGCCTCGCGCTCCGAGGTACTAGGTAATTACCTACTATTATCATCTTCATCCTCCGCTGTGCCTGGTTTGCGCTCACTCATTTCACACACTCGACTGTTACTTGTCGCTCACTCATGATAGGACCCCAGGATTCAACGCCTTCTCCGGCAGCATCACCAGTCATTACCTTCTCGTCGACCCCTTCTGGACCTTGGACTGTTTATTTTCCGCCCCCAGCTCCGCCGTCGCCTCTCGGCCCGGCTCCAATTCCTGTCCTTCCCGTTTCTTCGACTGAATTCCCCCTTTGATTCCGTACCTCAAATTGCTTGCTTCTTCTCATTGAGCAGTCCCCACGCTCAGACCCCAGGCAATCACCATCTGGCTTTCGAGAATTTGCAGAGTCATAGAACTCAGACCAATTGCCAGTCGCTACTGATCCCTTCCCCTCCAGTTTCACCCTACCGAGCAAACCATGGCCGGAGCCAAGAAGAAGAAGAAGCCCGCGGCCAACCCGGCCAGAGGCTTCGCCACCACCTCCGTTGCATCATCCAAGCCTCGGACCGAGCCCGTTGAAGGGGCCGAAGCCACCACTGCCGCCCGGGCTGCTGCTGCCGCTGCCGCTTCCAATTCAGATGCACCGTCATCCGATCCTCAGTCTTCCTCAAACGGTGCTGGTGACAAATCTGCCAAGACGGAGCTGAGCCCTGAGGAATTTGAAAAGCAACTCGACGAATCCGAATTACAGCTCTTGGTTGAAAAGTACGCTCAAAAAACCAAGCGGGATGCTCAACGCCAGCGCACGAGGCTTGAGACCGATCGCCGCCTGCTAAGGGGCCAAGCCGATACTGTCAACTCGAAGAAGTGGTTACCCCAAGAGTTGATGGATCAAGTTCTTGATCTCATCCAGGCCGAGAGTCGCTTTGCATCGTCAAGTGTCTCCACAGAGACCTCTGCCAGCGGAAAGCTGCTTCCGGAAGAAGACATGGTCATCAAGCTGTGGACTCTTCAACAGACGCTTGCTAGTGTTGGCTTCCCCGAGGAACGGGTTCAAGCTGTGATGCGACATATTTTAGACATTGCGCCAAACATACCGTCTTTTGCAAAGGATAGCCTTTGGGGTCTTGAAGAGGCCCTTGACTGGCTGGCTAGAGAGTGCCCCAGCGATGAGTTACCCGACTACGAGGGACGAGGAAAACAGGGCATCAGGCAGCTAGGTGAGCTGCAGCTCTGTGACCCTCCAGGCCGCCGCGACAGAAGCTGACCGTCCAACTCATAGAAACTCCGGCTGAGAGCCCCTTACCTTCAGGGGCCACAACCCCTTTACCTGATGGACGCCAGAAGCCCGGTGTAGCATCCAAAAACAGCGCCAAGAAGAAGGCCGTAGTGACTTGCGATATTGACCTTGAGCCAGATGAGCTGGTTCCTGTTTACCTCGAAACAAAGACCAAATTATTCGAGCTTGAACGAAACCAGCCAGGAAGACGAAAGCAAAGCAGTAACAAGGCTGAGGCAAGCGATGGAGCGGATCTGCAAGCCGAGCTTCGCGCAAAGATAGTCAAAATCGAGAAGGACGTCCTCTTCGACAAGTTTGCCGCGGAGCAAGAGTGGAGGACCCGGAAAGCGGCCTTGGAGAAGGAGCTTGCAACCGCAAGAAAGCAACAGGCGCAAGAGGAAAAGGAGAAAGAGCCGCCCAAGGCGATTGCCGAAGCAGCCGGGTCTTCTGGTGGAGATGTCAACGACGCGGCCGAACGCATCGCTGCTGAGATTCTGGCCCAGTCTGATGATGATGACGATGGCGGTCTTAGTGATCTTTTCGCCAATCTGCCTGTCACCGAAGTGGATGCCACAGGCAAATCGAGCACAGTACTCAACGGCACAGACGGTATCAAGATTACGATTCGGGATTTTGGGAAATGGACTGGTGTCTCTCCCATACGAGCTTTGGAAGAGGCATGCAGAGCGAGGTATGGCCTATCAATCCTCGATGCTAAATTCTGAGATTGACTTTATCACAGAGACGCCTCGACGAGGATCAATTACCGCCTTATTTCAGAGGTCCCGTTTGCCAACCGTCACTCCGTCTCTGTGGCCTGGACAAAGCCTCAAAATGTCCCATCCGCATCTCAGGATGATAGCGTTGACGTCATCACCATCCCGTCAAGCTTCAACTTCAGCATGAAGACCATTGCAACGCCCGACAAGAAACAGTCAGAAGCCTACATTGCAACATGGGCCCTGTTCCACATCTTCGGCACCTCAGCGAAGGAGGAGAAGGTTGGAATGAGATTGCCTCCTGTCTGGCGTGAGCTATGGGATGAGCTTGCAGAGGCCAGAAAAAGCCAGCTGGACTCCATAGACCGGGAAGCGATCAGAGAGTTACGAGATCTCGTGCGTCAGAGACAGGACCAGGAGCTGGAAGATGGTGTCATTCTCCAAGGTGCTTTCAAGGGAAGGGCCGCTGCCCGTAATCAGAACGATAACAAGGACGAGGCCGCTCAAGATGCCGCGAAGCGTCTCTCTAATGGGCCCGAGTATTATCAAAATATTTGGGCGCAGAAGATTAACACTCCCAGGTATCAGGCCATGCTCCAGTTCCGCATGCAGCTTCCCATGTGGAATTTCAAACAGCAAGTCACGGATGCTGTAGACAGAGAGCAAGTCGTCATCATCTGCGGAGAAACAGGCTGTGGTAAGAGTACTCAGGTGCCAGCTTTCCTCTTGGAGCACCAACTGGCCCAGGGGAAGGCATGCAAGATCTATTGCACTGAGCCGCGGCGAATTTCCGCCATTTCGTTGGCTCGCAGGGTCAGCGAAGAGCTCGGTGAGGGCCGTAATGATCTGGGAACGGCCAGGTCATTGGTGGGCTACTCCATCCGCCTTGAAGCGAATACTTCTCGTGAAACGCGGCTGGTCTTTGCGACTACGGGTATCGTTATGCGAATGCTGGAAGGTTCGAACGATCTTCGTGAAGTCACTCATCTGGTCCTGGACGAAGTTCACGAGAGGTCCATCGATAGTGATTTCTTGCTCATCATCTTGAAGAAGCTGATGCTGAGACGCAAGGATCTGAAGGTGGTTCTCATGTCGGCCACAGTCGATGCCGAGCGATTCTCCAATTACCTCGGTGGAGCGCCGGTGCTTACGGTTCCCGGACGTACTTTCCCCGTTCAAGTCAAGTATCTGGAGGATGCAATCGAAACAACTGGCTACACTGTTGGACAGACCCCTGAAGAGAAGATGGTTGATCTCGACGACGATGTGGTCGAGGCGGAAGCGGAAGGCACCAAGTCCACAGTCGGAGCTGACCTTTCGGCTTACTCCCCCAAGACCAGGAACAGCCTTGCACAGATGGACGAGTACCGAATCGACTTCGACCTCATTGTGCAGCTTATTGCCAAGGTCGCCTCCGCGCCAGAATATATCCCTTACAGCAAAGCGATCCTCGTTTTCCTTCCAGGCATCGCAGAAATTCGAAATCTGAACGATCTCCTCTCTGGCGACCCTTCGTTTGTGCGTGACTGGCTAATCTATCCGCTGCACTCGACCATCGCGACTGAGGATCAGGAAGCCGCCTTTCTCGTGCCACCTCCCGGCACAAGGAAAATCGTGCTTGCAACCAACATTGCCGAAACCGGCATCACGATTCCTGACGTGACCTGCGTCATAGACACGGGTAAGCATCGTGAGATGAGATTCGACGAAAGAAGACAACTCTCCCGCCTTATCGACACATTCATCTCCCGCGCGAACGCAAAGCAGCGTCGCGGAAGAGCTGGGCGCGTTCAGGAGGGCCTCTGCTTCCACATGTTCACCAAGCACCGGCACGACACGGTCATGAGCGACCAACAGACTCCCGAGATGCTGCGTCTCTCACTTCAAGACCTCGCAATTCGCGTCAAGATTTGTAAAATCGGCGGCATTGAGGAGACTCTGAGCGAAGCTTTGGACCCGCCTTCTGCCAAGAACATTCGCCGCGCTGTGGATGCACTCATCGATGTCCGAGCCTTGACGCCTGCTGAGGACCTGACGCCTTTGGGTAATCAACTCGCCAGGCTGCCTCTGGATGTCTTCCTGGGCAAGCTCATTCTGATGGGTGCGATCTTCAAATGCCTCGACATGGCCATTACAGTAGCGGCCATTCTGTCCTCCAAATCACCATTCACGGCACCGTTTGGCCAGCGAGCTCAGGCTGACCTTGTTCGCAAGGGCTTCCGTAGAGGAGATTCGGATCTTCTTACCGTATACAATGCGTATCTTGCATGGAAGCGCGTATGCCAGTCGACCACTGCTTCTGGTGGCAAGGAGTTTCAATTCTGTCGGAAGAACTTCCTCGCTCAACAGACCTTGGCCAACATTGAAGACCTCAAAGGCCAGCTGCTGGTCTCGGTAGCAGACTCTGGCTTCCTCTTGCTGACTGATGAGGAGAGAAGAGCGCTCAACAGAGTACGTTATGGGTCCAATTCGCGAGGACGACGTCATCAGAGCTTCTTTGATATCCCTCAACGTGTAAGCATCAACAGCGAAAACGATTCCATCACAACGGCGGTCATTACATGGAGCTTCTATCCAAAACTTTTGGTTCGTGAGAACCCAGGAAGCCGGGGTCTGCGCAACATCGGCAACAACCAGTCAATCAGCCTGCACCCGTCCTCTGTCAACAAGGGACACAATGAGCTAAAGTGGCTGTCTTACTACCACATCATGCAATCAAAGAGGCAAGGATCCTTTGTTAAGCCTGTAGAGTCCATGTACAAGAAGCTAACATGCATCAATAGTGTATATCATGCACATGAGACAACGGTGGCTGACCCCTTTGCTATTGCTCTCCTGTGTGGTGATGTTCGTGCCGACGTTAGTATCCCTATTGAGCTTAAACCCTACTTCCCAAAACTGATCTTTAGCCGGTACAGATGTTCTCTGGCGTGCTCGTCCTTGACGGCAACCGCTGCCGATTCGCGCTGCCTGATTGGAAGACGATGCTTGTCATCAAGGTTCTCCGTACCAGGCTTCGGGAGCTCCTCACTCGCTCCTTCAAGCAACCTGGCAAATTGCCAACAGCTCAGCATGAAAGATGGCTGGCGATTTGGCAAAAGATATTCTCCCAGGAGGTTAACAAGGAGAATGTCAGTGCGACTGTCAGCAAAACATAGAATGTTTGGAGCATTCGCTTGTCTTAGGATGCGTGGACGTAAGCTCCCTGTGGTATTTGGCATGCTGTCTCACGTGGCCCAAAGAGATGGTCTGGTTTGTAGGCATGGGGCCAGTTGCTGGCTGCTAGCTTATGTGTTCTATCCAGGGAAGCAAAACACTGCAGGATGCTTCCGACATTGCATCTTGATTTTGTAAGAGCCAACATGGCAAGAGTCGAAAGAGAAGAGGGAGAGGGAGACATCATGAACAGTGCTAGATGCAGTTTTTGAGGACGAGCCGAGAGAACAGCAACACTTGCTAGCATTTGCTTGGTTGACAGAGGGCCATTTGGGACGCAGCACACGGGAGAGAGCCCCAAGTGTGCTTCATGGATAGGACAATGACAAAGCATCAGGAAACAGGCTGGGTTTCAATCCTTAAGCCTAAGCCCACTCAGCAAACCATCCTCCTCCGCATCCAACCGCACATCAGTGGTAGGATTCATGTCACAAAGGATACCTTTTGCAGCGCAGATCAAGTTAGACACAGTACAGTACCTAGACTAGATGGGGTATTTCAGTCAAAGAATTCGGTAGCAGAGCATTAGGCACTTGATATTAACCCCTTTGGTGTTGAGGCACGATGAGATATGTATAAGTGTGTGTTTCTGTGTTTGCCAGGACTCCTACTCAAATGCAAGAGTCATAATACCATTTTCCATGAACGCCGTAATTAATGATGGTCTTCTGCGACCTGGCTACTGCCGTTTCCCCCCTCAATTTCTGCTTCCTTGGACGCATTAGTTGTAGTAGTCGTGGCCATAAGCAAGGCCTTGAAGTCGGCATTACTCTTCATCGGTTTCCGAGTCTCCGTTTCCCCACTAGCACCGTTGGCTTTGGATACTGATTGTGGAATTGCGGCCTGATCAACCCCTCCCACGCTCAAAGCCTTGGGCATAAAACCCAGTCCTCTCTTGGCACCGCCCTTGCCCAAGACTGGCCGCTTTACAGCCGTGGATGGTGGGATGAATGCAGTGCCACTGCCAGTCTTTGTGGGCGCCGAAGCCTTGTCGGTCTGCTTCTTCCCGCCAGTACCGTATATGATCTTGTCTGTTCGAAATTCCCCCTTGGCCCGTTTGAGTTCCTCAATGGACCCAGTCCGTAACTTACGGCCATCCAAGACATAACCATCAAGCTGGAGCATGGCGCGGCCGGCGCTCGGTTCGTCTTCAAACTCGATCTTGGCGCCACCGTGACTAGGCTGGAGAACGAAGCTCTTGAACCCTCCAACCTTGTCAACAATTTCCTTCACCCGCGCATCATTGACGGTGTCGGGGATATTCAAAAGTGCGATACTCCTCAAGGCAATCTTAGCACGATTTGGTCCACCTTGAAGGCTAGCGGTATCACCCTTATCATCTCCCATCGTCGCGTCTCCTTCATCGTCCCGACTTGGCACTGGAGATGCGCCCTCTTTCGAAACAGCCGCCGACCTCTTGAAGTTGCTGGGTGTCGATATCTGTACAGTCATGACGCTGCCACGAAAGTTCACATTGTTCAGCCCAGACGCAGCCTTCTCAGCCTCCTCCTTGGTTCCCATCTCTACATAGGCTGTCCCATGGCCCTTACCGGCCATGTTTCTTGGGATGCTGACGCGCTTCACGGTTCCGTATTTCGAAAAGACCTTTTGCACGTCATCTTCAACGGCCGCGACGTCAAGGTTGGTGATGTGAAGTTCTCGACCCTCCTCGATGGCGCCATGACGCTTCTTCGCACGGGACGGATCAGAATACATGGCCACCAATTTGAACTTTCCATCGAGAACAGTGCCATGCTTAGCAGTTGCTTTGGCAGAAGACGAACGGGCCCGAAACGTCACGTAACTGAAGCGTCGATGAACATTGCCCTTCAAACTGGGCATCCGGATACTCAGTATCTCGCCACAATCTTTGAAGAGATTTCTGAGGTAAGTCTTGTCCGCTGTGGGTGGGTAGTTGGTGACGTAGACGGTCAGATCAGTGCCGGGTTGGACGCTGATCTGTGCTTGTCCAAAGTACTTCCCGTCTCTGAGCAGAGCCGATTGAGCCTCCTCCGGGGTCCTGAATTCTACCATGACAGTCTGGGTATTTTCTGGAGGGTCAATGGCAGGGTCCGTTACATCGACAATATGGCCATACTCTTTGAAATACTGGCGTATCTTGGTTTTGGTTGTTTCAGCAGGGAGGTTGCTAACGAGAACCGACGTGTTTTCTCGGTCTCTTTTCAGGCCCTGAGGCTTCAGAGCCATCTCGGCCTCTGTAGCCTCACTTTTGGGTCGTTTGTTGGAGGTCTCGTCAGCCGTATCAGCCTCCTCTTCCCGCTTTCTTTTGGAGCTGGAAGACGAGTCATCATCCGCCACTTGAGCTGCGTAGGCAGTTTGCTGTTCTTGAGCCTGGGCAGCGTAATACTCAGCTGCCTGGGCTGCCTCTCTCTCGCGCCGCTTGGAGACCTCCTTGCGGGTTTCGTAGACTGTGTCGATAGCGATACGGACCGTACTGGGGAGCTCGTAGTCATTGCAGTGCTGGACGTAAACGTCAATGACCCTCTCGGGCCAATCCAAGGTTTTTCTTTTGATAGCCCTTCCAAGGACAGCCGTGGCCACCGATGGCACCCTCAGGCCAATCGCAGCAGTGGATGGTGTAGGACTGCGATCTTTGCCATTGGAGGCAAATATCATCATTTCCCAGAGGTAGTAGTTCAGCCAGAAGTCATAACTATCAGCGTACAACTGCTTCTCAGCCAGCTTGTGCCACTCGCTTCTCGCTTCGTCAACGTTGCGTTTCTTCTCGGTCAGGTATTGAATGTATATGCGCTCCAAACGAAAATTAGGGTCGCCTCTGTAGCTGTCGCCGTATCGATGCTTCGCCTGGTCAACAAATTCGAGTGCAGCGCGCAAACCCATGTCAGCGATATCAACATCCTCATCGGTTGCGTTCAGATCCATTGCCTTTCGCTTGAGGAACCCGCACCAGGCAGCGTACATGTCGAGGAGCGCAGCCATGCCATTTTTATAAAGCTCGGGGTTGCTCGTCGCCTTATGCTTGATCTGCTCGATCTCGTTGAAGGGGAGCTTGGCGTCTTCGGCGGTCAGGATGTAGCGCGACCAAATGGCCCCGGACCACGGGCAGTGATCAACAGCCCGACGCAATACATCAACCATGCCCTGGGGCGACTGGGCATATGTTCCAGACGTAGATAGAAAGCGGACATATTCGTTCCAGGTGGAATCGTCGAAGGCAAAGGTGCCGGTCAAGGCTCTGGCGTAGAGTCCCCGGCAGAGGTCGCCTGTAGCCTCTGCCTGCTTGTTGCTTCGCTTGCTCTGTGCGCACTCCCACTCAAGATATTCTCTGAGGAGATTGCGATAAACTTCATCCTTCCCTTCGCGAGAAGCTTGGCGCAACTTCAATTCGTGGTGGTCTCGATCCTCGGTCAACTTCTTGGCCTCTTGGGACTTTGGGTTGGCAGTAATCCCCTGCATTGTCTCCTCCCAGGCGGCCTTGTTATAGGTCGATAAAAACTCGGAAAAGGCTTGCGCAGTACTGTCGCGGGTGACATGTGGAACTTGTAGTCGATCGGTGTAGAGGAATGTGATGCGGCGGATCCCCTCTGCGGTGCGCGAGCGTGCGAGCAGGCCGCTTTCGAGGGAAATCCATCGGTCCCAGAGGTCGTGACTGTCGCTGATTCGGAATTGGATTGCTTCGTAGCCTTGCTGCCACAGTGAGAGGGCGGCGTTGAGAGAAAAGAGCTCGCAGCCCATGCGGCGTTCCTCATCGGACCATCCTGCTTCGTAGGACTGACTGGCGACGTAAAGGGACCAAAAGTAATCGCAGTATGCGCGCCAGACCTTGACGCTGTTGGGTTCGGCCTCCACGGCGTGTTTGAACAGTTCGATGACGTGAACACGCTTCTCTAGGTCGTTGGCGTGACGGCTGTTCTCAGCGACGTAATCCAGCCATTTGTCCTCCCCTACCGGCAGGGTCGCCATCTTGCAAAAATCGTGAGGTCGTCAAGAGACGAATCATGGGAAGAGCAGTCGTCACAGAGTGTTATTCAGTCGTTCCAGCGCGCCAGGCTCATGCAAAGAGAGTGAGCAATGGAGGATGATGCGATGCCGACGGCAACGACGAAGGGGAGGTGGGCGTGGTTGTGGACTTGTGGACGGGGACGCGGACGTGGACGACGAGTTTTGTTGAAGAAAAGTCAAGCTTGGACGGTCGGCGCGTGGATGAGCTTCGGGAGCTACTAGCAACAATGAGTGTTCGCAATCGAAGAATTGAATTCGTGGTAGCGGTAACGGCACTGGCTGCTGCTCTATTCCCTCGAATTGGGAAATATTCAGTGTTGGCCAGCAGCAAAAACGAGAACGGATTGAAAATAAAAACGTGGTCGACTGCAAAATCTAAACTTTGCGCCGGTACAAGACGGGGGCCGGCACGTAAAGTAGGCAAGCAATGTCTATCGTCTCGCTCTGGGCTCTCCCCTTTTTTTCCTCTTTCCTTGGTTCTGAGTGCTGCAGGTACCTACCATGGTCGGTAATGAGTACACGGGTACCTTGGGTGCCTGCCTACAGGCTACCTTGGGTAGGTACAGAACCAACAGGAACGAGAAGGTGCGCTATCTTAGTGGGACGTAGAGGAAAAATCAAGCACTCAAAAACCCTTCAAAAAAAATCGTCTCCTTCGAGTCTTCTTGAATTTTTATGTCTTGGTTCTATATAGGTGTGTATGCACAGCAATAAGTTGTCTTGACTTCATGTTGATATCGTTTGGTCACTTTGCTGCGCTGCTGGCATGTGTATATGCAGAAACGAGGCACTCCAGCAATGGAGTTTGATTTCACTCATGTTGTTAATTGGGGCAGTGGGCAATGTCGCATTTCCCGAGGATGGGCGCAAGTGTGAACGGAAAATATAAGGACCTTAGATATCACGAACCATCTTCATCTGACCCGATGAAGAGTGGAGGGCGAGTATGGAGCTTCTAGCAGGACACTTTAGAGGACTGAGGCAGGCATGACCAAGGTGACTGACCACACGGTCCCGGAAAATGCCTGATAGCTGGCATCTACACAGTGAGCCAAGCCCTGAGCTGCCTCCATTGCTCAGGCTATATCTCTACCTTGCCTTGGGTACTACATCCAATCCAATGTGTCCGTATGGAAAGGGTTTACCACAACACTGAGGAGTTTGACTGCTGTGACATTATATCCGACACTATATGGAGTCGTCACCATCAAAACCAATCGCGGCAAGGCAAAGTGGCTTACGTACGGTCCCCTTTCTTTCTACACGCTCACGAGAGCTTTCCTCCCTCGCACACTTGTAGTTAGTTATATGTAGGCTGGGTAAACAACCTTACCTCACGCACACGCAATAGGGTAATAGGTCACCATCTCGTCCCTAACCAGCTGAAATAGGTGAGAAGTGGAATGCACAACTAGTGAGGGAGCCCAAAGCCCGCCTATTTCCGGGGCGTCACTACACCGAAGCCCGGCTGCCATCTTCTGACCCGGCAAACAGCCCTTATCGGCGTGCCAAAAAAATGGTAAGCATGCTGTGAAATTTTTCTAGTACTTTCTCTATAATAGAGGGCTGAACTTTATCTCGTTTCTCTTACCCGTCTCTCTAGCCGTTTCTTTGATGGCTGAGAGTGAGACACCAAGCCATTGGTGAGGCCGGTGGGCTTGGCAATGGTGAGGTCATGCCGATGTGCCGCGAGAATGATGTGACTTCCTGGAGGGTCTCGACCCGTTCGCTCTTCATTCTTGTGTTTCCTTCCATGCCTTGCCATACTGGAAACATATTAGCAACCAACTCCGAGTCTCGTCTCGTCTCGTCTCGTACAATCTATGGAGCTCACTCTTCGCCAATCATGTGATCTTCACAGTCGGGAATTGCACATCGCTGTTTTCAAGGCACTTAAGCCCAAGCCCATAATGAACCAACTCCTCGTCTGACAAACGCTTCAATGCCGTTTACCTATTGCGCCCAGCTATTATTAGGTAGCTTTCAAAGTGATATCCAGCGCTAGTCTTCCTACCATCTGGAATGGAGTAACTCGCTTACTTGCTGCCTGGTGAGTCGCTTTCATGAACAAAAGACGGTGCAAGTGCTTTATCCGTAAGTACTTAATGTAAGTGCTCTGTCGACTCGGTGCGCTTATCTACCTTGATTCCAACGCGTCTCGACTCTGGTCTCCGGTCCGTCTCGGCACCGGAGTTGGCTCCGAACCCCGATCTGATTACTAAGGTACGGACCACCTGCCAACGGCTTCTTTCCTCGGAGGTCCCGCCTTTACTGACCACGTGATCCAGAACCAGTGCCGACAGCCCTCTCCGTCTGCGACGCCGGAGCACTGGTCCGAGTCAGCGGGGCCGAAAGGGACGCAGGCGGACACTGGCGGCGCCGTCTCCCACCGGAAATCAATAATGCCACGATCAAAATTCAGTGAAACCATCCCACTGGCTTGAAGGGTGAGTGGGGTTTCCTGGCCTTGTCACCAACATGGACAACCCGGCTAGCCTATCCTCACCTGCGTCAAGCCATTGCTTTACTAGGTAAGCCAGTAATTAGTGAGTGTCGGGGCATGTGTTTCCCTCTTTTAAGCCATCCGTTCCAACAGGCCAGTAAAAGGCACCACCAATGTCTTTCTGCCAACTAGGTTGACAGCAGGAGAACCAGCGGTGGCGATATTGTCCACAATCCTTGGAAGAGCGAACCCGAGTCGACTTATTCGGAAGAGCCAATATTCGTACACTTCCAGCAGTGTAGGGTGGGCTAGAATGACGAGATGGTTCAGCCATCAATTCGAGACAAGAATGGGGAGTCACAAATTTCTGGGCAGGCGGCCGTTGTAGTCGTCAAGAAAGCTCTGCCCTGATGTTACAGGATAGCCGAACTGATTTATGCGCAGGGGACGCCTGTCCTGGCCATCGTTGTCGCCATGAGTCTCATTTGCCATTGCTCATAGCCGTGATGCCGCGAGGTGCATGAATCCACGACAAACGAATCCGTTTATCGACGGCGACGCCATGTTCAGGTCGAGATGAGAGGGCAGGAAGAAGCAAGCGGGGAAAGCGGCAGGCGACGAAGGGCAGCTGCCGGCATGGACCGCGAGTGGGATTTGCCGTTCGAATGCAGACATCTGAAGGAATTTGTATCCTAGGTCAGTATTGACAAAGACGGTGACAGACAATGACACGGCGGACGCGACTGGGAATATTGCATACGGCTCAGCTGACTCTCACCGAGGTATTTTCCCAGGGTGGAACTTGGGGCAGAAAGCCCGGTTGACTATTAACGTTACAATGTTCAGGCCAAGAGGTTCGGTAAGCAAGCCTCGTAAGTCGCGGCGTTTGCGAGGGGCGAAGCCGTGATTGAGTGTCCCAGCCGGAATCGGGATACAAGGAATCAGGCCCCCGGAGGACGCTGAAACAGTGGAGCAAGGGGCCATGACCTCGGTGCCGCCTTGTTCTGTCTGCTCATTTGAATATTCTGTGCGGGGAGCGTACGTGGGGGCGGGCGGCAACTGCGCGAGAACGTCTTCTGCTTCATGACGATCGCCGAATGGTGAGTAGCATGGCCTTCCATTGGGGCGGTGTTGCTGCAAGACGAGGATGGCAAACTCAACCGAAGGTAGGGTAGACTGAGGTTGGCGGGCACCAACGGAAACGGACGTATGAATGCTACTGATTGAATTCGAGAACACCCTTCACTCAAGTTCCCAAGCCTGCCCATCTAGATGCTTCTCAAAGACATACGGAGGTATAACTAACCCTAGAACCGAACCTTGAATGTGAGGTTGATATGTACGCCACACAGCGGATTCTGGAGTGCGGTCTGCTGTGAGATAAGCAGCGTGGGACCCAAATTATGGTTGCTCAACTCCTGTCAGCACCGTCGGATGACTGCTTACATAAGGAAAGGCAAATGTGATTACCCTACGGAGTATCCGACCAAAGTACGTACGGATGCCTACTGCGGAGTACGTACACTACTATAGCATGATACCTTGGGTAATAAGACAAGGTCCCATGCCGGCGACGGGAGTGCCGCACCGGCATCCGCAGTTCATGCAGCCCAGTGGAACATGGAGCTCCCAGATTCCTCCTTTCCATTTCGGGCACGGGGTTTGCCATGCTGCAGTCACGTTCCCTTGTGGGATGACGACGGAACCCTCGTACGATGAAAGGCTGGCATAAGGAACAAAGAAGCATTCGCATCTACTTCACCTTGAACCTGGGTGCCGGGGTGGGTTTGGGACGAAGCGCTCTCGAGTCCATCTCTTTCCCCTGAATTCAGTGAATGCAGGGCGAAACGATTGATGTACAGTGGCTTGCGGCGGCAAGATTCACGACCTGCCTAGCGCAGATCGTCCTCGGAACCAACGAGAAGCTAAGCAAAGGTGATGGATTAGTGTAGGCACGTGCCTAGCCGTTGTCCGACCCCCACTGAGCAGGAGGCCAGAAACTGCACGCTACCTTGGTAATCACCCCTTTTCCACCCATCTGCCGCCTACCTATTCGTACCTACCTCAAGCTAAGCACGCAGGTTTTTGACTGTGCCCCGTGTCCTTGCCGTGTGCCCCGTGTCGCGAATACCAGCAAATCCTATCCAGCCACACCCAACCCCTGGCTAGGACCAGGGGTTCCTGTCGGACTAGGGCACCAGCCAACTTACCAGGCAAGTGGCAGGTCGTTGGTGGACGGTGGCCCCCATCCGACCCCAACAATCCGACAAGGCCTTGTCAGAGATGGGGCCAGATTCGTGCGTGGCTTATTCTTCAAGAATAGCTTCGGATGATCTAAAGGTCTGATAGGATGGCGCGCACGCAACCACACGGCGGTGCTACCTACATACATGAGCCAACGTTATGCGCCGCAACTTGGCCTTTTCGTATTGAAGTCGTCCTCTTTCACGTTCCCAACCGCCCAACTTGGAGGCTGTGGATACCTAACGACTGATGGTCCAAGAGGCGGGAAAGTGCGCAGGCCGGCTACAGTAACAGGCACGGAGCCATATCCTCTGGCATCCCACTCTTCGGAGTGAGTTGAAGGGCGGTTACTTGTGGCACCTGCGAGAGAAAAGAGTGTTGGACTGGCCTTTACGGCTTTGCCGTCTCCTGGGCTTCCCTTCATTGAACGTCATCCCTGGGCCCCCATTTCCATTTCCGCATCCCTGGTCCAAGCTGGCTTGTCCTGGTTGGCAGCGAGGCACAGACTCGGAGTAGCCTCCCTCAAATCGGGCCAGGCCCAGTTGGGACGCTCCATCCGAATCCATGGACAATGTGACTTGCCTCGACGGGAACATACTGGGCCAAAGGTGACGAGAAGTTGAGGAGCCTCGTATAATGAATGCAAATTGTTGCCTCGGATGGGAGCGAGGCCGGTCATGGAGTAAAGATTCTCGGATAATCCAGCCTCAGCTGTAAGGTAGATAAGGTAAGGTACCTAGGTTGATGGCGCAGAAAAGTCAAAGGGCAAGAATAACAAGGGCAGGCAAGAGCATCATGCAGCGATACCAAACCCTCTGGACCTTTCCTTCCTTTTTCTCGTTCCAGTCCATATTTCCCTGAAGTAAGTGCGTAGGCACGTAAGGTACCTACCTACCTACCTAGCCTTACCTACTTGGCTACCTCCCTCAGGCAAGGGATTACCTCAGCTCAGGTGCCCGGACCTACTTATTGGGCTCCCTTCTCAAACCTGCAAACCCCTCGCATCAGGATACCTTCCTTACCTACCGTGCCAACCTACCTACGTGCCATGCACATACGTAAGCACGTAAGGTACTTACTTGCCTATCGGCTTGCTTAATAAAGTAGAACGTCACTCCCCACGCCGGCTGGACGTAGAGAGGACAGACAGCAGCTGAGGTATTGATGATGGCACTCCGGCCACCGCCATTCCTCGTTTACCACCATCTACCTTGGGCATAGGTGGACTTATAGACCTTGGACTAAGCGACACGTCGCGGGTGCCGTCGAACCCGACATAGAAAGGCAAACAGAAACAGACAGACACGTCTCCGTCCACCTACCTCTATTTGACGCGACTGAGCTAATTGAACATGGACGCGACAAGGTCCGCCGCCTGTCAACTACCAACGCTGGACAAAAGGGAAACCCCGGGTTGTCTTCACAGTCTCGTGCCGCCCGCCTGTGCTCGTGCACTTTGGTCCCCTGTATTTCTTCCCCCACCCCCTTTCCCCTGTTCTAACTTCTTACCGGAAGGAGGGGCCCCTTGTCACCAGCAACTTGACCTTTTGCGTGACTTTCCTCGGAGGAGGATGTATCTGGACTCTCTGCACTTATTCCTGCCCCGTACATCTCCTACGGGCGAGTGCCTTCCATCCCATGGGCTCGGGTAGCCCCTGCCGTTGCCTCTGGCCGGCCCACGTCCTCCCGTCCATTCTGCATGTAAGTTGCACCGCTCTCTCCATCGAGGCAAGGTCCCTTAGTCTCGTCCTGAAGTGAGGTGCAAGTGCGAGTGACATGGGTGTGGGGTAAGGAGTGCGTTCCATCTCCAACCTAACACAGCAATATCCCTCCTCCCTCTCTAAACTTGAAATATTACCCTCGCTCCCCGCTCCCTTTTCATTCCTCCTCGGGCCTCACCTACGAGCCTCTTCCCTTCTTGTCTCTTCACGGTGTTCCTTGTTTCTTCCCTTCTGCCCATTCGGAATTCGTTCCTTCTCTTCTCCCCCATTTGTCGGGTTCCTGCACTTCTCTTCCATTCTTCCCACTTGGTCTTGACCGTTTATCTTCCATTCCTGCCTTGTACAACTTGTTTCGCCTCTCCCGCCCTCCCGCCTCCCACCTCACGCCTCAAGTCCATTCGACCTGACTCGACCTGACTCTCTCTCTTTTGCTGCGTCGACCATCTACTGCCGGTCTTTTCGCAGACCACCGCAGTCGTCTACCTCACTGAGCTTTGGGGGATCAAGTCCTCTTGTAAATTTCTCCGCCTCTTTCGTCACATTGGCCGTTTATCGACCAGTCTCACACATTCTCTGGATCTATTCCGCGCCACCTCTCACCCTTCACTCATCCGGGCATCTGCCCCGCGTCAGAGCATCAAACACTTGAGCCTAGGACAGATGATGAACTCCTGTGCGACACTCTGACAGCTTTGGTCCTACGCGCACCGGGTGATGGGCGATCACCCAGGTGCCACACCAAATTCTTTCTCCAGGACGCTTCACTGGACGTTGATTGCATCAAATATCCTGTTACCCCTACACTCGCCAATCTCATAATGAGACGTCGATTCTGGGTTCGGGGTTTTGCCATTGCGGCCCTTCTTGGCAATGTCTGCGCGCAACTAGACACATTACCACCATGCGGTGTAAGTCGCGACTAAGATGATCGTCCTAGATACATGATTGGCTGCACCAAGACAACTTTCTAGAGCGCTGAGCGAGAATCAAGGACTAACAAGCTTTCGCTCCGCAGGTTACCTGCATCAACAATGTGATTGCCAAAGGATTTGGTTGCGCATCGGGAGACAATACCTGTCTCTGTAAACAACAAGACTTCGTGTTTGGTGTTCGGGATTGCGCCTCGCAGTCATGCGCAGCAGATTTAGCACCCAAAGTCGATGACTATGTCACAGGTCTCTGTGCAAGTGAGAAAACCCCGTTAAGCTGATCCGGCAAAGATCTCACTAACTTGCCATGATAGCTGCGACTCGAACACCACCTGCTTCAACACCACCTGTGTCGAACCAGCCGCCTTCCACACCCGCCGTACATCAGACGACAACCCCAGCAGCGCTGCCTTTGACTTCTCAGCCGCCTCCGTCGCCGTCAACTTTGACCCAACCAACCAAACCCAGCGCATCTGAGACACCCGCTTCTTCTGAAGTTGCTCAAACAGTCCCGTCCGAGACCTCTAGCAAATCCATTTCCAACATTGCCCAGGCCACCCAGCTTTCAAGTGCAACTCCTACCACACTCGTAAGCTTTCCGTCGTGATTTTATGATAATTGCTTCGTAATTAACCAAGAAATCGTAGACTACATCCACCAAGTCGTCGTCCCTTCCCTCTTCGAGGTCGACGACGACTTCTACCGGAGCTCGCCCATCACAATCAGGCTCAGCCTCAGACGCTGGAGCAGGCAACATAGAGAGCGACGCCGGAGGTCTCTCCTCACCCGCCAAAATAGGTATCGGGGTGGGAGCGGGTGTTGGTGTCCTGGCGATCGCTTTGGCCTTGTGGCTTCTAATCAGACGGCCAAAGAACCGCACAAAGTCTATGCAGATTTCGGGCCCAATGCCTGGCTCCGGAAGAGACTATACTGGAGGTTTTATTGGCATGAAAGAAAAGAATCACTCGGAGCTGGAAATGAAGTCGAGAAGGTACGAGGATATGTTGCCGCGCCAGTCACCCAGACGTTTCGGGTAAGAGGCATTCTCTTGAGGCACTCACCTTACCCGTCCTTTTGGCTGGCAATCCGAAAGTTGCTTTCATCTTAGGAAGATGGGCGGAGCAGACGGATACCCTCTCTATTATGAATTATGATTAAACGAACGTTAATGAGTGGTTGCGGGTGAGCTGGGGTCAAGGGCGGTTGTCGAAAAGGTCAGCATTATACCACGGGAAATCCGATTTCATTGCACAAATAAACCCAGAGGCACCGGGATGGTAGGGGAGTCGGCAGTGAAGATGGCGGAAAGGACTCAACGACAGGTTTTCATGGTACATGTTCTTACAGGTTTTGAGTGTGTTACAAGATGATTTTCCAAGCACTTCCGAATAGGTGTCCTCCAAGTGCCTCGTTCCAGTCGTGACTGTTTATCACCATGAGTAGTAGGGTCTCTGAGCCGTCACTGGCCGATCAGGCAAATGGACCCAGGGCTTTCTTCGCGCTTGCTTGGCCAACTTCTCCGTGTGCTCTCGTATCCTTGTCTTTTCCTCCTTCAAGACAACCGAAATGCCTGCAAACCGTTGTCAATTTCACGACACATAAGATGAATGGTGGAATGAAAGTTTGTTAAACATACTGGTGGAGGGCGACTGCATGATGCCGAATCTGCCTCTGCCCTTGTAATCGAGGGTCTTGGCCCTCCAAGGTCCTCGACCAACCCAGGCTTCAGCAACATATAGCCTAGTCGGGTCTTCGATGGTCAAGGTCTTGCCGTCCTTGGTTTGAATTTTGATGGGCTGCACCGCTGTGCCGTCGCTCTTGCGGCCGGCCTTACCAAGGCCCATACCACGCGTGACAACAGCCAAGTCCCTCGCCTCTTCTAGCTGGTACTTGACTTCAGAAGCCATCTTCTTCTTGGAGTACGACATCTGCAGAACGGCCTCTTCGAGAGACTTGCCCTGGATCTGGCGCGCTAGATGCACTAGCTTCTTGACGCTGGTCTCCAAAAAGGGGCTCTTGTGAGATAACTTCTTCTCGGTCTGTGCAATACGCTCATCACGGCTGACGCGGCCATTGCTGCGCACCATTTGGATCACCTTCTTTCTCTCCCAGCGGAGACGACTTCGCGGGTCGGGGTCGAGGCGCCATGCCATCGTCTCTGGTGTCTTCACCGACGCCTGGCCCTTTTCGGCCTTGGCGCCCGTTTTGCCCTCTGCAACAGCATCGTCGACTTCCTCCTCGAAAATTGAACTAGACATCTTGGGCTGCTGCGACTGAGCAAAGCGTTCGCGGACCTTGGGGTCGTCGAGGTTCTCGCCGCCCGTCATAGCATCATCGGCGTTGCTTCTCTTGCCGCGACGGCCGCCAAAGAGACCGCCGAAGCTCCATTTGCTTCGGATCTGGGTAGCCGGCCGAATCGGAAGGACGAAGGATCGAGGAATCGGACGGCTGACGGCTTGTAGTGTCGAGGGAGCTGGCAGTTCAGTAAGGTTAGCTACCCAAGAGCCTGATTCAACGATTGACAATGATCTGACGGGATTATTGGTGCCTGGAAGAAGTCAAATAAATCTCAATTGGCAACGTACCGGATGAGACTAACCGCCTCGTGGGAAGACTCATGTTTGCTACTGGTGTTGCTGAATCAAACTGATTGATCTTCAACCAGCTTCAAATCCACCCGTCACGGGAAAAAATGCTCGGAAGATCCCATGCGCGTTGAAGGTCGCACTGGGCCACGTCCCGGGGCTGTTTAGCCGGCGTTCCTCCGGGGTTTGCGCTTACCTAAGGTTTTGGGAGCTTCAAGGCAGGCGTGGCAGTGTGCCTCGAAAGATGGCACGGCCCAGCAGTTTCAATCACCGAGTTGCTTAGCTAAGTTCGAGGAGCAGATCGGAATTGAACATCACGTGACACTTCCCTTCGCGCGAATTCATCAGACCATTCGAGCTATCCGCCCATATCCTCAGCATCGTCAAATAACTCTTCAGGATACGATTCTCGGCTCAGTCGAATACCACAACCCTTCCCGCACTACACATCACAATGGCCGGCGCTACTGCTATCAAGCCCATCACGGGCGTGCGTTTCCCCCTTGGACATTGAAATCCCCGCTTTCCCCCCGTGTCCTCCCCAGGTCCACGGAGGAAGACGAGGGTAACGAACTACTGGCTAACGACGACCGATAGATGCTACGACGCAACCTCGTTCTCGACATTGGCATCGCGCTTGGTAAGCCTTTCTTCATGTGCATGGCTGGAGTTTGCGGGCTTGCCGCTGCTGGATTGGGGGTGACAGGCGCCAATTGAGCCTCTCGAATTCAACATGCGCCATCGATCTGCTACCCCAGCCTTCCACACATTGGTTCCGCCCCAACACAAGAAAAATTCAACTAACCATGCGTCACAGGTCTCGGTTTCGCCATGGCCAACGTCTACTGGTATGCGATCACCGACTGATCTCTCTAAGAAATCTCTCCGAAACTAAGATGGACCATAGGTACGGCTTCCACATGCCGCGTACGAACGCCCGTGACAACTACTACGCCAAGCTCGAGCAGCAGAAGGCCGAGGCCCGCAAGGCATGAGCGAAAACTAAGCAGCAAGACAATGGGGAGGGCGCGAAAGGGGGCAGCATGTTAGATTGAGTGGAGAAAGCGCGAGAGGGCATTTGCGTTCATAGACAAGATACGGGCTTCATCACTTGATCGTCCAACCCCGATTGTACCATACACTTCAGCAATTGAGCCTCGAGCCTCTTTATGTGTATCATAACGATGCGTGTGACGCTCGCCGTTGCCTTCCTTGGCGGGATCACTGTCCGTCAGGACGACGTTCCGTCACTGGATCGATCTACACTGCCTCGACCATGCACAGTATTGCTTTGTTGGATCTCATACAAAAGCGGTACGACAGGCTGCAGTACGATTTGAGAGGACTCGGTTTTTTTTTCGCCGAGCCGATTGATCGTGCCAGAGTTCGCAAGCACTACTTATCGAGACTAGTGCTGCTGAGGATATTCATGGTCGACATCAGAGCATTGATGTGGGAGTGGTTTATAAATACAGATTTGAGTTATATGAATGGAATGGGCTGATCACCCAAGGCGTGACCCAACCATACCCTTAATCATACGATCGGCTTGGCGAAACAGATTCACCACGTGGGTGCCTCTTTCGCGCTTCTGATGAGAAAGTCAGGGCACAGAGACTGGGAGACCTGTAGTGTCGCTGTGAAAAAATCGAAAGTCAAGACTCCTGGCTCATTCATCCTCCCATGCCTGGGACCATTGATGATATGATGACCCACTGCTTTGGGTGTCTTGGGGTTTGCCTTTGTCTGTAGCTTGGGAACTCTGACGGCCAGTGGGGTCTGAAATCGAACCCTCCCAAGCCGTGGTCTCAACCATAAACGCGCCCTTTTTGTCCTGGCATCTATTGAATCACCCACGATCAGCGACTAGATTCCCGACGACGAATAGCGAAGCGACATCGACGACGAGGTGGCAAGAGAAGGATCAAACTCACTGTCTGAAGAGTCGGTGAATCGGCCAGCAGCGGACCGGACTGTTTCGGGACTGCGAGTCTTCGATAAAGCACCTGTACTGCGTCATCTCCTTCAGCGCACACTTGGTCAGGTCGACATCGGCGCCTCCCGGCAGCTTGCGCTTCTTTCCCTTTACATCGGCCTGAAGGTGCACTTCAAGTTTCGACGGCGGGAACGCGACACACGGCGGCGACATTTTCTAGCGGTGACGGCGACGGCGACGGATATGGAGATGGAGATGCCGTCGGCGGCGGCTTTGGCCGGCACAAGGCTGCTGGGCGAGGTTGAAGAGACAAGACTAGACGAGGTAGGCAAGGATCACAAATTCGCCCTGTTTGCGTAAGCTAGAGAGTTGGTTTGAGAAGCTACTTCTTCAATCGGTCCCGGTCGATGCAAGCTGGATTGGTTGATGTTTCCGTCCAACTTCTGGCCCGTGTATCGAACCTCGCCGAAATCCCCACGACCCTCGCCCGGCCCCCAGCAGCCACTATCCTCATCACTCGCCCTAATGTTCAACCACCTGCCATCAAATCGACCGCAATGAAGTCGCACATGCGCACCGCCGCTGACGTTGAGCACCGCAGGTTCTGCATGCTCTCCGCATAGCACTGAATCCCGACGCGCCATGGACTAAATCGAGGCACCCAAAGCCGTATCCCATTCCAGGTCTCGACGATCTAGTTACTCGTAATTTCCGGGCGACAAAGTCGGCGCCGTTGGCTGTGACCGGCCGCCAGCTCCCGCTCATCTACGCACTCGTCTCGACACTTTTGTCGCATCCCTATAATAAAACGGTTCTAATCATCGATACGGAGCATCGCTTCGACGCAACTCGCCTACTCTGTAACCAAGATGATCTGCGCCACGCCTACGTGCATCGCCCAGCTCGCCGTGGCAACGTCGATGGCCGCAGCGGAGGCGGCGCCGGCATGGGTGCGGACCAGATCCGGGAGCTTGTTGCTGCTGCTGAGGGCTGGATGCTTTACGGCGGTCACCATAGCGGCGCTCGGCAATGGTGGGGGACCATGGTTATCGGCGCCCTCGGAGCCGGGGATGTGACTACCGCCTGGAAAGGCTGGCTACGAGTTGACCGCGAATACGTGCCGGGATTTTCCATCGGCTGTAGCGCGACGGAAGCTGTGAAGGACCGCCAGCAACGCCAGGAAGTCGTCGATGCTGCACCGTGGGCGGTCTCTTCGCAGTGGGGATGTTTCACATTCACAGACTCTGACTCTACGAAAATAACGCTCGATCCAAGGGGGTCTACCGACCGATAAGGGGTGCGTTGGTTGGGTAGCTGCAGTGGGGGAGCAAGAGGCCGGAGAAGAGCAGCAGGTGGAGGCGAGGATGGGGAGGAGTGTGCACGTAGCAACCAAGCAGACTCCTTGTGACGAACACCTACACAAGATTCGTACATGTACCGGTACTCTTCTCACTCCCATGAGTACTTATTGTAACTCCCTCCCCTTCCCTCCTCCATGAATCACCCGCGAATCCATTCTCCACGTAAAGAAACCCACTGCGCCTAGGTCGGTGAGTGGGCTTTCCCCACCGAGGTATGCGAGAGAACTGGCGCCGGGTTACTTCTTGAGGAAAGAAATCTTGTTGTAGGCGCGTTGGCACGTCTGAGATGCTTGCCAAGCAAGCCGTATTTGCAACTCGGCTCCCACGGGCAACCCTCCAGAGCCCAAAACACAGTAGCGCCAACGGCGGAATCAGAAATGAGCAGATATGCAGCTCATGTAGACGCCGGCCGGCCTTGGCGGGCCAGCAGGACAACGGCGCGGCGCCAGGCCGTGGATGACGGTATTTTGCAGGCTCGGGGTCGGCCCAAGGGAATACCAACGGAATTCTATCCCAGCACTTCCTCTGTACAGTACGTTTTGCGCGATTGACGATCGCCATCCATCCCGAGGCGCTTATAGAGGAAGGGTACGAACCTCAAATACGGTACACACGGGAGACAGAGTTACATACAACGACGAATCGCCTGCCAATGTTGTCAACGAAGTCATCCCCAGCAATAGTACCCATTGAACCACCACTAAACAACCCTTGGATCACTATTGACGACCATAGTTTGGTTAATACTTCACAATTTTATATATCAAGGGCGCCGCAAAAAATTCTTAGTTATTGGGCGGCCGTTGTGTCTGTATATTTCAATCTATGCCAGTCCGCTTACTGAGCAGTTTAAGTCCGGCGTCTGATTGTGGTCCTGATATGTATTGCTGACGCCATTGGTATCACACTGTTACTCCGTCCTAATAAACCCAACAAAAAAACTGGATAGCCCTAAAGAAGCTGAAAAAGCTTTACCCAAGCCAAAACCGCTGATGTTCCGAAACCTGTTTTGTCGCCAAAATCTGTAAATGCTCATTCTTTTTCTCAACCCAATATGGGCTGAGAACGTTCCTCGAGGGGAGTCAACACCGCGCTATCCTTCTCCTGCATGGCGCGAAGGCAATCCGCTTCGCCCAGAATATCCTTCCGAAGGGAGGTGACAACCCGCTTGCGGATTTCACGCTGGATACCATAGCGGACGGCATCCAAAACAGTCGGGACGGTGGCTTTTGGCTTGTAAGCCGGCTCGGTACCATCTTGGTAGACGCCAGTCTTGACCAGGATGCTGTGCCACTCGTTGTCCGCATGCTCGTTATAGAGATTGGTGCCGCGGATATCGGACTCGGGAGTGTCACCGACGAAGTAAACCGTGTCGGGTGGTGCGTCGAGGCCGTGCTGTTGGCGCCTCCACTGCTGTAAAAGCCTCGTCGCAAACTCAAAAGTGCTGACCTGAGGCTTGCCGAAAGCGTGGGTGTGCAACTTGCCCTTCTTCTTGGTCACGTCCTTGAAGGCGACCTCGAGCATGCGGCGAAGAGCACCCATGCCGAGACGCACATTGTCATGGGCCGCAGACCAGACGACGTCGTTGTGGGAGAAGTAGATTGGCGGACCTTCGTCCATGGTCTCACTCAGTGTGCCCATCTTGCCACCCTTGGACATTGCCACGTCGAGCATAATCTGAATGTCACCCGCCCAGTCGCGGGAATCTGCAAAAACGAAGACAGCACCGATGGTAACGTCGGTGAAGTCACGCTCGCGAGAGTTCTTGAGTTCTTCTGCCGTGAGCTTGCGGAAAGGTGTTGTGGCCGAGTTGTGCTTGATGATGTCGCCGGGGGTGATGACATCCTTGAACCCGTAGCCCTCAGCGACTTGACGACACTTCTCGCCTTCTCCGCCCACAACCAAGACAGTCTTGAATCGATCGGCCATTTCCCTCATGGGAGTATGGCCACAAATGAATTGCGCGGGGGAGATATCGATCTCCATCTGTTTTGAGAGGTCGCCGCATCTCTCCTCTTCGGTCTTACCCCCTCCATTAGTGAGGAAGATGTATGGGCTATAACAGGTGATGTCAGTTACGACTGCCACTGAGGAGATGGGATGTTCAAAATAGTCATCGAGGGTGCGAGGCACTCGGATTGGATTAAGTAAACATACATCTGAATGCCGTACTCGTTGTCCCCGTTGAGCACCTTCATAGCCTCAACAGCCTCGGGAATGGCGCGGCCGCCGCGGATCAGAACACCGTCTATGTCGAAAGCGAAAGCGAAGCTGTCGGCTACGGGCGCGTCGACACTTATCGAAGGTGTGACGGGTGATAGAGCACTAGCAGGGCTACCGAGCGCAGAGGAGCCAGCGGAGCCGCCGGGAGATGATGCGTCAGAGCCATCAAGCGAGGAATCAGGAGTGCTCAGTGCCATGTTGTCCAGCTGCTTCCGGGCAGCTTGGATGCTTTCGATGAAGCTACCGGTAGACGAAGCTCGATGATTGGGAGCCATGGTGGATGGTTTACAGAGTGAAGGCCCCCAAAATTGGTTGACCGGATGTGATGGGAAGGGGCTGGAGTCTATGGTGTTGCAGACTGAAGGGTTCGAGTAGGAAAGTGAAGGCAAAGCTTGATCTGTCAAAGACGGAGCTTTCGACGATGATAAGATGTGATTGGGGTGATGTGGTAAGACAAATAAACTGTAGAATCTTTGGAAGGAATCACGGGGGGTTATCAGGTTATATACTCTCGGTATGAGAATATCTTGACTTGATGCTGACGTCTCTCTTTCTCTTTCTCCCTCCCTCTCTCTCGCTTCTACAAATGCACGCTTTCGAGACGCCCCTGCGCTACTTCTTCCAACATGTGGAAGTCTCCGCTAAAACCAGGCAAACGCGGGTCCTTGCTCAGTGACACCCTTGGGATGAGTTTCTTGAGTCGCGCATGGCCGTGGATACCGTGGAGGCGAAGTAGCATGAGAATTTTTTTGGATCCAAGCTGGGACTTGCTCCACTCAAGACACAAGGACCTTACCTGGTGATGAAATTTACGATTATGACAGAATAGGATAAAGGCACTGCCCTTTGTTGCGAGGACTATGCAGCCCACGTATCCGTACTGCCAAGAGGAACCAGATCGGGACGAGGATACATGCCCAGAGAGAGAAACCTGGGTGGCTCCAAACGTTCCTTCATCTCACCGCCGGCGCAGTCAAACATTGTTCCTGACTACGGCCACCAGTACGAATACAAGTGTACAAGTCGCACAACACGAGCGAGTGACCCAGCGGGCCGCCAACAAGAGAGGGCAAAGCATGTTTAGGAGGCTCCATAGAGATCCATTCTGCCAACCGCATGGTGGAGACTTGGCTTTTTGGGTTCTTCGTTGCGGCTGCGAATGATTCCGCCGTCGCGCGAGACATAGAGGCCTCGAAATGCCCCGAGCAATGATGATGATCTAGGAACCGATGCGGCAGCGATCGACCCTTACCCGAGGCGGCCTTGGCGCGAGGAAGAAGCACATGCGAGCCGCCGTCACTCCTGTTGGACCCTGCCGCAAATGCAGACTTATAGTTACACCGTACAAAGGCTTTCTGGCGCACTCTATTTCCCTCTCATGCCGAAGGCAGCTATGCAGCTCCATCATCCGCCTATCGCTGCTCCTCTCTCCATCAGCTATGAGTCTGCGTGAGATTTACTGTAAAGTTGGGCGGGGGGAGATAGTCAAGGCAGGTTTCGCAGGCTGCGAGGAACTTGGGTGGGTACTTCGGACCAGGACCAAGGAAGACGGGGAAAAGGCACACACCATACGGCGTTTCGTCTTTCGAGTACAACCAACCATGCCTAACTCAGTCGGTCTCATCGGCTTCTCTCTTCAGCATCAGATAAAGCAGCGCCGGCGCAATCTCTGGCCCGTCTCCTTGTAGACCCCTACAAAGCTCCCTCCCATTGGACATGCGCTCACTCCTTATCGATGGTTCCCTGCGATACGGCAGGCTGACACAGGGATGTTGCCCGCAGGAAGGAGTGATAGCTTTGTGATGGTCCACAAGTGCGAAAATGCATTTGCACCATGAGGTGTGACTCGTGAGATACATCAAGGAAACTGCCCGTGTGTGGTGGCCCAGCAGGTTCCATAAAAGCGGGTCGTAGAGACTCCGTAGTGACGTCAGTCACAGTGGATACAGGGTCGCGGAGACAAGGGTATGTAAGATGTCCGCACCCGTGGCTCGGACACCTGGACATCATTGGTCGCTGCTACAGACTAGAGGCTCCGCTAGACGGCCCGAACAGGTAATTTCCCCTTCCGGTGGCTTAGGTAATAGAACGGGAGCCCCCCTACGGCAAAGAACCGGGCGTCCAGCGGCATCGGGCCCGGAAACCCTCGGTCCCTGGGCCGTTCAATACCGGTCCTGCATATTTGCACTTGTCTCTCCATTGCTAACTAAGCAGTGCCTTGAAAGGAAGAGAGCAAGGGAGGAAAAGTAGAGTGAGAAATGGAGAAGAAAAAGAATATTTCGCAGACCCTTCGCATCAGAAAGGCCACATTTTCGTCCTCCATGTCCGCTCCTCGTGTGCCATCGTCCTATCAGGACGCATAGGTTTAGTGCTAGGCTGGGACCTGACTCGGCGAATGACGTCCGTCTGTCCCTTTCTCCGTCCCAAGGTAGGTAGGTATTCGTACACCTTTGATTGTTGTGTCCAAGACCGTTGCGAACAGGACCACAAATAATCACCAAGTCCAGAACACTGATACAAAAGATAAAGCACGCATCTCCAGACCATCCACTTATCCTGTACCCGCTCGTAACATGTGTATTTTGTGGCCTGTCCCTCCAAAAATCCGGGGTCTTTATTCTTCTGTCCCCAGCCTCGACGTCTCTCGTAGCTAGGTATGGCAAGACACGGGCAGTGTATCTAGTGAACGCGCATCTTGGTGTAGTAAAGGAGGGGTTCATGACAACGATGTAGGGCCAAGTGTCCCACAACTCGATATCCATCAAACACGCTTCACATCACACAGCCGAATGGTATGGTTGTACCGGAAGGGGCGCACTACCCGTCGCGGGCCTTTGCTTCCTCTGCCTCGCATTTCCTGATGCACAACGACGCCATCAATTAGTACTGCCGAGCCATGGGAGAATGTCTACGAAACGAAAACCAGGCCTCAGCCCGGCGCTATTACTACCGCGTCCCGCCGCCGCCTCACACGCTACTCGTCAGTTGCATTGTGATGCCGTCACTGTCGGCCAGACTCCATGCAGACACCCCTGCCCCTGTTCGTACCCATAGGCAATGGATGGAGCCTGTCACTCGTTAGGCCAGTTGAAGACACCTATCGATGCCGCCTTATTCGTCCGCTGCCCTTGCTTGGACAGTAGGAAAACGACCACGGACGGTGAAATGGGACAGCCGAACGACATTTCACTAAAACAAATGAAGAGGAGAGGGATGAGGGGAGGGGATTTTGGCTTACAGAAGCCTAGTCCTTGCCCAGTGACAGGGGGATTAAGAGGGTTTAATGGAAGAGGGAAGAAAATCAACAGGCTGGCGTGACTGGCCGACATAAGCACGCAAGTGGATTCGACGAATACCGCTTACTTGCTAATAATCAATCATACATTCCTCAATCCTTGGACTTTCGTTTCATCCTGCGGTGATTGGAAGCGCTGGCTGGAATCGTTGGCGGTCTTTGCCACAGTGTCTTTTTCCTCCCCCTTTTTCTTCAAAAATCCCTCATCCCGTCGTTACTTTATCAGCCGCCATTCTATTTGCAACGCCTCCCCCAGCGGAGTACCCTGATATCAGAACACTTAAAGAACAAACAGCGCAAAATCGAGGGCGAGAACGCTTTATTGAAGATTGACAAAGAGGCCGCCGTCGACCAGCAACTGCGCGCCTGTCACATAACCACTGAGGTATTCGCAGGCTAGGAAAACGGCAGGCCCGGCGAGGTCGGATGGCACGCCGGTGCGGCCTAGGGGAATGCGGCCCTCGGTGTAAGCCCGCTTGGCATCATCCGCAAGGTCCTCCTCGTTGAGCTGAGTCTTGATTGTACCGGGAAGCAGGGCGTTGCAGCGAATTTTGTATTTACCCAAGGCGACAGCGGTGCTCTGCATCAGACTCAGGATACCAGCCTTGGTAGGCGTGTAATGGGCCTGCCGGCCACCACCAACCAGAGCGGAAATGGACGAGATACCAATGATGCTACCGCCAGCAGGTGATTGCTGGCTCATCTGTCGAGCGGCTGCCTGTACAACATAAAAGGCGCCATCGAGGTTGGTACGGACCGTCCTAGTGAACAGGTCGGGGGTCAGCTCGAGAAACTCGGCGAATGTGCAGATGCCAGCATTGGAGACACAAATGTCTAGGCGAGCGTTGCCGGAATGCTCGACGGCACGCGCAACCAGCTTCACTGCTGTCTCGGGCTCGCGAACATCGCCAACCAGATCGGCCAGGCGGCCCGCGTTGGGGTTCTCTTGCTTCGCAGCAGTGGCGTCGGCAACGAGGGCATCAAGGTGGGGTTGGTCCTTTTCAAGACCCAAATGATTCACGACAACGTTGGCACCCTGCTTTATATATTCCAAAGCGATGGCCTTCCCGATGCCAGTAGTGCCACCCGTGATAATGGCGGTCTTGCCAGCGAGCAGATTTGTTGGGGCCATCATATACTATTTGCAAATGCGGCGAGCTTTCCGACAAAGCTGTTGTCGTTATATGTGAAGTCGGAACGAGATCGGGTGCGGGGTTGTTGTGAACGGCAAGATGTCGAATCGGATTTTGGATCAGCCAGAGACCTTAGAGGTTGGCGGACGATTGGCGATTGGCGATTGGCAATGGATGGTGGATGATGGATGATGGATGATGGATGATGGACGATGGACGATGGTGTTCATGTGCAGATTTGTTAGCACCCACGATGTATGTGCGCGAGCGTAAGGATGGATGGTTTTATTTGTAGTCGACGATGGATGCCGGCTGGCGTGGAGGATACGGAGCGGAGAGCTGTGAGGGCGGAGGGGTCAATGTGCAGCGAGGGCGGCTCAAGTGAGACCCGATGACCGAGCTACGGCTCCCGCCCGCTGCATGATCTGCTGACCGCCCTGCCCTACCTGCCTCCCACGATGCCCGCTCTTGTGTACCCTTAGGCCTCAGGTAGGGCAGGTTGTTCGAGGCGCGAGGTAGGTACCTTAGGAAGACACGCACGGCAAGGAGCTCAACCTAGGTAATGGAAGGAAGGTATCCGTAGTGCAAATTCCCCATGGCCTATGGGGCATCCCACTTCACACCCCGCACTCTCGGTCACAATTGTAGCGAGCCTCCCCGCCGACCAAGCCAGCGGCTTCATGATCTGGCCATGGACGGCTTTTCCGCCGTTGTGTTCGGCTGTAGCCTGTCCGTCCTGGTTGCCTGCTTTCTAGTTGTTTTCTACACTCTGTCACCTTCATGCATCCGTAAGGTCCGGAAAGGCCGGGCGGGCTCAGCATGGAAACCTCAACCTCCCGCGGATATCCTCTGGTATCGTGCACGGCATCTCCACACATCGTCTTAAAGCCTCTTGCTCCGATACGAGCCACTTCGGGGTTACCTCCGTCTTCGACCAATCTCCTGTCGGTGGCATCTGTCCTTCCGCACCGCCGGCTTGGACCACAAAGTACAGGACGTCCACATTTCCAGTTTAGGGTCGACATCAACATATAGCGTGGTTTGGGCTTTGAACGTTGCAGTCAATCTATTCCACGTAAATCGTAAGTGTACCAGGATGTTGGCCATGTAGATTACGCCGACAAGTGATGCTCATTGTGGCCATACAGGTATGGCCTAATCCCGGGGTCTATCCCCGTCTCCGTGTAAGTGACATGCTATTCTATTTTGAGACGGTTCACAGTTCCTAGAACTTGGCCGCATCGCCATCCACATTATTGTGTGCTTAGCTCGCCTCCGTCTCCTCCACCGACTTGAGGGGCCTCTCCTATAGACCTGTTAGTACATCCGCCGACACAGAGTGTCGAAACCGATTGTTCACTTACAGGGCTGGCGCTCAGCAGAGCCTTGCCCGAAATAAGCTTCGACCTGACCGCGGGGTTGAGCGTAAGACCGAAGCCGGGTTTATCAAGGTCAGCCGTCGTCAGGAAGCCCTTGGTGGGAATGGGTTCGTCGAGGAAGAGGTCGCCAAAAACAGGCAGCACACTCTTGCCGTCGGGCGAGTTGGCGAGATACTCCTGGAAGGGTGTGTTGGGTTGCGAGATAACAAAGTGATAGCTGTACGGGCCGCTTGCGTGGGGAACCACAGGAATGTCGTATGCCGAGGCCATGGCCGACACCTTGAGCAGTTCCGTGAGACCACCAAGCCACATGACATCAGGCTGGATGATGTCCAGGTTGCGTCCCTCAATGAGCTTGCGGAATCCATATCGAGAGTACTCGTGCTCGCCAGTGGTAAATTTGATGGTTGGGTGTGCACGCTTGATCTGCTCAAAGCCATCTGTGTCATCAGGAGACAGGCACTCCTCCCACCAGTTGATGTTGAGGTTCTCGCAGGCCTTTACTATTTCAATGGTGTAAGGCACGTTGAGACTCATGTAGCAGTCAACCATGATGGGGAAATCGGGACCAACGCTTTCGCGGTGCTTGCGAAGGAATTCGACGTTCTTCTTCAGGCCAGCGTGGCCATCCTCTGGGCAATACGGAAGAGGGACCTTGCCGCCCCAGAAGCCCATCGTCTTGGCTGCCGACGGTTCGGGACCAGTACAATAAAAGTCCAGACGCTCCTTGGTAGCACCACCGATGAGCCTGTATACAGGCTCGTTTCTCACCTTTCCAAGCAAATCCCAGATGGCGAGATCGATGACGGAAATAACAGCGAGAGGGAGACCTTTTCGGCCGTAGAACATGGACCCTCTGTACATTTGCTCAAACAATAAATTTGTGTTTCGGGGATCAGCGCCGATGAGGAAACGTTCAAAGTGCTGGTGGACGAGCCAGCACGCCGGAGGACCTGCATGAAACCTAGTCAGCAGAGTCATCCTCAACCATATTCCCTCGAGTCAAGTTCAAAATTGCGTGCCTCCGAAGCCAGTGGCAATGCCGACGGTGCCGTCGGTCGCTTCGATTTCGATGAGAAATGAGCCCAGGACGTTGATGCCCCAGCTAGTCCTCGAATCGCGGTATTTCTCCCATCGCGAGCAGGGAGTGGAAATGGGGCTGTCAATCAGCCTGTTTGTCACATTGTTAGCTCATGTCGCTCTTCGTGTGACAAGGTCCAGCCGGTGAACCACCACAAACATACCAGTGACCGCCCTTGACATTGTGGTAATCACCGCCGGAACCAACGCCGCCAATGACAAACGTCCGAATTTCCTTGATGGAGGGGAAAGATCTCACAGACGCCATGGTGTTGTTGCCAGGTGCCGTTTTCGCCAGTGCAGTGAGCAAGAGGGTTGAGGAGAGGGTTGAGGAGAGAGGGGAGGAGAGAGGGGAGGAGAGGGGGATTGTGAAGACGTGCAGGTGAGACACTGGATGATAATGTAGGGATTAAGCTGAGAGGAGGCAGAGACGAAGGGGGAATTGGGTTCGTGGGCGTCTTTTAAGAGGAACGGAAGACTACTTGTAGCCGGGATTCCAAGACACATGAGTCCTGGTCCAGTGAAGAGTACCGGTATTGAGGTACAGCGGTGACCGAATCAGACGGAAGCCCAGGTTAGTGGGGGTCCAGACACAGCAGATTCGACCCGAGTGGGCTCGGAGCAGACTGGTTTGCTTTGGATGGTGTGGACGGGAAGGTTTTGGAGATCGGCATCAGATGCCCCGACAAGCGGAAACAGGTGAGGTCAGTGGGCAGGCAGTTGGCAACGGAAACGGGACCCCTCCCCATCATCCAATTCCCATCTGCCGGGCTCGGATGTCGGGTGTCATTCACGTGGACTTCCAGAGTGGGTGACCCGGGCAGAGATAGTAGTCATTTGCGGCAACGTAGAAAACATGGCGAGGCGACAGTTTCTGGTGCCCAAAGGCCTCTTACTCCTACTCTTAGTCTTTGCCCTGGAGCCGATGAGATGGGGGGCACTGGCCAACCGGGGATTTAGCGTGTTGGGTCGGTGTCTGTCTGTCTGGGTGCAAGCATTCTTGCAGGCACCGAGCCGTCAAGCAAGCGAGGGAGTGTGGGAGGGAACATGGTGATGGGCAGGATTGCCGTGGGGGCATGAGGGGTGAGCCTCTCTCGTCCATCGAGCAAGTCGATTTGATTCCAGTGTCAAAGACACGCACGCGATTGACTTTAGGGGGCAGTGGTGAAGGGCACAATCCCGGTTGCTCGGGACGGGAGAGGCCGCACCTCAGCTGCAAGAGCCTGTTGCACACTCGCTACCTAATGCCTTATGTACATGTACGTACATGGGCTAATTAGCTTCGGTCAAAGAGAGGGAGGGTACGCGTGCCAATGCCACGACCAAATCACGGCTGAGTTGAATTGGACCATCACCATCCATATTTTGAACTTTGAACTTTGACCCCGTACTCCATTCAAATTTGTCGGCACTTACGGAGTACATTAGGCAAGGTCACGTCTCGGCCCAGCTCTTTCCCAGCAGTGCCACAATGCAAGCGATTCCCCTACACAAGTCCCTGCCGGTCACGGGCGAGCTCGGAGAAATGGGATATTTCAACCCGAGAACTGAGCCGCATGGGCTGGCATAGTCTTAGGTTCGTTCCCTGGGCCTCACTGCTGGTCCAAGGCATGAGGCGCTTTCTCGTCGGTATTCCTCAGCCTTTTCCCAAGGACTCCTGCCGCGATTCGTACGAGCAGGCTTTATCTTTAACACGGCCGTCCAACATGTATCAAAACTCAAGAAATTAGGTACCAAGATCCCAGCGTCCTGCCTTGCTAGCGAGTACTAATAAGGAGACGGAGGACTTCTTCTTTGCCTTACAAATTACCCAGGGTAGGCGAAGAGAAGGGCCAATGGAACCACTCGTGCGGTCGCCCTCAAGTTGCTCGCAGAGAGACAGAGAGGAAGGCTTGGTGTCAGAGAAGCTGGGTGGCTGGGTAGTGGGCAATTCAATAGAGGAATTCCTTGACGACGCGAGATGGCAAAGTTGTATTGGCGACGCGCCTGGCTCTGGGCCTCACGTGCCGTTCATTTCCAAGCTTACCCTGTTCCACGGGACGGTGTACCGGCACCACCTCATGTAGTAGGTATGCCTAAGGTAAAGTAAGTACCTAAGGTAGGTTGAGGCCGCAGCCACCTCCACATTCTGTATCTGGCTAAGTGCCTTACCTAAGATGCCTAGCCACTTCACTTCCTCTATCCACGAGGGCTTCATTGGCTGGCTATGTAAAGCTATGGACAAGGGTAAGGGTAAGGTACGTTGTACGTGTAGGCCTTGGACGGCGCTCGCTGTCAGCGGTTTCTCCGCTTCCTTCTTCTTCCCCACACAATCCATTTCCGATTCGGCCGCCCCCAACCCCCGGCAAGATTCACTCTACGCAAGGCAGGTGCCGGTATACCAACAACCCGCAAGCCTGTATTTCGCTTCACCCCGCGTTCTGTCTGGCCTTGTCTTGACCCAGGTGCCATAACGTAGTGGTGAGACAAGATCAAAGAACAAGTTCTTCCTCCTACAGAAATCCAGAGACTCTCGGTACGGGTACAAGCCGCCTCACCTTCCTTGGCCCTTCTGTGCTGCCAGACTAGCTTGTTCTAACTAACTTTTTCCAGGTGTCGTTGTACACCGGCTTGTTGCCGTGCCCTTGTCACGCACCGCGCGGCCCAGGCACGCGGGAGCGACAACGAAAGGAGCCCAGAGAAAGAGACACCGTTATCATCACAGCATCACGACCTCTGCCTATCTTTCTATCCTACCTTGGCCGCTTCTTTTGCAAGGTGGTGGTCGTGGTGGTGGTGGCGGCGGTGGTAGCAGTCGCTCTACCTGCTCAAGCCTACCTTACCTATCGTGGTGCCTTACTTTGGGACGCTCTGCTTAGCTTGTCTGGCCGATCCCTCTTCCCCATCTCATTCAATCCAATCAGATCAAATCCCGGCCACGCATTTGCCCAGGTCCTCTCCACCTCCGCGTCCTTCCCCTCCCCCAACCTTGCTTCCCCGCCCCCTACCTTGTCATTCTTTGTCTCGCTCTTGTCTGTCCTGCTTCAACAGTCTGGAGCGTGGCACGTGTGGGACAGGAAAACACTGGAAGAGAAAAAAATACCCCGAGCCTCTTCTCCCCCGACCCCAGCCTCCTGTGCCCTTTTTTTTCCTTCCCCCCGCTCCCACCCTCTGCTCAACATTACCCCGAGATTCCCAAGCTTCTCCCGAATCCGCGCGTTGGAATCTCACACAAACGCGGCGACTCCAACCCATACGCACGCATACGCGTTCGCCTTCTCCCGTGTGTGCGCGCCCGCCCTACCTAGCCGTCCGGCTCTGTGCCCGCGTCACACTTGCTCTCCAGACACATATCTCTCGGGCTTGTTTTACCCTTTCGCTTGTTGCTCGGAGACTGCCACACCGAGGATGCAGAACAACGGCCACTCCCTCAGCAGCCGGTCACCGCCTGCAGCTAACATCAAGTCTCTACAGCACAACCGCAGCCAGAGCCATGACCATAACCAGTCTCATAGCCAGAATGACCAGGACTCCGATGACGGCAACCAGCTGCAAAGCGGAGACGAAATTGATCTCGACCAGGACGATCAGGATGTCACCCGGCTTGGGAAGCGCAAGAGACCCATATCTGTCTCGTACGTCGTTCCCCGACCTGGCTCACCTCGGCCCAATCTACTCACTTCACTCAACCCTACTACGCCTCCCTCCTCTCAAATCATATCAGATCCGACAGTTTGGGTGCCTTCCTCTCTCTATCCACTCACCCACTCACCTTTCCCCCTAGCTTTTGCCCAATTTTCTTGTCTCTGATTACCCCCTTGTGCTTTGCTCCCATGTCCCCTGTAACCCCCTCGCCTGACCCCGTGCCTTCCGAGCAGAATCTTGAGGCTAACAATCCAACTCCAAGATGCGAGCTGTGCAAGCAGAGAAAGGTTCCATCATTCTATGTTTCATTTTCCCGTCTCTTATTGTTCCTTTCGCGCTGCATTTCAACTTTCCATTCCGCCTGGCAGTACGTCATGGATTACTCTTTTATACCATCTAGGGGGCCACCGCCCTCCGTCTTCATCATGTCTTGCCTTAGACATTCGCTCTGCCATAAACCTGGAACCAGTGGCTGACTCGCCTCAACTGATAGGTGAAATGTGACCGAGGACAGCCCTCCTGCGGCTGGTGCAGCCGCAATGGAGCCTTGTGCGAGTATAAGGAGCGCAAGAAGCCCGGTCTTCGCGCCGGCTATGGTCGCGAGCTGGAGCAGCGACTGGACAAGCTCGAGGAGATACTCAGAACTCATTCCGAAATCCTCCAGGCGACTCTGACATCCAACCAACACCACGGCGTGGCACCAAGCATTCGGAATAGTAACCCGAGTCTACCGAGCGATCACGGCACACCGCGAGAGACTAATGCCTTGTTTCGGCCCTCTGAATCCCACCGGACGCCTCAGGCCGAGACGGCTCTCTTCCTCCAAAAACCATCTTCTTACCCCTCAACCTCACAGTCCATGGAGTTCGGAATGCCGCCTCCCACTCCATCCATGCACGAATTTCAGGGTCAAATGCCAATGACTAGCATGCCTGCACCACCAAGCCATATCGCTGCCATGTCACAACCTAGCAGCGCGGCACAAGAATATTACGGCACAAATCAAACGCAACTTCACTCGCCAGACGTTGCCATGGCACAAAGTCAGACGTCGACTGCGCCAGACCAAGAGCTACCGCCTTACGACCTGCTTTATGCACTAGTCGATCTGTACTTCAAGCACATCAACACCTGGTGCCCTATACTCCATCGGAAGACGACTTTGGATTCTTTGTTTGGACCATCCATCCTTGAGGAGACGGACCGTATCTTGCTGCATGCCATTGTTGCCACAACGCTCCGATACTCTACTGACTCTCGACTGACCGAAGATAGTCGGCAGCATTATCATTCTATATCGAAGCAAAGGGTCCTACTCTATGGCATGGAACATTCTTCGGTCAAGGCCTTGCAAGCCTTAGTGATTCTTGCTTTGGATCTGGTTGGCAGCAGCAATGGCCCTCCTGGGTGGAATATCATGGCTCTGATAACTAGATCGGTTGTCCAACTCGGGCTGGCCGTTGAAAGCACCTCGTTCTCGGTATCGCCCAATTTTACCTCCATTTATACACTCAGAGCCATGATTCTACCAGAACCCAAAGACTTCATCGAGGAGGAATCCAGGCGGCGGCTGTTCTGGATGATTTACCTTCTCGATCGGTATGCCACTCTAGCTACTGCCTTTGAATTCGCATTAGACGACAAGGAAGTCGACCGGACCCTGCCATGCCGAGATGATCTATGGATCAAGAATCAAAAAGTTGAGACTCGATGGTTCCGAACTCAGGATCATCCCGAGGATACGAATCCCGAATATGAGATTAATAAGCCAGAGAACTTAGGTGCTTTCTCCTATTACATAGAGATCTTGGCAATATTGTCCAAGATTCACAAGTTTTTGAAACAACCTGTCGACATCAGCGCTCTTAGCGACGTGGAGCAATGGCAGATGCGTTACAAGGAGCTCGACAACATGCTCACATCCTGGAAATTTGGTCTTCCCGGGGAATACGGCAACATGGCCAAGTTGTTCCAGCCTGGTAACAAGACACTTAATTGCGGCTGGGTGATGCTGCATGCCACGTACCACACGGCCGTGATACGGCTACATTCGTCGGCAGCGTATCCAACAACTCGTTCGCCAATCTTCACCCCTTCATACAGTGCCTCACAACGCTGTCACGGCGCCGTCGAGAACATTGCCGCGCTGGGTGAATTCGTCGTGAACAACGGTCTTTTGGCAAAGCTTGGCCCTCCCTTTGCCTTTACCCTGTGGGTGGCCTCACGCCTGCTGCTCGTCCACGGCTCTACCGTGGAACACAAGCTCTCCCCTCAGATTCAATTCTTCGTAGAGACGCTACGAGAAATGGGACGCTACTGGCCTGTGGCCGCGCGCTACTGCGGCCTCTTGCAACGCGTTCTGGACGAGCATCGCGATAGTGAGCGTCAAGGGGATGGTGTCACACCCAGCTCAGTCAAGATATTAGCCGATATGCGTCGCACTGCGTTTGATCTCGATTTTCTCATATCCCGTCAGCCGCGTGCCAACGGTATGCCGAACCATAGCCGGCTCCCTAGCGTCACACCAGCCAGAACGCCAGCACCGAACGAGCTCGAGTACCTGGACGTATTCGATTTTTTTAATGTGCCACGTCTACCCACTGGCAATGAAATTCAGCATGCCGTGAGCGGCAGCAACGGGCAGAACGGGGCTACGTCGGGCATGGATGCCAGTAGTGAAAATGGCGGCTCCAATGCGCCGCCGGTCCCGGGCAACGAGTTCAACATAACCAATTTCATGGTTGATGCGAATAGTGACTGGCTCTTCAAGCAAGAGGGTGCCAAATTTCTTTCATGAGCCCTGGATGGAGGATAATTAGGACGGAGGCGTATTGACGGATAGCAGCGGCGAGAGGCGGCGGTGCTAAGCGTGCGTGCTACTTTTCCGGATTCATTCTTGGCATCATTCCAGGCAGATGCTCAGTAATGTCTCCTGCTTTTGCCTTCGACTCGGCGCCCTTCAGATCGGAACTGCTGGTGGCTCTTCCGGAACCCATAAGGCTTGTATGATTATGGTCGACTTTACGCCAAGAAAAGCGTTAGTAAGGAAACTAGGGCTACGATAGTAGTGAGGATTATGAGGATGGACAATGAGATGGTGGTTTGTAAACCATAGCTCGTAAGATGATGATGAAAAAGACAGAATATTACCGAGCAGCTGCCATCTAACCTCATCATAGGCCTTATTCTACAAGGTTGAGTTGTGCATAGAAGAGCATAAACTGGAGGTATGGCTAGATGCATCACAAGCCCCGTCCCCGCGGCCAGTTCCGCCTAATTCATGAGGCAGTTGCTGGCCAGTCCCTCGAGAATCATCAGGCTGGTCTGTAACCGCTCCCTCAGACCTCTCGGCCGGCCGGGTGAATGTCGTGCGGCCAATCAGCTTTGAAGTACATCCTGATGGTTACGATGAGAGCTGATTCGGTTCCACCATTGTGGAGAAATATGAAATACCTAGTACTGCCCATAGCTACTCTAAAATGCGATGGCCATGTGTCTCGGGACGGTCTGCGATGGTTTTGAGGAATGTCGAGGTAGATGACGAAATGCCCCCTACGCATTGCTGGGAGAACCACAGAGGACGCCTTCTAAGAGGGAAATCGGCTCCGAGAAAAGAACCCCCAAAAGCTTCTCGAGTGGTTGAAGAAGTTGGCAAGATATCAAGAAGTTTGATGATCTGGCTGGGGGCCCCGGCCGCTGTATAGAAATACTGGCGCACGCTATACAAGGCGATTCCCGGCAAGTTTGGAGACAGCCTAGAACAGGCTCGCTGGTCTAGAACCAGCGTGCTCAGAGACATAGACAGTCTGCGCGTCAACTTAGAAAGGTAGTGGCTGCTTGGATCCATGCAGTTCTTGGCAACTTGACGGTTTGTGTCACACAGGGCCTAGCAGTAGCGGAATGAACAAAAGAGCCAACGAGAGTGAGAGAGATAGAGACAGACAGAGGGCATATGCACATTATAGGTATGCGCAAAGGTTGGGCACTTTTCGCTTACTTCCAACCAGAGGAAAGCTAAACCTCATGCGACAAAAAGCAGACTTGCCGCGCCACCAACGCCCTGTCATAACGTATCTCGAAGCGCATGTTGTATAATCAGAATATAGATCCGCCTAAACCACCCTCTCAACCGCAGCAGACACTAGGTTCCTCAATACCAGCAACGTTGGGAGCTGATGGCGCAAGGGCCTCGAGAGTGACACGAATGACGAGCCAGTCGCAAAGAAATTTGCCCAAGCCAGCGCCGATTATGATGGAAATGATCAGGTAGCCATTGTAGTACATAGCTAGCAACATGACGATGTAGGCCAATCCAAAAGTGGCAGCGTGAATTATGGATCGAATGAGCTGCTGAAGCGGCGATGCACGGAAGACAAGTGTCTGAGGGGCAACGACGGCAGGAGGATCACAGCAGTTCGTTTCCTTGGGCATGCGAGCTTGGAGTTCGGCCGCGCGGGCTTGAAATTGGCGCTGGATGAGTGCATCGTATTCTTTTCCAAGTCGGCGGAAAACTTCGAGGAAGACGGTGAGCAGACCGACACCGATGCAGCTAGCAGCGAACATGCCGGCATTCTTGATCTGCCATGAGGACGAGAGGAAACCTAGAGCATTGACTCGTTAGCATGTTTTCCAATTACGGTGGCATACACTAGAAAACTGATATTGGCTTCGGCGGAATTCGCTCTCTGTACTTCATACTTACATGCGTCAATGGTATACCAGTTCCACAACATCTAGTCGCCATGTCAGTCGAGCACATCAATTCCGGGGCCGCGGACGGTAGCATACCGACATCTTGCAGTCCGCCGAGCTGCTCATCGAACTGTGGTCCATGATGTGCTAATTTGGGAAGCTAGACACTTCTGTGTGAAAAGAGAAGAGGAAGAGTTGAGCCGGCAGATACAGTGGATCTTGGCGTCAAGTGAGGCTATTCAGAGTATAAAAGTAGCCGATATGGTTCGGGTCTCGTAGGTATGATCGGACAATTTGTTGCGATCGGTCGAGGCGGTCGATTGGGAGGCTCGTTATTGAGCGCGGTCGAGTAGATGCAAGGCAAATGTTGGTGGCGATTGTTTAAGGTTCATTTCTTTGGGGTGATGTAGAGAACTGGCAATACTAGAGAGGAATTGGCGGTCATCCAGCGGGTCGTCCGTGCTGGAATCGCTTGATATCTATACGGGTCCGGAAACCGAGGTGGTCTGGATGCTGGATGCTTGGTGGAGATGAGAAAGTCAGAGGTCCGTCCCATAGGCACGAGGTCAGCGCAGGCGGAACCATCAGCGATTGCAGAACTGTAGTCGCGACAGGGATCTGAAAAGGAATACAAAGGCACACATAAACGCACAGAGAGAACAAATAAGGTGTGCAGAGGGAGGAAGGGGTTCGGCACTACTTATGGGGTAGTTATAAAGATAGCTAGCAGATCCTGGTCGGTCTCAGGATCAATGGAAAAGGTGGTGCTGCGCAAGTTTCAAGAGGGGGCCGGCACCGGGATATTAGCATGGGCACGATTTCGGGCTGTTTTCGCTGTTGATGATCCAAAGGTTCCTACTGTCCTCCGCTGAAACCATCTCGGGTGAGCATTCAGCCTGTCAGGCCAGCGACCCCAGAGCCGTAGGGATATCCGCACTACTGGATACGGCGAATCGGCACTCAAGGACACAATGGCTTTGCAGAGCTCGTGGGAGTTCACTCAAGCTGGAGGCCTTTCGAAACTTGACAGCAATTGATGAATGAGGGGAAACAAATGAGGGGAAACATGGAAGGAATGACCTTGATGGTCCCGAGAGCCGCGGCGCTCCTGCAGTTCGGCCCCATATAATAAGGTGGGGTGCGTAGTCCGGTTCACACGCGCCACCCCGGTCCTGGCCCGCTTTCCAAGAGAAACTTGCTCAAAGATGCTCAACTTGCTCACTCCCTTCCATCAAAGGTCTTTCGTGTTCAACAATACACCTTCATGACCATGCCTAAGTTGTGCTTTCGGTTCTCCTACTTGGTCACCTTTCCACTTGTATCAAGCCATTTTGCCATACTCTCCTTGTGTTTGTACCGTCCCAATCCCCGTTAATCTGCTCTGGACACAGCCCAAGGACCCTCGTACATTTTACGATTAGAGATTCGAACCTGGTTAGCCCCTCCCATTGCTCTCTACTGTGTATAACCGGGGAGCTCTACCTTACCCTAGGTCATCGCAGCCATTCTCGATGACACAGAAGCTTGGTCCAAAAGCAATTGGATGAGCGGGTTTCGATATGGGGTTTCCGTGAGAGTGACACCAGGGGTCCCATAGTCCTCCTTCCGGGTCCAAACATCGCGGAGCCGCCCCAGATCCGGAAACATTACCAAGACCCCTAGATTAACCAGCCACCGTCGTAAACCCCATAAGTTATTACCCGCCGCGATGAGCTCCCGGAAACCTTCTCAAACCCCGCCTCGTCCCGTTTCTTCCATTGAAATGATGTGACTACACCGCATCACCAGTGCCACACCGTACTCCCCTTAAGAGTCTCTGTCTCGCCAGCTACTACTTGCTTACCCTTGAACTCATCCTTCTCCATCCGGCTCATTGCCTTCTGTCTTCGTTCTCATCCACGTTGTAGTCCGTCCCCTTGCAAAATCTAGCCCTCACTCTGCGGCATCTCATCCGATAACCATACATTCAGTGCAACGAGCACTTGATGCTGTGTTGAGACCGGCACTCCGACCGCACTTACACGCATATATCCTTCATCTCAACCATCTGGGCTCAGGCCTCCTTCAAGCAAACCATCTCCGAAAAGCTGAAATAACAAGACGGCACTGAGCGCTGTCATAAGGTACTAATTCACCCATGGTTGTCTCGGGGTGGATTTTGCCCTCGCCTTGGACGGCGTTTATATGCTGAGCGCACGTCTGGTCCACTGACGACGCCTCCATCAACGCCATGAATTCTCAACTCAAGTCTCATTTTGCGCCCCGCCATATTCAGAATTTGAGCGATGCAACCACCATAGAACCTCACTGGGGCTACGTGGATCGAGCTCTCCCATGTACCAACGACGCCGGGTCCTGCGCCTACCTTGATGTTGTCTACAGGTCCCACGATCTTGGCATGCTATACGTTGGTATTATGTGGGCAGTTGTCGGCAGCATCTTGTTAATATGGGCCATTGGCCGACGAGCACTGCCATCCGTGTCTGAGGAGGATGTCCTTCGCGCTGCTCTTCTCGAGGATAGACGTGCGAGCAAGAGCTTTCTCAATCGCCTCCGTCAAACTGCCTCATCCGCGATGAACCGATATTTCCTTCCCGACTGCATCCGTCCCGTCTTCGGTAGGACGACCCGCCTTCAGGTGTTGATCTTGGCCATATTATCTGGCTATCTCTTGATCTTCTCCTTTGTCGGTATTGTCTACAACACCTGGATCACCCCCGTTAAGAAGATGCCAGGCGTCTACAACACGAGAGTTAGTCTCGGTCCCTGGTCTGACCGTATCGGAACACTTGCCTACGCACTCACGCCCCTGTCAGTCCTCTTCTCCACCCGAGAGTCGATTCTCTCTCTTCTCACCGGCGTTCCCTACCAAAGCTTCAACTTTCTTCACCGCTGGGTTGGTTACATCATCGTCGTTCAGTCCAGTCTGCACACAATTGGCTGGCTGGTGATCGAGGTCCGCTTATACCAACCCCAGCCCACCGTGGCCAACGAATGGATATCCCAGCTCTACATGATTTGGGGCTGTATCGCCTTGTTCCTCCTCATGGCCCTCTATGTTCTCAGCTTGCCCCCGGTCATCCGTCTGACTGGCTACGAGTTCTTCCGCAAGTCGCACTACGTGCTTGCAATGTTGTACATTGGCGCTTGCATCGGTCACTGGAAGAATCTGGAGTGTTTCATGGTTCCTGCTATCGTTATCTGGTTCTTGGATCGCATCTCCCGTGGTGTGAGGACTGCATTAATGCATCACAACTTCATCGAGGGCGAGGGCATGGGCTTCTCTGCTGCACAAGCAGCTATGACAGTATTCCCTGATTCCGAGAATGGTGACGTTGTACGACTCGATTTCACTCACCCCAACGATGCCTGGAAGATTGGCCAGCACTTCTACCTGTGCTTCAGCGAGAGCAGTATCTGGCAATCTCACCCCTTTACTCCCCTCAACGCCCCTGTTACTCTGAACGGGAGAACGAAACATTCCTACATTTTCCGCGCAAAAGGTGGCGAAACGAAGAAGGTTGCTCAGATTGCTGCACACAAGCTCGCTGGCATTCCCGTTGAGAAGGGTACCGCGGCTCCAACTACACCCGTTATCTTGACTGGACCTTATGGCGACCCGATCTTGAGAAATATTACCTCAGATGTCAATATTTTGTGCGTCGCTGGTGGTACTGGTATTACATACGTTCTTCCCGTTTTGACGAGTCTGAAGAAGCACTCCGGGGCATCCCGAAAGCTTGAGCTTGTCTGGGTTGTGAAGCACAGAAACGACGTGGCTTGGGTGAAACCCGAGTTGGATGCCTTGGAAGCTGAGCAAGGCCCAAAGGTCGTAGTTCGCATCTTTGCAACACGCGACTCCCGCAATGCGCTATTTGGCCCTGAACAGCCTGGAGAGCTCTCTGAGTCCGAGTCTGCGTCTGAAAGTGGCAATTGCTCCGGGGAGAAGCAGCCACAGGTATCAGGTCGGGTAGTAGATCGGGTGAATATCAATAACACCTGCCGCCGCCACCCCGAATTGGCGACAGTTGTCCGAGAGTTTGTTGATGCCACTGTCTCTGGGCGAACAGCAGTGTTTGCAAGTGGTCCTGGAGGTTTAATGTCGGACATGCGTGTGGCCGTAGCCGAGTGCAACTCGGTGGGCAAGGTATGGAACGGCGAGGAGCGCCACAACGTGTCACTCATTCATGACGAGCGTATGGAGCGATGATTATACCAGAACAGCTATATAAGTTGTTATCATTATGCCTTGTATTATTTAAATAGCATTTGAAACCTTTCCGAGAAAATATACCCTATATTAACTATTCTCAAGCTTTCTTTAAATAGGGGTTTTTTCCTTTAATTATTATTTATTATATACTTTTTTTTAAAAAAAATACTACGGTTAATTTATTATTAATATAAAAATTTATATTAATAAAGTTTAATAAATTATTTTTAATTTTTAAGTTTTTATTTAAGGCTTATATTTAAATATAAAGATATTATTATCGTACGTTATATTAACTTAGCCACTCTATATTTAAATAATAATAACTTAATAAATCTTTAAAAAAATAATTAATATATTTAAAGAAAATATTAATACAATTTAAAATAATCAATTATAATAATTAATAAAATAATAAAATACACTAAATTTTTTTAATAAAATAAAAATAAAAGTAAATAAATTATAAATATTATTTATTATAATAAGCTAAAGTTAACGTTTTATTAATAAAAGTATTACGACTTAACACGGATTACTAAACTAAAGCCCTGCCCTTTAAAACCTATAGCGGCTACTATACAATATATATAATAAATAAAAACCTAAACGACTCCCCTTAAGATAAAAAAACTATAAATAAATTACGTAATTATAATTATATAATAAAATAAAAAATAAACGTTTATAAATAAATAAAATAAACGATTATAAAATTATAAAATAGACGACCGTTTAATAAATAATTAAATAATAATAAATAAAATTTTATAAAGAATATATTTATAATTAAAATTTATATATTATATAAACTTAAGTTAAGTTTAAATTTAGATTTTTATAAATTTTTTAATATTTAATTTTATATTAAATCTTACGATCGCTTATAATTATCTTTATTAAAAACTTATTTAATAAAATTATAATTAATTATTAAAATCTTATTTATTTTATAATTTATAAATAATAGTTTTTTTAAAAAGAATTTAATAACGATTATTATTTATAAATATTATAGCCTTGATTTTTATTAATATAAATTTTATTATAATTAATTAGCCGTAATATTTTAATTATTTTTATTTAATAAATCGACTTTATAAAAACTTATTAAATAATATAAATAATATTTATTTAATCTTTTTTTTAATAAAAATAAATAGCCTTAAGTTTTAAGTATTAAGCTTTTTTAAATTAAAAAAGATTTAAAAATACTTAATATTAAATATAATTCTAATAAAGATATAGTTTTTAATTAAATAATATACGCTTAGATATATAAAGCTATTAAAAAGAGCGTTAACATATATACATAGCGAGTCGCCCATCATAATAAGTTGCCTATTTTTAAATACCCTCTTACTATTTATATAAATTAATTAAGCTATATCGTACGAAATTAATTAAAATTACTTATTAACCTCTTTTTTAAAAATCTTTTAAACTATTTAATATATTTATATATTATATTTAGTTTTTCCGTAATTATTATATTACTATTTATATAATTTAACCCCCTTTATATAAATATTTTTTTAATATATATTTTCGTTTTTAATATTAATAACCTCCTTTTCTATTTAAATTACTTTAGCCTTAATAATATTAAATAAGTTTTTAAAACGTAATTATATTTTTTTAGCCCTTTAACGCTTATTTAATATCTTATTTATTATATATTATTTATAATATTTAGTTTTAATAAAAGCTAATTTATATATTAATTTATTAATATTTTTAATTTATAAGTTAATAATTTTATATAAATATATTAATAAGTTATATTAATAATTATAAATCCGTTTTTTAAATAAAATAGAGCTTTATATAACGTTATATATTATAATTAATATTTTTAAATCTTAAAAGCCCTAACTATTTAAATATAAATTAAATAATATTAACGTTTTTAATTTAAAATCTAAACAAAAAATAACTATTTTTAAATTAAAAAATATAATTCTAATTTATTTAAAACTAATTCGTACGTTTTTTTTATTTATTAAAATAAAAAAAGCTATTTTAAAAATAAAAAAAAAGTTATTTTTAATAATATATATAATCTATATCCGTATTATTTTTTTAATTTTTTTATTATATAAAACTTTTAATAAACTAAAATAATTAATATTAAAAAGCTAAAGCTTATATAATAAATAAAGAAGTATATAAAAAATAATAATATTACGCTTTTTATAATAATTATTAAATTTAATTAATTTATAATTATTATAATTATTAAAAATTAAGAGCCGTTTAATACTTTTTATATAAAATTTTATATATTTTTTAAAATATTTTAATTAATCTAAACTAATCTTATTTATAATTTGTTTATTTTTATTAAAATAAATATATTATTTAAGAGGGAATTAGTTATTAATATATTACGAAAAGAGATAATATTTATTTTTTATAATAACATATAAAAATAACGCTTAGCTATTTATATATATATTTTAAATAATAAAAACTTATTTTTAATTATTAAGCTATTTTATATAAAACTTTTTATAATAATTAAAAGTTATAATAACTTTTATATACGAAAATATTTTTATTAAAAAGCCTATTTTATTAAAATTATAAATATTATAATCGTATATTTTATATTTTATAATCGTATTTTATATAAAAATAAATTAAGTTTAAATAATTATAAAATCCTTAGTTAATATTTTTTAATAATCAATTTTATATTAAAAATATATTTTTAATTATAATTAATATTATATAAAGTTTTTTATTTATTACGGTTTAATATATATTATTTTATATTTATTAAAAAAATAATTGGTTATATTTTATATATCGTTAAGTCGTAGTAAAAATCTTTAATTAATTAAGTTAATAATTTATTCAAAAATTATAATTTTTTAAAAAAAGTTATTTTTTTTAAATTCATATAAGTTTTTTATTAAAATAATAAGCTAATACGTTAATCGTAAAGTATTATTTTTAAAATATTATAAATAAAAGTTACTTTTTATATAAATAAATTTAGGTCTTTTTTAATAACTTAAAATATAAAAATAATACGACTTTTATTTAAAAAAGAATTTATAATTATATATAAAAAAAATTAGTTATTAAAATAAAAAGTATAAAAAGAAAAGAAAGTAGGCGACTCGTTATAATAAGCGACTCGCTATGTATATACGTTAAATATAATAAAAAACTAAATAAACTCTTTAATATTAACACTATTTAATTAATAAAAGCTTAAATTAAAATAATTATAATATTATTTATATATAAAGATTATTTAATATTACGTTTAAAAAACTTAATATTAAATATTAAAAGGCTTTAAAACTTATTAAATAAATAAATATATTTTAAAATACTATTAATATTATTATTAGCCCTTTTAATAAAAAACGATAAAAATTTAAATTTATAATACTTATTATTTTTAATAAGACTTTTAAATTTTTAAAAAGATTCTTAATTTAAATTAAAAACTTTTAAAACTTTTATAAAAAAACTTTAATAATAAAATTAAAAAAGTTATATATGTTATTAATTTTTTTTAAAAAACGAGTTTTTAAATAGTTTAAGCCTTTTTAAAAAAATATTTTAATATAAAAACCCTTAATAAATATTTTATTAAAATATAAAATATTTATAATAGTTTTAAAAAATTTAATAAGATATTTAAATTATTTTTTTAAAATTTAAATAAAAAATAATAAACTAAGCGCGATATATTATAATTTTAATAAATTAAATCGATAAAAAACTATTTAATTAAGTTTAAATGCTTTAATATTTAATTTAATTATATTAATAATACTAAAACTATTATATTTTATTAAAAACTAAAAGATAAAGTTAAAAACGAGCTTATTAAATTTAATAAACTAAGTTTTTTTTAATATATTAAACTCGTAATTAAAATTAATAACCGTCTTTATAAAAAAAAAATAATAAAGATTTAATATAAAACGTAAATACTAATAATAACTTTAATATAACTTCTAAATAATATAGCATAGTAGTTAAAAACCCCGCTATATTAAAAATAATAATATTTAATATATTATTTTTTATAAATAATATAGCGGATTAATAGATCTTAACGCTATTAATAAAGCTACTTTTAAAAAGGACTTTAAATACTATAATTATAATAAAATAAGATATATAATACGAGATTATAAATAGCTAAAGCGGTTAATATTTGAATTAAAATTTTAATGGATTAGTATAATAATTAAAAGGATATTTTATATATTACTTTTATAAACCGCTTATTTTAATAATAGTTACTTTATTTATAAAAATAATAAGGAATAAATAGGTTAATATTTTAAAAAACTAAAAGCTTTTATTATAATAAAAGCCACTTTTAAAAAACTATAAATTAAAACTTTTAAAATAAACTATAAAAAAAAGCTATATTATAAATAGCACTTTTTAATAATAAAAGATTATAATAAAAATTATATTTATATTTTAATTAATTATTATAAAAATAGTTAATTATAAAAAATAAACGATTATTTATAAAAACAAAACTTACTTTATTTTAATTACGGTTTTAAAAACGATTAAAAGTTAAAAAAAAACCCTTTTTTAATTAAAAAACGAAATTAATAAAGAAATAAAAATAATAAATTTAATTTACGGACTTTAAATATTAAAAAAACGTTATTAATAACGTATTAAAAAACCAAGCAAAACCTATTATATAATAAACGCTCATATTTACGACTATTTAATTATAAAAATAGTCAGTATTATTATATAATAATAAATAAAAAATAATTCATAATAATAATAAAAAATATATACTCTATTTAAAATAAAACTTTTTTATATTTAATAAAAAACCCTATATAAACCTACCCCTATATTTATATTAAATTTAAATAATATAATTAAGAAATATACTATTGATAATACGTTAATATTTTTAAAATAACTAATTATAAAACCCTTTATTAATAATAAAATAGATTATAAAATATTTAAAAAAACTATAAAACTTTTAC